CCTCCGTCCCATATAAATTGTATTTATAGGTTGTTTAGTATATACTAAGGTTTGAGAAGAAATACTATGATGCTCCTTATTAAATGATGTATAGGTAAGAGAGGAAGGGTAGTTGAGGGTAAAATAAAGAGAAATTTGAATGAGAAATGATTAATGAGACCATTAGTACTCTATTGTGATAATTATTTTAAGATAAATTTAAATTTTCGAAATACAATTATTATGGGACAAATGTAGTACGAGGTAAGATGTTTTCCACTGGGATAACAGGTGACTTATCAGTTGCTAATTTTAAAAAAGATTTTACTACAATACTCCTATCTTTTAAAAAGTTTTGCATTTCCTAACATAACGATTACCAGTACTCCCTAGAGATGATAGATTTATGGAATAGAGATTCTACAAAGATTAAATGGACAAAATTTAAAATTCAGACAAATACTACTACCTCTATACTAAAATATTACTACAACATAGGCCATGTTTAGTTCCTCCTCTTTTTTTTTTATGTATACGGACGCACATGCACATTTTAAGTATTAAGCGTAGACTAATAAGAAAACAAATTGCAGATTCCGCCTATAAACTGTGACACGAATTTATTAAGCCTAATTAATCCATCATTAGCAAATGTTTAATGTAGCACAACATTGTCAAATCATGGCGTAATTAGGCTCAAAAGATTCATATCGCAATTTACATGCAAACTGTGTAATTGGTTTTTTTCGGTCCACATTTAATGCTCAATGCATGTGTTCAAACATTTGATGTGATGGAATTTTTGAAAGTTTGAAGGGAACTAAACACAACCATAGAATAAAATTTTGACAATAAATCCGCAGATTGCAATGTTTTGAGTCTGGAAAAAATACTTTTCTCACTAACTAATACAGCAGATATTTCGGGTGAAGTGCCGCATGTCAGCTTAGGGTGTGTTTAGTTCATATAAAATTGGAAGTTTTGTTGAAATTAGAACGATGTGACGAAAAAATTGAAAGTTTGTGTGTGTAGAAAAAATTTGATGTGATAAAAAAGTTAAAAGTATAAAGAAAAAGTTTAGAAATAAACTCGGCCCTATTGTCATCCCATCCCTCTTTTTCTGCATCCCTCTCCATTTCTAGGCGTACTACTACATTTTTCTTTGTGGAAAAGACATGAAGCTTTTCGAATCCACAGCCACAGTGATGCTATCTCAAAGCTCACCGGGGGGCGGGGCCGCGGGGGCCATAGCCACGGGCTTGGTATAGTACATTTCTGATCCGAAACTCTGAACTCGAGGCGGTGTTTAGTTCTTCAAACTTCCAACTTTTTTATCACATTAAAACTTTCCTACACACATAAACTTTCAACTTTTTCATCACATCGTTCTAATTTCAACCAAACTTTCAATTTTAACGTGAACTAAACACAGTCTGAGTGAACCACATCAACAAGTACGGAACACTTAGACCGAGTTTAGATCTAAACTTTTTCTTAAAACTTTCAACTTTTTCATCACATCAAAACTTTCCTACACACATAGGCTGTGTTTAGATTTAAACTTTGGATCCAAACTTCTAACTTTTTCCATCACATCAACCTGTCATACACATACAACTTTTCAGTCATATCGTACCAATTTCAAGGCCAAACTTTCAATTTTGGAAGGAACTAAACACAGCCATAAATTTCCAACTTTTCCATCACATCGTTTTAATTTCAACCAAATGTTCAATTTTAGCGTGAACTAGACCCACCCTTACTACAGCTCTAATGGCGCTGGAGACATACGTCACGACTGATCCTAAAACAAACCATCACATCGACGTGCCATTTCGATGGCACCCAGCACCGTTGCCAATTTGTCATTTTCACGAGGTCCTCGACGACGCGTTGAATCTTCCACTGTCTTTGTTAGGGCTAGTAGTATCAGATCTTTTTATATTATCAAAAAAATCAAGTCTTTGTTTCGTTCTTGTACCAAATCTCTCAGCCTAAGAAATATAAGGTTCACTGAAAGTGACATAATGAGCAAATGCAAAGAAGGTAAATTTGTTCCGTAGTATTTCCGTCAGACTTGCGGCTGCCGACTTTTCTCTCTTAACAGAATAAAAATCCGCAAAGAGATACCTATGGGTAACACACAATTGATCCTCTTTTTTCATAGACAATTCACAGTCTACAGTTGAATTGTGCGTCCCCCCCCCTCTCTTACATGCATATGTATTATGAGCTGGCAGTTGAAAGTCAATGCATGGTTGTGATGATAAATTCTAGAAATCTTTTTAGATTAAACTACATGGATGTTAGATGCTTCCTAAACTTTGAAGTTCGTAAACTGTTTCATAGATAGCCCCCGTGGAAACTCTGTTTCAAAGTCTCCTTTGGAGCACAAAAAAAAATTGTACAGCTTTTATAGAGTATATTTTTTAACATACTCTTTTATTTAGAGTGTTGACAAAAACTTTCAAATTCTCTACGCTCACACGAGTCTCGATTAAGAATGAGTATTTCTTATTACAAGGAATGTAACTAGCTTTTCTAACTTCTAAATGATATTGGGCTATGTTCAGCAACACTGCTCTGCAGCTATAACCGGTTGTGCTATACAGTCAGTGTATATATTTTCTTTACCATGCACTATAGCGCTGTTGTGCAGCTGCAGTTTAGCTACACCGAACAAACCCGCGATTTCGAGAAAATTATATATAAAAAAATCATTATCAAACCATTTTAAATACACTTTTAACTTCATAAGATTTTGATCATTCGACTATTCAGCCAAGAAAAAACACATATCCTAAAATACTTCTCGGGAGCGTAATTAATAAACTCTAGGGCCTATTCACTTTAATGCCATTTTCAACCTTACCAAATTTTAGTAAAATTACTAAAAAAATAGCTACATTTAGTTTGTTGCTAAATTTTAGTAACTATATAAGAAATCCTATTAAAATTTTAGCAAATTACTAAAATTTTAGTATTTAGCATCAAAGTAAACAGGCGTATAGTCTTCTGAGTACAACGCATAAGCATTGAAGCAAAAGCAAGTACTACTATCACCACCATCCGATGGGTGGGTCTCAACTCTGTCTTAACCACAACGCCCAAAGAGGCGTAGACCGTGGACGTAGACCAGCACGGTCCACCGTTTTGACCGGAATCCGAGCTGGCACATCACGGGCCCCACCGCTCGTAGAAAAAACAGAAAAAAAAAACGGACGGGACGGGATCCTCTCTCTCATCGTTCGTCGTCCATCCATCCATCCATCCATCCATCCATCCCCTGCGCCCCGCCAGAGCAGCGCACAGGCATCTCAACCCCACCCCCAGCGCGTGCGTGACGACCCGCCACTGGCTCACCGCCTCCGCCCCCCCCCCCCCAGTGGGCCCGTCCCCCTGACAAGGTGGGGCCCACGTGGCGCAGCAGGTGCGGCAGGGTACGGATGCCGCACCGGATCCCGTCATCACGAGGGGACTTTTTGACTGCGGGATTAGCTGGCCTCCTGACGCGTGGGCCCGGGGACAGTGAAGGCGAGGGTAAGGTACGTGGCTAGTACGTGAACCTGCCGTACTGCACCGCGAGTTTTTGGGATGGCCGTGCCGCTGTGCGTGTACCGGTTTTTGGGATACTTCTACAAACAGGGCACAAAAATGACTGGACTGGGGGGAAGTAAGTACAACCCGTACGAGGTGTGTGCGAGCGCATGACCACTGCTGTGAACTGGAGTGGCAACGTACTGGAGTACTATCACCGTAGGAACGACCATGGTATTGTGTATTAGATTTTTAATATTTAGCCATTCGTGAGATGGAACAAACAGAAATACTGAAGTAGTAGAGCATTTGATTGAAAATAGAGTTTGGCACATCGTGGTAACGCTGTTTTGCTCTCGTTTTAATTATCAGCTCTTGAAAACTTGTGAGCTAGAAAGTTTTTTTTTTAACTCAGGTAGATCTTTATATGTCAATTACTTGTTTAAAAAATATATACTTCAGTTAGTAAAGTAACATAGAAAATATTATGCGTTTTCATTGCTTGGGGTTGTTAGACAGTGGCCCCACCATATGAAAACATGTTAAATATGGCTTGTTTCAAGGTGAGCTGCATTTACTCACTCCATCCCCTAAGCATAAAATTAAGAGTTAATGCTCTATTAATAGCTAATAATTAAGATTGACTCTTAGGTACCATGGAACCATGAACCTAATTTGTATACCTATGTAAAATAAAAAAGCTTATATATAATACTACTATACATATACTAAAATAAAAAGATAGTATTATGCACACGAAACTTTTAACCCTAGCAAAATTATGGTAAATATCATTTAATTCACAATAATTTTTTAATAAAAAGCGCTTTACCAGAGAATCTTTTAAACTTACACCCATGATACATTACAAGTTTGGTTTTCTAAGAGAACAATATAAATTGTTGGTGAGAAATTTGAAAAAACAACAACAGAAACCCCTGGATTCTTTCCATGAATTACAGCATAGAAGAAAAGGCCTAATAATTCATGGACCGAAAAATAATACCAGCGACTCGGCGAGAAGTCGGTAAAAAAGACAAACAAAACGTGAAATTTGACAAGCGAGGGACAGTCCGAGTTCTGACGAAACGGCTGCATTCCTCGAGAGGCCGGAGAATAATTGGGACGGGCGTACGAGGACCGTGTCCACCAAAAAAAACCCCTCCGCATCACGCCCAAGCCAGCGGCTTCCCCATCCCTCCTCTCCTCCAGTCCTCCTGCTACACTTCGATCTCCCACTAACCCCATCACCTCGCCCAGCCCGAACCATTCCCACCCCTCCAAACAGACGATCTCCCGCTGACGCGTGGGCCCCACCTCTCCTCGCCCCCACCTGTCAGTAAAAGTTACGCGGGCGACGCGCGGTAACTCTCGCCGCCACCCCCCGAACAGGTCTCCTTTACCAATGGAACAATTTAGGTTGGAACACACACTGGGTCTCGGCCAAAATTTTAAAAGTCTCGAGCTGAATAAAAACACTGGTAAAAAAAAAAGGAGAGAGAGAGGAGAGACAGGTCGCTTCCTGCTTCCATTGGAGAAGAGGAGAGGAGAGGAGAGGAGACCGAGCCGGCGGCGGCGGCGACGAGGAGAGGGAGCTGATCGGGCGGTCCCCCCCTTTGCCGAGGGGACGCCGGCGGCCTCCGGGTTGGGTCCACTTGGCAGCGGTGAGCGGCGGCGGGGGATGGCGGAGGCGCGGCTGCTGCGGCGGCGGCGGCTGTGCTTGGCGGTGCCGTTCGTGTGGGTGGTGGCGGTGGCCGTGAGCCGGGTCGGCGCCAACACGGAGGGTTAGTGTGATTTTTCATCGAATTCAGCTCCGTTTTTCGGCGGATTACGCCCACCCCTATTTTTGGACTTGCTTTCGGATTCGATGAATCTATTGGTCATCGGGTGATTCCGTTTGGGTACTAGTACATGTTACCTGCTTCTCGGTACATATGGGCGTGGATGGATTGACTCATTTAAGGGGATGGAGCATACGCCCACCGACCTTCCTTTTGTAGACTCGATGGATTATCTAGGCTATAGCTCTTTGTTTTGCTGCCTCTCATGGTGTGTTGTGAATTTGCTCCCAGCAGGGAGATTTGTCCGAGGTAGGAAACGTTTCTTGAGTAAGTTTGGTAGGTGTGATTTGTATGTGCACAGAAATGGGATAGCTTTTTTTTTTAGATAATGGAATAAATCCTGACAGAAATGGGATTGCTAATATCTGGGATGAGTTTGGTGTGCTATTTTGGCCACTCTGAATGAAGAAAATGGAACTGGCTTCCTCATTAGGTTCGAGTATGGAAAGAATATTGCTTGTGAGTTGTGAATCTTCTCTTGTGAAAAGAGATTTTTTTTTTAAAAAAAATCTGAATTACTGACTAGTATAGCTAATTGGTTTCTTACGGTAGGAGTATGTGTTATAGATTGCTCTTCAATAGGTAAGGGCCATCGTTAGTATCAAGTTTAAGCTTTTCCCGAACAGGAAAAAGGGTCATCATCTTTTGTTATCACCTAACCAATTTCACCTCTTTAAAATGCCCCTCAACATGCTTTTCCTGATATATCCTTGGTAGTAACCATGTTCTAAGAAAATTTGGTGATTTTGGCGTTGTGATGTTTATGACACTAGATTGCAAAAGGTGCCTTAGCTATTGTAAGTTCTAGTTAGTGATTATGACTAAGATAAGTGTTCTTTCTAGTTGTTTCTTATGCAATTATTTCAGTCTTTTTAAGCAACTTTATGTGCTATCCTTTTCCACATTTAGGTCTTGTTAATCGCAAGTACCTCTGTAGCATAGATACTAACTAATGTTCAAACACTAATCTTGAGAAAGATTGGGAGTTATGCAGATAGTATTGTAAGAAATGAAAGTACTGTATCTTATACCTTCTTGTACTCAATATATGCTTGCATACTTTAGCCTGAAAAGGCGATTGAATTTGCCAAAATTTTGACGAGAAGCTACTGTCACTATTGTCTACTTCCTTAAATACTATGTTGCTGATGTTGAGGGTATGTTCGATGTCAGGTGATGCCCTATATAGTCTGCGCCAAAGTCTGAAAGATGCTAACAATGTGCTGCAGAGTTGGGATCCCACTCTGGTCAATCCATGCACATGGTTCCATGTAACTTGTAACCCTGACAACAGCGTGATCAGAGTGTAAGTTTTTGACAGAATTATCATTTTTAGGCTTGTCAAAAGTAAGAAATGTGATCATTTTGTGTGTTGACTGATCTATTTTCCTTTCGCAGTGATCTTGGAAATGCACAACTGTCAGGTGCATTGGTTCCCCAGCTTGGGCAGTTGAAAAATCTGCAATATCTGTAAGTTTACACTTCCAGTCTTTGGAGAATTATGTTTTTAGTTACACCATGCAGTAGCGTATCTATTCAAGTTGTCATAATATACTGCATTGAAGCTTGGTTTTCAAAACTCTTGGAATATGGCTTATCCTTGTGGTAAAGATGGTTGTGTTGCCACCTTCTTTCTTGCATTTTTATTGTGAAATTTAATTATGTTGTGACTAATTACAGGGAGCTTTACAGCAACAACATAAGTGGGACAATACCTAATGAACTGGGAAACTTAACTAACTTGGTCAGTTTGGATCTTTACCTGAACAACTTCACTGGTTTTATTCCGGAAACCTTGGGGCAACTCTACAAGCTGCGTTTCCTGTAAGTGTACTCCACTTTTTTTTTATTATGAATAGAATTATAAATTGTGTATATCATTGAAGGCCTTCCTGTTTGAATGATCATAACATAATTCTTTATTTGCATGTCTTCTTGTAAGGATAGTCGTCTTAACAACAACAGTCTTTCTGGTTCAATTCCAAAATCCTTGACCAATATCACTACTCTTCAAGTTCTGTAAGTTCCCTTTCTGCTAATTCATATTTGGTGTCTACCTGTAGAAATTATTGCTTACATGGTAATAGACTTTAAGATGGATACATATTAACAAAATGTCCAATAATTTATGCAGGGATCTCTCAAATAACAATCTCTCAGGAGAGGTTCCGTCTACTGGCTCCTTTTCACTCTTTACCCCTATAAGGTGCTTTTTCTAGATAGAATTTAGGTTCTTAGTGCTTACTACATCTTGTGAGGCTGACAAATGGTTATTTCATTGTCGCAGTTTTGCTAATAATAAAGATCTTTGTGGCCCGGGTACTACAAAACCCTGCCCTGGAGCTCCACCTTTTTCTCCACCACCTCCTTTCAATCCCCCAACACCTACTGTGTCACAAGGTGATTCTCTATAGTTTTAATTCTGTTACATTTGTGATACTGCTTGGGATATGCATATGCATAAATGATGCAGACAGGGGATTTGACATATTCGGGTGGAATTAATTCTATTCCATCAGGTGACTCCAAAACTGGAGCAATTGCTGGAGGTGTTGCTGCAGCTGCTGCATTGCTGTTTGCGGTTCCGGCAATTGGATTTGCATGGTGGCGGCGGCGTAAACCTGAAGAACACTTCTTTGATGTCCCTGGTTGGTATTATAGTTGCATACTGCAGTTCATGATACTTATGTTATCCATTTAAATAATCTATATTCTCCTTTAAATTCAGCTGAGGAGGATCCGGAAGTGCACCTTGGCCAACTTAAGAGATTCTCACTCCGGGAGCTTCAAGTTGCTACTGATAACTTTAGCAATAAGAATATTCTGGGAAGAGGTGGCTTTGGAAAGGTGTACAAAGGTAGACTGGCAGATGGCTCGTTGGTAGCAGTGAAAAGATTAAAAGAAGAACGTACCCCTGGTGGTGAGCTCCAGTTCCAAACAGAAGTTGAAATGATTAGCATGGCGGTGCATAGGAACCTGCTTCGGCTCCGTGGATTTTGCATGACGCCTACAGAACGGTTACTTGTCTATCCCTACATGGCTAATGGGAGTGTCGCATCACGATTGCGAGGTGCCTTAATCTTCCTTACTTTTTCTTAGAGTAAATCCATTAATAGTTTCTTACACGTTTGTTTGCATGCTTAAACATAAATGGCACAGCTATTATGGTTATTGAAATCACTTAAGCACTCTTTTTAATTTCATCTACTCACAGCATATACCTAGTTGTTTCAGTTGACATATCACATTGTTCATTTAAGGTTATGACTAAGACTGTAATAATGAATGGTTGAGTGCATGCCTTCTGCAGAGTCCGGAATAAATATATTCCTTCATCTAAAAATGCACGCCCATAAATTAATTATTTCAGTTTTTGAGTCGTGGTATATGATTTTGTAGAGCGGCAGCCAAATGATCCGCCGCTTGAATGGCAAACAAGAACTCGGATTGCGCTGGGATCTGCCAGAGGATTGTCCTACTTGCACGACCATTGTGATCCCAAGATCATTCATCGTGATGTCAAAGCTGCAAATATTCTGTTGGATGAAGATTTTGAGGCAGTCGTGGGTGACTTTGGACTGGCCAAACTTATGGATTACAAGGACACTCATGTAACCACAGCTGTTCGTGGGACGATCGGACACATTGCTCCTGAGTACCTCTCTACTGGGAAGTCCTCTGAGAAGACTGATGTTTTTGGCTATGGAATCATGCTTCTTGAGCTCATTACAGGACAAAGGGCATTTGATCTTGCTCGTCTTGCAAACGATGATGATGTGATGTTGCTCGATTGGGTAAGTACCACCACATCTTTATATATTGGGGCAACCATGGAAGTTTTGGTTTTGTTTTTCCTTGTGCATGCTAGTTGTCCTCCAGGACACATCTTTCTTAGCTGTGTCTCAGTTCTAGTCCAGGAATTAGAACAAATGGTTGAAATTATTGGACTGTTGGCAGTGATAAAGCGAGCTGGCAGTTCAGTCTCCATGTGTCATCAATTATGGAGATGCACGCCATGACAAATTGGCAGCTAGTTTTTCGCCATTTCTGATACCGAGACATGATCCATCTGCACGCATGACTTAGCAAAATTTTGTACTACTACATTTGGAAACTGACAGGCAAGTAACTAAACTGGTTTTTGTCTTTTCAGGTGAAAGGGCTCCTGAAAGAGAAGAAGGTGGAGATGCTGGTGGACCCGGACCTCCAGAGCGGCTTCGTGGAGCATGAGGTGGAGTCACTCATCCAGGTGGCTCTGCTCTGCACGCAGGGCTCCCCGATGGACCGGCCCAAGATGTCGGAGGTGGTGAGGATGCTGGAGGGCGATGGCCTCGCGGAGCGGTGGGAGGAGTGGCAGAAGGTGGAGGTGGTCCGGCAGGAGGCGGAGCTGGCCCCCCGCCACAACGACTGGATCGTCGACTCGACCTACAATCTCCGGGCAATGGAGCTGTCCGGCCCGAGGTAAAAGAAACGAAAGACAAAATCACAAAGCATCCAACCTTTGCTCGACGGCTTCCTCGCCCTTGTTTGTGTATATGACAGACAGATCGATAGCTGGCAAATCTGGAGGGAAAAATGGTTTACTTGTAACCCTCCCTGGTGCCTCGGTAATTTTCAAGTAGGCTCTGCACTTGGTTGTCGTTAGAAATGCATGGCCGGGCGGAATTGCAACACATTGTTGTGGCGGCTCTGCGTCTGTAATGGCTGAACAACTGATGCCTCTCTCTCTGCTGTATTGTACGTACAACTCTCTCTTTTGACGGTGCTAAACATCCTAGGCAATCTTTTTTGGTCTCCCGGGTCACACCGTGTCCGCCTGTACTTTGTTACTCTTCGTTGAAAAACTATACTGGTAGCAAACTCAACTCTTTATCTGAAAAAAACAAGGTCCATGGCATATGCAACGGCTGATACGGACGAGCTGGTGTATTGAGGTTGCAGGCTGGATCAATGATCATGCAGCCGTGCAGGTTGCCTGTGTGCGCTCTCTCATGGTGTCATGCATGCGAGTGCCAGAGTGCCAGACCATCACCAGAACCGCTACACATAAACAAATCCACTGCTGCCTGACACGGTGTTCAGCCAGCGTCCCGTTTTTTCGGCATTTTCTGCCTCCCGATTAGCCATACAAACCGTTAGTGTTCTGCATCAGAGAACGCCAGAACGGCCTAAATATTAGGCCATACCAACAAAGGAACAAAATGATCGACAAAAGTTCACGCCCAGGTTAATTACGTACTCTACCAAGGACAGCCAAAAGTGCAAAACTATAACTAGCCAAAACAAAAGTGCAAAAGAAAGGGACGAGAGCTAGTGCAGCAAGCGTGCTCGCGTAGATGCTGGCCGGCAGCCTACCTGCCCACACGCGTGCTAGGGCCTAGGAGTACAAAATACAACGCGGCATTAGAAAATCCTCTCTCTACCTATCCACCCATCAACGTGTCGGCGTCGCACGCACGGGCGCACGGCCGCGCGACGCGAACTCGGCTGGCTAGAGGGTGGGCACGCGGAAGAACCTGCCGCGGCACATGCAGCGGTACGCGACGGGGCACGACTCCGCGGCCTCGGCGCACCGGAGGCTCACCATCACGCGCCGGCACGGGGAGCACGGCCCGCACGCGTGCGTGCAGTCCGGCAGCCGCGATCCCGTCGCCGCCTCCGCCGCGTTGCCCATCTCCGTCGTCGTCTCTTCCTCCGGCTGTGCGCCCTGCTGCACCTGGAACGTCGCCGTCTGGCCGCCGGTGCCTCTGTCGTCGTAGGCGGTGGTGGTGCTCCCGTTCGCAGCAGCAGCAGATGGAGCCGTGCCGCCGTTGTGTAGGCCACCGGCTGAACCTTGCACACCTGCTGCATTACGTATACATAAAAACGTAGTACGTACATAATGAACGAAATGTGGGCACAAGTTAAATGCAGGTGATTCAGGCCGTGAAGGGACATGCCACATGATGCATCCGCCGTACGACGTGCCATCTTTACTAGTAGTGCACACTACACAGGAGTAGCACTAAAAGCTTACTACATGAACACGTGTATTCCTAGTCAGATTAGTACGTACTCCAGTGGGAAGCTCTGGTGAATTACCTGGTATCGTCCTGACGCCATCAGCAACGCACGAGCTCATCACGACCACTGCAAACGCTAGCGCCATGGCACTAAACCTCCTCATTGCCGCCGGTGAATCCGTCACTAAAGCACCAACGCGAAGTTGGAGCAGCTAGCTGATCAGCACAAGCACAAGATCGATCGACACGCCAAGCAGAGAGAGCAGTCAGCGACAGTGAGCACGCAAGCAAGGAGAGGCTCAGCGCGAGGCGAACGTATATATGGCCGGCTGCCGACCCGCGAGCGCTCGCCGCGTGCGTGCGAGAACGAGCGCGCGATCATAAATAAACCCCACTGCGGCGGCATGCACGCGCTGGCTCACAGGATCCTCGACGTTGGTGGATCCACCACACGCAGCCCGTGCGCGGCTGCGCGCGCGCGAGGCCCAAAGAGCGGACACGAAGAAGACGACGAGGGAAGGAGGTAGCGATGCGTGTGACGGGCAGCAATGGCGAAGCCCCGCTGCGGCGCCCGGTGCATTATTTATGCAGCGGCGCAGGGAGACGCTGTTGTTATAATTGCGGCACCTCGGAGAGGAGCACCGCACCGGCGAGAGATCAGCTACTACGCACTATACGTCAGAAGAGGCCGACGTGGGGGTTCCCGTGGAGATGCATTACTGTACCTGCCGCTGCTACTGTTTCTGAAGAACTGAAATTCTGATCGCGAGCTCAAAAAAGTTTTGCTGCCTCGTGCTTTCGACGATGTGCAAAACTGCAAGTCTGTAGCTCTAGTCAGACTGCCCCGTCACCGTTCTCATCAATGCGCGCCTGCAAATCCGTTGTTGCAGTTAAGAGATGTACTCCAATAAATGAAGCTCCAAGGTTTTTGCCCATGGATATCAGAATTGGATTGATTGTTCGTGCTTTGCTTCTTCAGTCAGAAGTATTAGCTTCTTCAGTTTAGAATATGGGATATGAACTGAAACTGAAACTTTCTTTGCTTCTAAAAGAACAGAGCCTAGGAGTATTAGCTTTCATGACCTGATCTGACCTCTTTGTGTGATCTTGTCATATGTTTTGGGCCTTTGGCTTTGGTACAATCTATAGGTAGACTGGAGTTTTGTACTCCATCCGGACTGCGTTTTGGAGAAGCAGAGGTACTATCGTCATCATCCTTTGCATGAGATTTGGGTCATGGATGCATGGAGGGTGAGTTTTTGAATGAAGAGGCAGGCATTTCTGGCATTGCCTCCTCTTCAATAATGGGGTTCACTGAAAGGCCGAGGGGAGGCTTGAATGCCTCTGCTATCTGGACAATTGTGCTGCTGAATCCTTATTATGCTGCTTTTTGCAGACCTGAAATCTGCACTTTCATGTAAAGGAGGACGGAAGAACAGTATACAGTTCTCTGAACTTTGTTGGCCCAAAGGTGCAAAATCAGGAAGATTTCACCCCCTCGGTGTGATAGCATGTAACGGTTCACCCAATGAAATATATGTAAGTATGTTTTTCCAGCGAAGAAAGTTTAATAGAGGAAGAGGACGAAATCATGCGGTTTTCCTAAACTTTCAGTTGATGAAGGATTCCTGTGTTCTGTTTTCATTGATTATAAAACTTTTGCGTAATATGTCAAGCCGGATCCGTGGCGCAATGGTAGCGCGTCTGACTCCAGATCAGAAGGTTGCGTGTTCGATTCACGTCGGTTTCAATACCCCGAACCAAGCCGGGATTATTTTTTTCACCTGTGTACATTTATATTTAGGCTACCCATAATTTGTTGATGCCTTTCCATGATAGCAGTTTGTTTGATCTTTTTTTTCCCTGTACAAACCCCAATCCAAATTTGAATTATGTTTTGCCCAGCACAATTTATTTAGTCTATCCACAATTTGTTGTTATCTTTTCATGACAACAATTTGTCGATCATGTTTTGCCGCTGTACAATTTATTTAATGTATCCACAGTCTGTTGTTGATTATTTTTTGCCCTGTACAATATATTTAGGTATCCACAGTTTTTGTTGATATCCGGATTATGTTTTGCCCTATACAATTTATTTAGGATATCCACAAATGTTGATGTCTTTTCATGATAACAACTTTTCATGACAACAATTTGTCAATCATGTTTTGCCGCTGTACAGTGTATTTAGTGTATCCACAATCTGGTGTTAATTATTTTTTGTCCCTGTACAATATATTCAGGGTGTTGACGTCTTTTTATGATAGCAGTTTGTTGATCATTTTATTTTGCCCATGTACAAACCCCTATCCAAATCCGGATTATGTTTTGCCCTGTACAATTTATTTAGGATATCCACAAATGTTGATGTCCTTTCATGATATATATAACTTTTCATGCATGACAACAATTTCTTGATTATTTTTTGCCGCTGTAAAATTTATTTAGTGTATCCACAATATGTTGTTTATTATTTTTTTGCTCCTATACAATCTACGTAAGGATTTGTTGAAGTCTTTTCGACTCATCATCCTCAATTTGTTGATGTGTATGATCGTGGTCAAAACAACCTTTCTTTTGTTGTTGCTTATAGGGTGTGTTTAGTTCACGCTAAAATTAGAAGTTTGGTTGAAATTGAAACGATGTGACGAAAAAGTTAGAAGTTTGTGTGTGCAGAAAAATTTTGATGTGATGAAAAAGTTGGAAGTTTGAAGAAAAAGTTTGTAACTAAACTTGGCCATAGTCATTTTTGTCTCTATCCTTGTTCATGAAAGATGACATAGATCTGATGTGATACGTCCAATCTCTTCCCATCAACTCTTCCCATTTTGGCTGAATTCAAACATATTTTACAAAATTCAGAACTTGTCCCAAATTTTGGAAATAATAGTCATTCATTTTTTTCCAAAAAAATAGTTGATTTTTTTTGTAAATTTTTTTGATTTCTACAATTTGGGACAGCTTTTAAAATTGTACAAAGTGTTTAAAATCAGCCACAAGTTTTTCAAATTTAAATTCGGTAAGGTTCTCCAAGGGTAAAAATCGTCTTTAATGTCATGAATGAATTTTGCCAACTAACTTTAAGCGTGAACCATGTGAGTTGTTGAGGGGAAAAAAAGGTAAGTTCGATTTGCTACTCTTAACCATCGTAAATATCTGATTTATTCCCCTAAACTATAATACCAGTGGCGGTGACCTCCTTCCCACAGGTTCTCCACCTCCAACTCGGTGTAGCCCATGCCATAGATTGTTGTTAGCTTGATGTCGCAACTCTCCTCTCTCTGCCGCCATATCGGCACAATAGTTCTTTACTCAGCAATACATCCTCTCTCTCGAAGGTGACGGACCAGGTGGACGATCCCAACGGCACTATTCCTTAGCGAGCTCAATGATAGGGGACCTATGTGTTCCTCTGCCGCTTGATTGAGAGAGAAATACATAAAGAAACAATAAATAAGGGAATTCCAGCGGAAGAAGAAATGGCACTTGTGTAATTTACTGACTGAATTGACACGTGTGTGTCACGTAGAATAAAAAACCACTCTCAACTAAGTTGAGGTAATTCCAGTGGCAGAGCTAGGCATTTTGTGAACCGCTACCAGACATATTAAACAGTTAAAAAAACAAAAAAAATTATTATAGAAGTGGACTGTTAGTATGCCTGGTCTCCTGCATTGATGCTTAAACGCTGCTTAATTCACATAACTAATTTTTCCGGCATAAAGTGCATGCACAAATAGACGATATCCACCGAACTTGCATGCACGCACCAGCAAGAATCAAGAACCCATCTTGCTCCACTGAAATACATTACTAGATGAGGTGATTAACTGACACTTTGCCAAAAAAGCAGCAAATCAACACACATAAATCACTCGAATCTCAATGGATCGCACGCTGAGCCTAGGCAACTGCCCACCTAGCCGGGCGGTGAATTCATCGCTGGGTAATTCATTCGGTGTAAGAGCTTAGAGGGTGTAAAATATTTGGTATTGGAGTTGAGAGAGGTAATTCATCCTTTTACGAAACTAGTGTTGATGTTTGCTAAGACTACTAGACTACGCTAGTTTTTTCTAAGGAAAATTAATGGTAAAATACATTGTGTTTGACTTTTTAAATCTTGGAGGTGTTACTTTAATCAATAATTTATGGCTAATTTTGCTACAGGACACTTAAATTTTGTGTAATTTGCTAGGATACATCGTAAAAATATTTCATGGCTGAAAGACATCAAGTCTAGTAATTTGCTGAAGGACAGTTTCAACTCAATTGAAGTGAGAAATTCTTCAAAAGGACAAGAATGCCCTAGAGAGTCAAAACCTTTTGAGCTGAGGCTGGAGTGAAGATGAAATACGATGTATGCTAGTGATGTACTTGGGATGATGACAAATTTAGAGTTGCATAATTTCTAAATTTTCACTCTAACGTCATGTTTAAAGCATGTGGTCTTATATACATTCTCGTCTTTCTTAAGAATTTATCTCTTTAATTGAGCCAAAAATGGCCTCTAGCAAAACACCAGTTTTTTAAGGTGTCTCTTAGACATGACACATTTTTCGATGTCTATCAGCAAATTGCACGAATTTTAGGTATTCTGTAGCAAAGTTTGCCATAATTTATACTCTCTTTATCTCAAAACAAGTCTACGTTCGTATATGAATCTGAATATAGCACATGTCCAGATTTATATATAAAAGTGAACTTATCTCATATATGTAGTATTAAAATAACTTTATAAAATACAATACGGTTAGATATTTGGTAAAATATTAGTACATTCTTAAGTACAATATTACATACGCCTGAGTATATACTCCCTCTGTCCAATTTTAAGTGTAACCATGAGTTTTCGTGTTCATCTTTAATCGTGTGTCTTATTTAAAAATTTTTTATAATTAGTATTTTTTGTTGTTACGAGAGGATAAAACATGAACAGTACTGTACTTGTGACTTATGTTTTAAATGTTTTTTAAAAATTTTTAAATAAGACAGACGATTAAAATTGGACGCGAAAAAACATTGATGCACTAGAAAATAGGACGGATGGAGTAGTGCCGTAGAGATTTGCCGTTGCTTCTAATCTCTTTCGCAACGTGTTAGTGGTCGTACTTAAGGGGGGTGTGTGTGGTTTGCGAGTTGTATAGGTCTTCCATCTAATCGGAGAAAAAAGAAATGTGCCTTTTTTACTATACAACGTCCAATGGTCTGACACTCTTGACTGTGTGACAGTGTGTGCGGCTTCCAGCTCTCTTGGCAAATCCTTCCACCATTCCACGCGATTTTCTCGGCTCGGCAGTCGGCACCCGCCATCTCCCGCGCGGCAGCGCCCCGCCCGCCCATGAACGGTAGTATATGCTCCGTGTTCTCCTCTCCTTCCCTCACTCTCACTCTCGATCGCTAGCCCCCGCGCGCGCGCGCGCGCGGGAGCAACGGATACCAATTCGCCAAGCTTTTTGCTCTTCTTTTTGTTTCTCACTGTGACCACTGTTACCGCCAGCTCGACGCCTTCACAAATGGGCGGCCACCGCGCGGCTGGTGCTCCTCCTCTTAGCCGCTGCTGCGGCGGCGGCGGCGGCGGCGGCGGGGCGCAGGGAGGTGGTGACCTCGCCGCACGGCGCCGTGGCGGCGGACGACGGGCGGTGCTCGAGGATCGGGCGCGACGCGCTCCGCGACGGCGGTAACGCCGTGGACGCCGCCGTCGCCGCGTCGCTCTGCCTCGGCGTCGTCAGCCCGGCGTCCAGCGGGGTCGGCGGCGGCGCCTTCATGCTCGTCCGGCTCGCCGACGGCACCGCCCTCGCGTACGACTCCCGCGAGACCGCCCCCCTCGCCGCCTCCCAGGTCAGCGCGATTCCGATCCTCCCAATCACTCGCGTACGGTAGCGTACAATCCGGTGTAGTCAAAGCCGGCGACTTCACTTACGTTTACGCTATTCAATTACATATGGTTTTCTAGATAATGAGTTCAATCACATGATTCCCGACTGATTACGATGTTCTAACCACTCAACACGATATTTAAATGGTTCTAAACCTTCAGCAATGCTGACTGAACTGAAGAATTTTATGATATCTTATTACTTGGATATATATTTCTCTTTATCTGTCACAACTTATCAGTAAATTAATCAACTCGAGAGCAGTCATTTTCCAATCCTTGTTAAAAAGCACAAGACTTGGCCGAGGTCTCCAGGTCGTCTGATTGATCTGTAGAAAATGCATGGAGTAACAATTAGTCATGCCAAATGTTACTGCTTATGCTACCACTATCCGTACTAGTCCACTAAGCCAGTGGGTAGTTGGTTGATTCACATGGTACTTGTTGCTTCCTGATTTCCTTTTCTTTTCCTCTCTTTTATGAAAAACGAATGCTTCTGGACCTGTTCTATTCTATTCTATCACAACAAATTAAACAGAAAACACAGAAAAGGGCATGAGTTAATTGACTTAGATGCACCCCCCCCCCCCTGATAGCTAGCATAATTGGGGATTTATTAGTCATGTTGCTTCAGTGGCGGATGTGCCATGGAGTGACGGGAAGAACAATGAGCATAACGAGCCATGTGGCTGGAAACATATCCTTGTAGGTGAAGTCTGTACATGCCCTAGTGGTGCCATCTACTATGCCGGTCCTTGTCTTGGTTCGCCTCTCATCCTGTTGAATGTGTCTCACGCTATCGTCCACTAGCCGTCTGCCCCCTACATTTCGCACCATTCATGGCTGGTCCAGCCCGAATTCTGGGAAAGCCAAATGGAATCCGAGTTAGGGATAGCGCCTCATGCAGCGATACAATCACGTCAATATCAGTTCGTGTTGCTTTTGCGAGGGCATGTGCAGCATTGTAGAAGCGAGAAATCTGCCTGCCAGTCGTTGATCAGTGAGAGAAAATACACACCAAGCTGTTAACTGATCAAACACATGCCACGTATTGCCATGTATTTTTCAGAAAACATAATTAGAAAACGAAATTGCTAAATGGCATTTGACGGAAAATCAAGGGGAATTTCTTACAGATTTTGAACCACCTGATTTGCTTGAAGATTCGTGCACCCAAATCCTTCTCCAGCTCCGATGAATCCATCCCCAGTATCAGGGAAACTATTTTAACAGCTCGAGTGGATGTCCACCCGTTTATTGCATGTCATCTAAATGGTTATGAAAAAAATTAAAAAAATATGAATAAGATAGATCAATATGTAATGTATCAATCCACAAACATGCAAGTTAAAATTCACTTCTACGATTGTAATAAAAATAACAAACAAAACTCAAATTACTATATGTATATTTACAGTTAAATTTGTTGTTTTTGTTACACTTGTAGAAGTTGAATTTTAACTTGCATGTTTGTGGAGTGATATATTACATATTGATCTATCTTGCCAATTTTTTTAAAAAATTTTCTGTCGCCATTTAGTTGACATGCAATAAACGGGTGGACGTCCACTCGAGCTATTAGAATCCATCCCCCCAGTATCAGCGATGACCCGCGACAAGTTAGGGTTGGATCCTAGGTTGGGATGGGGGTGGGAAGGGGTATGGGGATGGGAGGCAGCGGCCTGCGGCTTGGCGGTTGGTGGTGGACATGTGAGGGTGGCGAGGCACCACCGGCGGCGGCACCGAAGCCGTGGGGATGGAGGAAGGCGATGGGCCAGCTTTGGTGACGGGGCAAAGCAAAGTGAATGCTTAGGAGAGTGGTAGGTGGTGGCAGATTCGGTGGCAGGGAGTCACGAGAGACAGGAAAGATGGCGGATGAGGACACACCTCATCACTACTGGCTTGAGGAGGAGATCGTTTGGGGAGGCCTCACCGAAGCCTTCTGGGCTTCCAGCTAGGTGGCGATGGCAACGAAGGGGGTGGGGTGGAGTTCTAGTCATGTGCGATGGTGGTGGATTGGGAAGAGGGAGGGTTAGGGTTGGGGAGAACGACACGAATCTTAAAGTAATTCAATGGCCTACAATTCGAAAGATTTAGGAGAGTGTTGGTCGCATGGTTTAAGTTAATCTAAATGGGTTTTAATGGTAAGCAGAAGAAAAAATGTTTTATATACTCGCCAAGCCTTGAACTAAGTGTGTCAATTTGAGTATTGAAGTACTACTTAGAAAACAAAGCAGAAAACAAAGCACCACCCTAACTTTTGTTAGGAAATATAAGAGATATCTAGGAGAACCTAATCGTTTAAAATAAAAAAAAATGTTGCTCTAATTTGATCCAAAGAAGACTGGAACCGAAGTGGCAGAAAATTAGGAGGGTATATCCACAAGCAATCAAGTATCCATAGTAAAAAGAATTGTCCTAATTAATTTTCTTTTACTGGTATTATCATGCTCCATTCTAAACAAACAGAGTTAACGCTAGAAATGTCAATTGTGCATTCAGGATATGTATGGTGGCAACGAAACGCTGAAAGCAAGGGGAGCTCTATCCATAGCAGTTCCAGGGGAAATTGCAGGTCTGTATGAGGCATGGAAGCGCCATGGCAAGCTTCCTTGGAAGAGGTTAGTGATGCCAGCAGCAAAGCTTGCCCGTGCATTCAGAGTGTCACCTTATCTGAGGAAGCAGATGGAGGCAACCAGAGATGGAATTCTCCAAAATAAGGGAATAAGTGGAGTGTACACCTCAAATGGAGATATCCTTAATGTTGGAGATGTATGCCGCAACATTAGGCTTGCAAGAACACTGGTGGCTGTCGCGGAGAAAGGGCCGGATGTGTTCTACAAAGGCGCAGTTGGTGATCAGCTGGCGAAGGATATTCAGGAAGTTGGAGGGATCATAACAATGGAAGATCTGAAGAAATACCAAGTTAAGATACGTCGGCCACTTTTAGAGAATGTATTGGGACTGACAGTATTAAGCATGCCTCCTCCTTCAGCTGGTGGTGCTGGGCTAATGCTTGTAAGTTTTCTTTGTACTAAATTTTGTTCACTGTTCTTTGGTAGCTTAAGTTTGTTGATTTCAGGTAGCAAATTTAATTAGTAGAATCAACTCTATCGGATAATAGAACCTTTAAAAAAATCTTAATCTTTTCTGCACTAGTATTATCATTTTATCTTGATACCCTTGCTCAACAAACAGGTTCTGAATATCCTTACTCAGTATGGCCTCCCTGCTGGTTTTTCTGGCTCACTTGGGATCCATCGTCTAATTGAGTCCTTGAAGCATTACTTTGCAATAAGGATGAACCTTGGCGACCCTGAGTTTGTAAATGTTAACGAAGTCGTCTCTGATATGATGTCCCCTAAATTTGCTGCTGACCTGAAGAAAACCATCTATGATAACATGACATTTGACCCTAAACACTATGGTGGCAGGTAAAGCTTCTCTTTTGTGCACAAATATGTCTTCCTTTTCAAGTAGAACTGTCAGCAAAGTCCTATTAAATTCCTGCATATACTAGTATACTACTATTACTGGTGAACTAATTTAGTAATCTGCATTATTACAGGTGGAACATCCTTCAGGACCATGGAACAAGCCACCTGTCCATCGTCGACAGCGAGAGGAACGCCGTTTCGATGACCACCACTGTCAACGCGTACTTTGGATCCCTGATCCTGTCTCCGAGCACAGGCATTTTGCTCAACAACGAGATGGACGACTTCTCCATGCCGGCGAACACGTCGGCCAACTCTCCGCCGCCTGCCCCCGCCAATTTCGTTAGGCCTCTGAAACGGCCTCTCTCCTCGATGACTCCGACGATAATACTCAAGGTGACCACCACCTCGCGCAATGGAAAATAACACGAACTCTCAACTCTGAAGAAAGTTCATTTGAAATGTCTGAAAAGTTCAGTCTTCTGAAGATGGTTTTTTTTGTTCTGATTGGTTTGTGCTTTATCTGTCGTAGGATGGCAATCTGAAGGCTGCGGTTGGAGCTAGTGGTGGGAGCATGATCCCTGCTGGAACCATGGAAGTGCTCCTCAACCATTTCGTCAAGAACATGGACCCGTTGTCCTCTGTCATGGCGCCAAGAGTGTATCACCAGGTGATCTGGGCTTAACGTCTGCCTTTTCTTCTCTTCGTAGAAATTCTTCTTTCTGATGAGCTTTGGTTTGATTCTTGCCATGGCTGTTTGCCCTCTCTGGCTGGCTGCAGCTGATCCCGAACGTGGTCCAGTACGAGAACTGGACGACGGTGACCGGCGACCACTTCGAGCTGGACGCCGCGACGAGAGCCGACCTGCGGAGGAAAGGCCACGTCTTGGAGCCGCTCGCCGGAGGGACCATCAGCCAGCTCGTCGTGGACGACGTCGAGCGCCACGGCGGTCTGACCGCCGTCAGCGACCCCAGGAAAGGCGGCTTCCCGGCCGGCTATTAGACCGGAGTGGCTGAGCTATAGCTGCCTAGCTTTGATGCAGCGATGATTGCTTGCTGCGCCATTCATGGACATATTTGTACACGTCGTTCTGTTCTATGATTCTATCGAATAAATAATACTCCCTCAGCTTATAAAATGTTTTAACTTTGATCAAACTTAAACTGCTTCAAATTTAACTACTCCATCCGTTTTACAATGTAAGTCATTCTATTATTTCCTATATTCATATTGATGCTAATGAATCTAGACATATATACCTATCTAGATTCATTAGTATCAATATGAATGTGAAAAATGCTAGAATGACTTACATTGTGAAACGGAAAAAATAGTTTATAGACAAATATAGAAATATTTATAAACTTGGTCAAACTTGAAGCAGTTTGATTTTGATTAAATTCAGAATATTTTATAACTTAAAACGGATGGAGTAATAACTGCAGTGAATTTTAAATTTTTGTTTGAAATTGTTAGCGATCATCCGTGCAAAATAAGCTACTCCAGTACTGTTTTGTGGACACGTTTGTCACGTGACACGTCACGGTGCGTTTGGGATATTGAGATGGCCCAGATATCCCATGACTACTAAGGCCTGGACTGGACGTGGCTAAGTGGTTGCTCCTAGTCCGTGGCCTGTGGGTTTACGGCCCACTTGAATCAGAATTGGCCTGCGCCGGATTTGGGGTTTGGCACGTACTGTTTTTTTTTCTTTTTTTTAGACACACTACAAACGCAACAAACGCAGACACTCAACTTAAAAAAAATAATAATAAGCAGTAAATACAAGTATTGGTGTTAAGTCTAAGACTTAAACCTAGGTGAACTGATTTCCCCATAAGAAACTTAATCACTTGAGTTATGTTAAATTTACAAACCTCATGCTCATAGCAGGAGGAAGGAAAAAAAATAGCGAATCGTAGGAGATACCACGCGTACATGCATGTGTGCGGCTGTCGTCTGTGAGACTGTGACCCGTGTTGATCATGGTCGGCGGCGGCGGCGGCGGCGTGCCGGCACTGGCAACGTCGAGAGCCACTGTGTCACTGGTCGCCGATCGATGGAAACGCATGGCTAGGACTCATGAGAAAATCAAGTTATCTCCTGTGTTATCTAAAAAAAAAAGAGAAATTCAAGTTTCAAATCCTGCGTAGAAGGAGCAAGGAGGAGGGCACGGACGAGACGAGAGTGAGTGACCGGAGAGCGCCGGCAGGCGATCGATCGGTGTGGAGCGTTACTTCCGAAGAGTGGCAGCTGCTATCACAATCCGTCGATGGTGGCTCAGTTAGGTACACAAGGAAGCACTGATTTGAACATTTCATATACGCATTGTTTCGATCCATGTCGACTCACACCCCACTAATTAATCTATTGCTAGTACAAGCTAGTACTTGACTTCAACAGCTACCAAACATGCCAGTTAATTTACTTGTGACGTATCGCTGGGAAGTTAATTTTTCATCAGTTCTCACGCCGGGTCAAGGCTCTCCCTATCGGTCTCAGCGTGCCTGTGTTGTGTACGTGTCATGGCAACGGGCAATGGAATTCATGCACCAACCCAAAATCGAGAGAGCAAGAGAGTTACACGCCGTTTACCTGCTAGCTAACCAAGACTCCGACTCTTCTATTAGTACCTACACATATGGCAGTGAGACTCTCTCTAGTAATTACAGTAAGACACACTTCTCAGAAAAGAAGTACAGAGCTTGCCCAGAGAGAAAGAGAGAGGTGAAGATGGAATCCATGGTAGCAGGAGACCTCGTACAGGCCTACGTGTTGAAGAAAGCCTGCAAGGAGAAGATGAGGGCCGAAACAAACGCCGGCGAGGCAGCGGCGGCGGCGATGACAGGAAAGAAGACGGCGGTGGGCGGTGGATCGTCCGAAAAGAAGACGGCGCCTGAGGTTAGCAAGGGAGAACGCCGGGGATTCTCTGGGCTGATGATGATGAAGAAGAAGGTGCACCCGAAGTAAGCTAGCAGATCGAACTAGCTAGCTATCTTCAAACCACCACTGATTGCAGATTTGCAGGGCTTGGTCATCACTCGTCAGTGGCACATAGTTGTTGCTAGGTTGTTTTTGCTCTAAATTAAGCCTGTAAAACTGTTCTCGTGTTTCCTTGTTTCGCTCTTAAGGAGTGCAAGTGTATAATTATGGCAATACATGAAGGCATGAACCAGCAAATTTCTTGGTTACTTTGCAAAATGTTGTGGAATGTTTTAGTAATTTTCTCGGAGAAGGAAAATGGGTTTTAAGGGGCTGTTCAAATTGATGTCATTTTTAATCATACCATTTTTTTTCTGACATAGTTGCTAAAAATATCTCTACGTTTAGTTTGTTGCCAAACTTTAGTAAATACATAGAAAATCTTTTGGTAAAATTTTGATAATATTACTAACTTACCAAAATTTTAGCAATATTTATTTTAGTTACAATTTGAATAGACCCTAAAAAATCTTCAACACGGAAGATCCTGACTTCTAAAGAAGGACATATCATTAGTTACAGTTCACAAGCTAACAAAAATTGCAGCGTACGTGCCGGCCATTCAGCAAGCTGCACAAAGCTTACGACAAGCCAAGGGACGGTAACAGCAGCTTACCTAAGTACCTCGTGTTACTTAAAGACACAAAACAAATATTCTAGTACCCTAAACTCCTAATCTCCTTTTCACCTGAGTTCTGGAGGATTTCACGAGCATCAAACTGCATTCTGTATCCGGCCGCTCTTCGTGCTGTGGTATACTGTCCTGTCTGTGTAAGCGGACAAATAGCACTTTGGGCCATAAGTTGGGCTAGCTGTGCCACGCTACTTTATGGGATTCTTTATATTGGGCCTAAGTCTCCTTGCTAAAGAAACTATCCAATTTGATTCCCTCAACTATAGGTTGAGTCTAATTCATATCCCTCACCTGCAAAATCAGGTATAACAACACCTCCAACTATTAAAACAAGTGCAAAATGATTACCTCGATAATATTGATGGTAGTTTTCATTGACGTGACACATTGACATAGTCTTCATCCTACGTGTCAATTTTACAAGAAAAAAAACCATGGGACCACATGTCAGTCACTAGGGAAAAAAATTGCGGTGCCACTTGTTAGCCATTCCTCCTCTCTTCTCTCTCGTCCCATGTAAATGGAGGGGTGATGGCGAGGAGTCATGCAGAAGTAGGCCTCTAAAGCAACGGCGGAGGACAGCAGGTTAACCTAGTCTCAGGATGAGGAGAAGAAGAGCACGATGTGGAGGAGGGAAGAGGAGCAGCATCGCTACGCTCAGTAAGGAGGTGGCCCGCACAAGGAGGAACAACGGTGGCCATCCTCGTCATTGTTGCCAACCTGCCATCATCGCTGCTGGCCTCTTCGTTCTCTTTCCTCGTCAGCCTGTAAGAGAGGAGGGTGTGAAGGTAGAGGAGAGAGGGGAAGAGAGGAAAGAGATGGGGTAGCGCTCACTTACCTAGCCACCGCTAGCCAGCACTGGCAGGAGGAGCGCAACGTGATGATGTTCGCAAGGAGGAGCACGTGCTAACGGCAGCTACTGTCCTCTTGCCTCGAGCCTGGGTGGCCGCCTCTGTGCTATTTTCTTGATTTCGTTGAAGATTTGGTACGAAACATGAATGCCCGATTCATTGATTTGTTGAAGTTTTGGCGTGGTTGCAGATGTCAGGTCACTATCCGTGCTAGTGCACGTGAACATGACGATTGTGGGAGAGGAGTGGGTCAGGGTATGTCAGGGTGCTTACAAGCACTGCTTTTAGGTGGCTCCATAGACACGTGCACCTTGCACTACAAACCGACCCGCGTGCAGGCCAGCAATGATGCTCGAGCTCACTGATATTCCATCAGTGTGCTCATGAAAATAGATAGGAGGGTGTCCTTTGTGCGATGTCCCAACCGAATCAATTCAATGGTTAGGGTGGTGACAAGATCTGGGTGAACGACCGATCTACAACTCTCATTTAATCTCCAACATTATCTTTGTGGTTTTCGTCAGCCGCTATGTCAGCGAAATTCGACCGGTATAAATGTTATACGGAGGTACTGTTTTTTTATTTGAGGAAGACAAGAACTATATATATAACTTGCAAGCTATGGGGATAAATAACGGTTGTGTATATTTTTGTCAACTATAGATTAAGCTTATCTTTATCTTTAGGCTGGTAATCTAAGTAAATTTCTTGTTTTCAATTAAGCTATGATTTTATAATACAAATTAATTTAACATGAAATGTTTTTAATAACTAGTTATAGTTTCTTTAAAGTAAAGGACGAAATGATTTTCATTATCAAAAGCAATTCATCTTGACCAACTTCCCTCCTGATATGCATACTCGGGCATATACTATAGGAGGAAGGGAAAAAAAACAGGGCCGGATTTTTTTTACTCCTTTTTTCATGATGCATTTTTCTTTATCCACGATCATCAAGTGCGCGGTGTGCATGCTAATTAGCTACTACTACTAATTATTGTTTCAGTACGTAGTAGTACTAGACAGTTTGCATTTGTACATCATTAGTCGTTTCTTGATCATGGCCGCCGTATTGTTGCCGCAGCGCAGGCACAGCCTCCTTTGCTGGAGAAGACGACGACGAGGCCTCCTTATTCTTTCCCCACAGTACGAAATACAGCCCAATGATTACCAGAGCAGATCCTATCACACTGCATATATGTATATATGCACATGATTAATGCCAATCAATTTATACTAGTAATTAGACATGATCGATCGATGTGATGAGCGTAACTAACGTACGTACATTCCAAGATGGAGTTGCTCATGGAGAACGATGACGTTGATAGCAGCTGCGATGATCTGGATGAGGGGCGTGAACGCCGTCGTGAACACAGGCCCTCTCTGCTCCACGCACCATGACATCGCCAAGAACGCTATTCCTGATCCAACTATCCCCTGCATTTATATTCATATCATACTACAAAACGCTATAATGTTGAATACTATACAGTTTACGTTACTGACATTAGCATGATATCTAGGTATATCATGTGTATATTATGTCTGCTACCTGACGCCAGTAAATCAAGTATTCCGTTGGAAAGTAACGGGTATAGGCTTCCCCTACTCGTCCTCCATTCATATCGATCACAATTACTGTAGCAATTACTACTAACTAATTAAGGTGTATATATCAATTAAACGTACCACAAAGAGCACGGTGATGATCTGAAGCTTCGTTGTTAAGATCCATGGGGATAAGCTAATTCTGTCGACGGCCAACGCGACTGCAGCCATCTGAAGGAAGCTGAGCAGGAACATCAGGGCAGTGCCCGAGTAGAGCGCCGGGTACTTCTTGGCGATCCTCGACTGCAGGATGAACCACAGGGACCAGCAAGCTGAACCGCCCAGCAGCGCCACCGACCCGATCGCCCACCTGTGCGCGCCGCCGCCGCTGCCATGACCGACGACTGCCGCCGTTGCAGAAGAAGAAGATGATGACGATGATGATCGAGCAGCAGCAGGTCCTAGCTTGGTGAGCGATGGACCCTGGTAGAGAGCGAGGATCATCGCTCCGCTGAATCCTAACACTGTGCCTCCCACTTTTGCTATGCCAGCTCCTGTCTTCAGGTCCACTTTCTCCAGCCTGCACTAGTACTAGCTTAGCTTACATCTTTCCGAGGAAGTGATTTCATGCATGCCACCTAAATAGTTATAATTTTTTTAAAAAAATTGTCATCTATATTGCTAATTTTTTTTAAAAAAATTAATATCTATTTTGATGACATGCAAACAACGAAAGGATGTCTCCTTGAGGAATAAAAATCCACATCCCATCTTTCAAATATTTCTTCTTCTTTAGTACTACTCCTAAGTAGTTACTCCCTCCATTCCAAAATATCACTCTGTCCAAATTTATAGTATTAGGATATGTCTCATCCGGTTCTAGATTACTATATTCTAAAACGAGGGAGTAGTTAGGTTGTTAATTGCGTACCCATAAGGCAGTGCTACAATGAAAGTGAAGATGGGAGTCATGTTGATGAAGGCGCAAGCGAATGTTGCTGTGGTGTACTGCAGCCCCAAGAAGAAGAGCCATTGGGTAAGGGACGCTCTGCATGCACCATTTTATTATTATTAATTACTATGTAATTAATCAATTCATTTGTTAGAGAAAAGAATATATATCGATCTTTCAATTCATCAAGTTAAAATTGCTAGCTACTACTAGATATATTATACATATATGAAAATGACTTGCCCGAGCACTGCACTGAAGAAGAGACACACCAAGATTTCAGCCGTAAGCTTTGGTCTTGTCTTCCTGCATGCATATTTGGCACATACGTATCAACCAACTAGTAATTAATACACATATATATGGTACTATACAGCTGCTAGCTAGCAATATATAGTAGTACCAATACTAATCGATTAACGCATATATACGAAATTAAAACCTATCAATTAACTGATATGCATCGGACTAAACGAATAACTGCCATTTATACAAAACACTTATCCTGAGCACACTCAAGGGAACCATAGATAGGTAAGTGAAATCCAATTCATGAAATAATTTAATCCATGGACGGCACCATTGTGGTAAAGGTCGTAATTCAAGTGAATCAAAAAGAATTAAGTGTATATTTACCTCTCCCGGAAGTAGGCGATTGGGGCGAGGAAGAGAGTGGCGATGAGCTGACGGAGCGTGATGAGGACGGTGGAGCGCATCCCCTCGTTGAAGGCCATCTTGGTGAGGGTGTTCATCACCGCGAACACCACCACCACCCCAACCATTGTCAACGTTGGCTTCCAACTATTACAGCTACCCATTAATTCAGGATCTCTTGACCATAATCTTCTTTTTATCTGGCTAGAGCTTAGCTATACCTATCTGCAAATGTATATGTGTGCTTGCTAATGTTGCTTTCGCCTTGCTATATGGCATCAAGCATGCTGCTGGTGGCAACAATTTATATGCATGCCTGGCCTCCAAGTGACAATTTGACAATATTCCGTTCCTTGCTTTACTACATATATCAACATATATCGCGCGGTACGTACGTATTTCTGCATTGCTTTAATTATGTGCACTCAATTAGAAGGATGCCAATAAGATATTATAGTATTAATTAGCCTTACTTTCTTACACCACTCAAGTTGAACAACTTATCATCTTCATGCCCAAAAATATTTTTTTAAGAAAAAGATAGAGGAAGAATTTGTTCATCAGCTTTATATATGCATTTTCTCTTTAAAAAAAAAAGAAAAGAAGAATGAGAAGGTTGGATGCTTGGCTGGCATGGAAAATAGGACAAGGTACGCGTTTAGATTACATAACAAGGAGTAATATATGTATGTCAAAGACAGTAGTAATGATGATGAGATTTTCAGGTATTGTTTGGTGCCACATACTGTAGTATAGTTAGTATTATATATAAATCATATCTTCAGGTTAGTAGTAATGATGATGAGATCTTCAGGTCTGTTCTTTTCTCCTTCCTTATTAGATCGATCATATCTAGCTACCTAGTAGTGATTAATTAATTTGTCGTGCAGTTTTAATTTGATCACAGGGAGAGAGATGCTGGCTGCATATATATATATATATATTTATCAAAGCTGGCAACATGTATAACTTTATAGGGATTAAAAAACATTTTTATTCTGAAAGAAAATGAGATAGATGCTTTAATTTCTTTGGTGCGTCATCCGTTGTTGGTCAGCAAGGTGACTAGGAGGGAAGGGGGAAAAAGGTTAAAGCTGACTTATAGTATATGCCCCAACAAGGAAAAGAATGATCATTAAAAAAACAAACATTAAGATGGAACAAATATATATAGCAATTAAACTATATAAATCAGATACCATGCATAGCTGGGCCTCTCCTCTCAGCTAGAGCATCCGATGCTCCATTGAATACTAGTAGAACATTCAATGCACGTACGCATGAAGGAATTGATCCGATGTGTCATTTTTGCCGGATGGAACACATGGGCTGGCCGGGCGACCAATTTATGTTACTAACAATTAAGTTTTTCTAAGGATGGCACGTCATTGTATAAGGAGATACTAACACAATTATGTTACTTTAGTCTTCTTCAGGGCATCTTAATTAATTACTCTAAATATTATTTTCTTCCGCTGGAATTCTTCCGTTTGCAAGCGAAAGCAACCGTGTCACACGCTGTCACTTCGTACCGGCCATACTCATACTCATATAGTCATATTATAAGCATCACATATGCAGTAATGCTCTTTTTTTATAATGGAATAACATTTTGATATTTGTTTAATGAGTTACTACCCATTATTATAAAGTTTACGCATAAATAAATCCAACGCACACTGACGTGATATTAGTGAAGTAGTGCATTAATATGCTGATTTTTATGCCCCCCCCCCTACGTCATATAATATATGCTAACCGACCAGGCATCATATCAGAAACAGTAAAAATTCAACCTTTGTGTACGTGCGCTGAATATATTATTTCCTCTGCTTTTGCTTGCTCCTTTTATTTTCCAGGAACAATACTGTATGATGCTTCATTAATTAAGCGTATTAATATTCATTTTATTTTATGATACAAGAAAATATAATTGATTTTATTTATATGAAATGAAACTTTGCACGATCGATCCGTCAAAAGATATAGGAAAGGGAGAAAACATTGCACGATGGCCGTGTTTAGATTCAAAATTGTTTTTTCAAACTTCCAATTTTTCCGTCACATCAAATGCTTGGAGCATTAAATATGGACGAAAAAAACCAATTGCACAGTTTACATGTAAATCGCGAGACGAATCTTTTGAGCCTAATTATGCCATGATTTTGATAATATGATGCTACAGTAAATATTTGTTAATGACAGATTAATTAGGCTTAATAAATTGTCTCGCATTTTACAGGCGGAATCTATAATTTATTTTGTTATTAGTCTACGTTTAATACTTCAAATGTGTGTCCGTATACTTTACAATAAATTTAGCACACAAACTAAACATAGCCTATGTAAGATTTCGATCGAAGTGGAAGGTACTGAGATATGCTGGTAGCCGACACTGACAATTAATGGTTTGCAAAGCAAAGGCATTCGATCCTTGACGTTCTATGTCTCTCTTGATCGAGTTAATTCGATAAATTTCAAATCTTTTTTTTCCCTTTTGTATGCGGGCCTTGTAATCATCGTATGAATATTTTTCAATTGTTTGGAATCAAACGATGGATGGATGGAGAGTATATGTACTTCTAGCTAGCCCTTTATTTTAGTTTTCCCCTTAATTTCGCAAAAAAAAAAAGGCAGAGAAGAGGAAGAAGAACAAGTATATATTCCATTTGTCTAAATATTTAACGTTACGAGGAACATATAATAAAACTTCCAGAACTTTGACATCAATAATTCTCAAATATTCAAGTTCTTTTTAAAAAGTGATATATGTATATTTGGCTTAATATTTTAAACATATTATATTTTATAAAGTTAATAATAAAAAGTAATAGTTGGAGCAATTGAATCTTATTTTAAATTATATATATTTATAATCAAATCATATCTTATACTAAACGTCAAATGTTAGTTAAATACTGCATGCAATTAATCCGTGCGTATATGCATAAGTTAGCTCATATATATATATATATATATATATATATATATATATAGTGAAAGAGCATGTAGTCTAGTGGTTGTAGTGATCTGAGTAACACCCTGTTTCATAAGTTCAAATCTTTGGCTAAGTTCCATGTTTAATAGGTTAAATTCCTACTCCCTCCATTTCATAATATAAGAGAGATAATTGGTGAATGTGATCACATCCTAGTGTAAGGGAGTAATTTAAAATGGCTGCATAATATATCCGGTTGGATATAAAGGCCGAAAAAAAAAACCCTTCCAAAAAAATAGTTATATATAGGAGGATACTGTATCACTGGAGTATGCACGTACGTATGCAGTGCACTGTTTGACTGACGTACTATAAGGTAGGAGGACTAACGAATATTGATCTTCATCGACCATTCTTCTTATCAGTATTCGTTCGTTCGTTCATTTATTTGTCATCGATGATATGATCCATCCATCATTCCATCTTCAACCGATTCAATTCTCATCTTCCCTTTCACAAAAGAAACCGACCGACAGACAGAGAATAACTAGTCCACGTCTCTGCATAGTGTATACTCCTGCTCCCGTGGATCTGATCTTCTTCCTCAATCGTCAATTCGTCAGCATACTGCTCGCTTACTATATATGACGAATCATTCTGCCCGGGGTTTGATAAAATAAATCTACATCCTATTATTAATTCAAGATCTACAGATTATTAAATTTTAGCATATTTTGTTTTAACAAAAAGTAGCACATTGTGTGTACATTAAAGGAAATTATATCATTTTCTAGATATTTTTTTAATTTCTACATAAATTTATTATAGCTTTTGATCCCACGGTGTCCTTTTTCCTTCCTAAATAGTAGGAAGTTGGTGGTGGGGTTGTAAGATCAAAAAAAAACCGAGCTTACCATAGGGAGGTGAAAAGTGATAACATTAGCAGAAGTCAAATAACCAAACTTCGATAGATAAAAAACTCACCCCAACCTTAAAAACCAAAAGATCAAACTTTGACACTCTAACCGGATCTGTACGGGTGGCTAATCGGGCTTAGAACTGGTTTGACTGAAGTACAATTACTAGTTCGATCGTCAGATTAAAAAGAACCTTACATCACTTGTGTAAAATCTTGTTTTCTCTAAAACCAGCCATTAGATCGAGCTCTAATCTTGACAGGAAACTAAGAGACAAATCTATCGAAGGGTCATGCAAAAGTAATAAACGGTTTAAGAGAAAACATCTCAAAAGCTAGACGTCTCAGAAATTTCATCAAATATGAATAAAACATAAATTTTAAGCAAATTCGAGTCAAGCAAATACCAATGAAACCTTTTAGATCTGATCTATAATATAATAGAAATGTTTCGGGTGGATTAACTTGAACAAAACCATAACAAAACTAAGAATCACAAATTAATGCCAAAAACGAAAAAAATAAAGATTACAAAACCAGAAAAGATCGTTGACGCCTTGTTGATTGAATATGATATTTCTTTTTCAAGTAGTATTCATAAGACGGTCATTGCACCTCTCACGAATTTCTCACATAACCCTAACACAAAGAGTAGTAAACTCTTTAATCTCTCAATTGTGGCTTACCCTCAATGCATAGCCTCCCTTATTCACATCTAATTACAAAATCAAACTAAACTCCAACTCTCTTGAACTTGGACTCCAATCCAAATTCAACTTATCCATACGCACACAATTCCCCTTGTCACCTCCATGTGCATTATTCTCTAGCCTTGGTATCCACATGATCTCCTTGATCTTCTAGAACTCAACTTCTACCAAGTCTAGTCTTGATCCATCATCGGCAATACTCTCGTGACCTCAAGCAACAGCTACACGTTAACAAACAAAGAAACCATATTTGAGCACAAGATCTTCCCCAATTTGACTCACATATATCTCACGTATAGAAACCATCTAAAAGTCATAAACATTTAGCAATCAACATATTCGATAGAATCAACCCAAAACTGATTCATCAGGAGTTTGCCGGTCTAAGTGCTCCCTCCCATGGCAGTCAGATCGCTGGCCCCATGGTGGTGAGACCACTCTTGCCATGAAACTTCGCCAAATTCAACATCACTTCACAAACATCAGCTCAATCACTTTTTTATCACTCTTAATAATTCTTTATCACCAGAATCAAATCAACACCTTAATTTAATAAGGGTGGTGATAAATTCACCACTCACCACCACCGCTACTCTCTTTTAAAAAGAGTTAGAATAGATTACTAATTCTCTGCAGTTGTGATAGTTCAATCCAGTTGACCAACTATAAGATGTTTTTGATTAATTGGGGAGTTTCTTTTCAGAGATCCCAACTAGTATACAAACAATATGAGAAGGGCTACAATGTTTTCCAAAAATAAAAAAAACACAAATCGCAACGCACAAGGGTCAATTACTCTTTTAGACGGTGCCCATATAGAAAGCCCACCGGGCTTGCTTTCAACCGTCATGTGGGCTAATGTTGGATTTAAGTATCAGGCTTTAATGTTTGATGTTAATCACATGGCAAATCGGTGATGCAAGTGTAGCTCAACTGGTTATGTTTTTCTTGTGGTGGAATCAACCCACCTGAGTTTTAGTCCTATACTTAACATCGATGCTCATATTTACATCTAATTATTCTTTCGATGGTAGGTGGCTGTCGGTGACACGGGACCAGGAGTACCATGACTAGAGGCTTGAGGCAGACATAATCGCCCACGTGGCCTGGCACCCTCGGGGGACGTCGGGCCCGAGGGTGACGTGTTCGCCCTCCTCTTAGTCTCCCCAAGGGGGTCGGGCCACTCCCGCCTCGGCCCCGAGGGCCGAAGCGCCCCGACCCCTCGTGGTTTCTCCTCCGCGTGTATGGGTTAGGTGAGCACAGCGGGGCTCACCTAACCGCATTTATTGCGGTTTGGTTGAACCTGTCATGCCGCATGTAACGCAGTGCAGTGCGCTCGTTTATCCGGTCTGTGACAGGTCACAGACCGGTCAGATCGCGGTCAGGTCGCGACAGGCGGTCTGACGCACGCCTCGCCCCATCCCGTCAGGACGAGGGCTTCTAGGCGCTCGTTCCCAGACGGAGCTAGCGTGTTACCTCTTAGAGATGGCACGTTAGTCCCGGTTAGATATATGCCAGGCTTCATTCTAACCATTACAGACAAGATGTTGTGTGAAGAAGGGCAAACATGCATATTGCTAAGCTGACGCGTGGTGGACAAGAATGACCGATTTGTGACCAGTCTGACACTGATCATGTCGTCAGCAGACAGCCACGTTTCCCACGTCGCACCTGCCTCCGGCGGAAGTGGAGGTAGGTATGTGCCGTCCCATCAGAAGATCATTCGGACAGCAATGATACAAATCTCCGTCCATTTATGAAGAGAGGGCAAGTCCAGTTTGGAAAGGGAGAGAGGGTGCATGTGGTATCCCCTTAAGATATAAAAGGAGGACCTTGCCCACTAAGAGAGAGGGACGGGACTCTGGTAGATTGAGAACGGAGAGCAACGGAGACTCTGGTTCATACTTTGTAGCTCCTTCATACACAGATCCACCAAAAACACAGGAGTAGGGTCTTACGCATTTCAGCGGCCCGAACCTGTATACATCGCCTGTGCCTCGTGTGCTCTTTCGACTCTCGCGAACATTGTACACACAGAGAGCTTAGGATTTCACCCTGAGCCCCCGGTCGAACCGGCAAAGGGGGGCCTGCGCGGTCTCCCGGTGAGGAGCCCCGCGCTCCGTCAGTGGCATACCTATTGACAACGAAGTGCCCGTGTGGTGATCGACACCTTCATTAATCTCAAGATATGTTGGTCTAATATTTTAGGGGTGTTAATAGGGATAGGGTGTGCGTGAGTTTTTTCGAGGTGTTCATATGGATATATAATGTGTATATGTGTTCCTATAGGGTGAGTGTGTGCGCATTGTGAGTACTTGTATTTGTACTGTGTTTAAAAAGAATCATATTTTAGAGGTGTTCGTAGGAATAGGATGTGGTGAATCTTTTAGAGGTATTCTTAGCCATATGGTGTACTTGTGTGCCCGTGGTGATGGGCACCTTTGTCGATCTAAAGATATATTGATTCAGTCTGTTGGTAAAATGGGAACTGTAATACCCATTTACCTGGTAAAAGCATTATTATCAAATAAATAGTATGCTCAGAATGTCCTTAAAAATAAAAAAGGAAACCCTAGGGTGGCGTAGCTAGGGGCCCACTCCGGAGGGCCCCAGGCCCACCTAAAATTTCATACATGGGGTTCACTCCGGCTGAGGAGGAATATTGAGTGTATGGCCCAAAACTCTGAGTATCAAAGCAGCTTGGGGCCTAGCTTGGGTCCCAAGCATACCCTAAAGTATATACCTTAAGAATGTAACCTAAGGTCTGCCCGGGGCCCGATCCCATTCCGGGCCCTAGGCTCACCCTAGTCCTCGCAGGTTCTACGGTTCCCGGCAAGAGGAGTGTAAAACATGCAAGACCTATATGCCTTAAGAGGATAAACTATGGTCTGCCTCGGGCCCGGCCAAGTCCTGGGCCTCAGGCTCACCTTAATCCTTACAAGTCACGCATTACTCAAGGAAGAGGGGTGACGGGGCTTGCCAAGCATAAAGGCGTAAACCAAGGTGTGCTTCGGGCCCCGAGCTCAACTTGGACCTTGTATAGCTTGCGTTCCTCTGCTTAGAGGGTTGTCCAAAGGTACAAGACGCACAATCTTAAGATATTCTTCCATCAACAACGCCTTCGAGAAGCTCCTCACGGAATAATTAACCTTCTTTAAGTGCGACAGGGCGCGATCTCAGAAACTTCCAGGAAGTTGGCCGTGCTCCACAGCCAACTATAAGGTAGCACGCCCCGCCATAAATGAAACAGGTTTATGGGGGGATTCCCGACCAGTCTGAGTTGAAAGGACGTAGACAAGACGCCAGAGCTAAGTCACTTTGGACGGTGGCGCCTGGGACACGCGTCGCACATGCCCCATGCCACTTCATTTAGCCAAATAGACAGATAAGTACTGTGGCCTTGTTTCGGGCAAGTCGGGCCTCGTCGAGCCCACCACGCACCACGTGGTGAGCACACTGGCGAAAGCTCAACTATTTCAGACGAAGCCCGGGAGCCCGGGGTAATATGAACTGTAAGACTTGAACGGTTTCTTGGGGCTGCGTTATGACACCGGCTGGCAATGACAAGACGGTTGATGAGACAAGACTAAGAGTAGATTTGTAATAATGTGAGCCCCTCTTTGGACTATAAAAGGAAGGGGACTAGATACAGATGAAGGGTTGGATTCTTCTAGGCCAAATCTATTGCTTTGTAGCCGAAGAAGGCCTCCTTCGTACTTAGTTGATCTAGAGAAAAAGAACGAACACCAACACAGAAGTAAGGTATTACATCTTCGAATGGCCTGAACCTATATAACCTCCTGCCTCCTCCTCGCGGGGTGGTCAGACCCCATGAATCCACCGCGATCGCAGATACCATGAACCGTACGCCGACTAACCCCCTGGCCAAATCTTCACTCAGGGAGAGAGGTCTCCACTCCCCGCTGTCTGAGGGACCACACCCTCCGACACATTCTTTTGAAGGTGTTCATGTAGATATTTAGTGTGCGTGCGTTCATATGAGATGAATGCGTATGCATGTTGTGGGCAATTATTATTTGTCCTGTGCTTAAAAAAAATCATATGGCAGATTGTGTTGCTAGTTCCGTTGAAAACGAGAGACAAAATCATGCTACCAATTTGATTTGTGATCTTCCGATCTGCTTCGCGAATGGCAAACTACTAGTACTCCACTTCAGTACAACCAATCGACGGTTCGGCCATAAATGCCACTGACTTCAGCTGTCCACCATCCAGCCTCCCAAGGTTCTGGATCACATCGTGCCACCGTGCCGGCTCGGCTCACGCGTGGATGGGGAAGACGGCGACCGAAGGGGACAAGGAGGCGGGGCGGGGCGGCGGCGGCGGCGGCGGCGCCCGCCGCCCCGTGGTGCTGGTGACGGGCTGCTCGGAGGGCGGGATCGGGCACGCGATGGCGCGGGCGTTCGCGGCGGCCTGGGTGCGCCTGTCGTGGCCACGGCGCGGTCGCGCGCCTCCATGCGCGGGCTGGAGGGGGACCCGCGGTACCTGCTGCTGGAGCTCGACGTGCGCTCCGACGAGAGCGCGCGCGCTGCCGTGGCCGACGCCGTCCGGGAGCTCGGCCGCGTCGACGTGCTCGTCAACAACGCCGGGGTCCACCTCGTCGCGCCGCTCGCCGAGGTGCCCATGGAAGAGTTCCAGCAGGTGTTCGACACCAATGTCTATGGTAGGGGTGGAAATTTTTGCTCCCTTTTTTTTCTTCTTTGTTTTAATTGCTGTCTCTCGTGCTTGCTGGTATTTGGTGATTGCGATGTTCTCGAAGAAGACGGGATTTTAGATCCTGCGATCAGGTGGTCCATTAAGTATGATTAGTAGGCAATTAAAATGTTTGTTCTTGTATCTATCGATTGGTTGAGTAGTACAACGGCAGAAAAGTTGCAAATTTAGGATTACTTTGTCAAGACATTTTATCCTGTTAGTGCCAGTACTAATTTAGGAAAAGTATGTAAAATCTTCTGTAGTCACTTGCAGCACTGGATTACTTATAAGTTTGCAACTAGGAACCCTATGTTAGCAAGGAGATGCGTTAATATTTAGTAGATCACACTGAGCTGGTTCTAGTTGTGCACCACAATGAAAATCCAACCAAAAGAATAGCTTGGTGGCATGATATGTTTAGTAACATGGGGTTTCATTGGCGAAATTGCAGTACCAATAGTTGAAAGATGTATTATACACTTGCACACTCTAACACTAGTCAGATCAGTGCTCCCAGGGCACGCTTCCTGTCAGTTGCACAAATTGACAGTCAAAGTGCAGTGACGATGCTGCGATGATGTTGATTGGGAAGCAACTGGAATGTGGAATTGACTCATTCTCTCATTGGATCTGACAAATTATTTTGTCCCATTAAGTGTATGATTCACAATAGCTCTTAAACCAATGTAAAGGTATTTGAAAGGAGCATAGCCTGTTAACCTACAATTAGGCTTTCCACGCTGTTTCATACGCTGATAAATAGTCTTCAACCGGACGTAAATATATGTAATTCCAATGTAAAAATGTATGCTGGTTGAACTGCTGAGTTATTGTTTCATAATGCTAGAATGATGATGGAGGCGCAGGGGGGAATAGTTATCAATTAGGCTTTCCACATTGTTTCATAATGCTTGAATGGTTCATGGCTTCATGCTTGTGCAACAGCTTGTTTGAGATTACTTACATTGGGCCTGCACTTATGAAAATGTCTAAATGACTGTCTTTTCATCTACAGGAGCAATGAGGCTGATTCATGCTGTTATTCCCCAAATGATAGAAAGGGAACAAGGTACAATAGTGAATGTTGGAAGTATAACAGCTTTGGCTCCTGGACCATGGGCTGGTGTATATTCAGCATCAAAAGCCGCTCTTCATGCATTGAGCGATACGCTAAGGTCTGTACATTCAAGGAGCACTCTATACTATGCTGGTATTATTATGCCACATTGTTTTTCTCTCCGTATTACTGCTGGTTTATCACTACTCTGAGAACTTGCTAAATTGTTTGATCGTGCAACAAAATGCTTTTCAACAGAAGCTATAATAAGAAATAAAAATGAATAACGATACAATAGTGTGAGACTATTCGAAATTCCCATTTGTTTGTTTTCCATGTCATCTTCTTGTATATTCAGTTCTTTTCGACTTGCACCGCATGATCTGTGGCTTTTGACGCTGAAATTATTTTTCACTTTTGACACTGTCAGTTGACACGACAGTTTTTATCACTGCAGACTGGAGCTAAAAAGTTTCGGAATTAATGTTATGATTGTTGCACCTGGAGGGACAAAGTCGAATCTGGGAAGTAACTCTACATCCAAGTATGTTCAAATACGTGACTGGAAGTACTACAAAAAATTCGAGGAATCCCTCAGAGCCAGGACTGATGCTTCCCAGGGTCCTGGTTCTACTCCAGCAGAAGACCTCGCAAAAAGGGTTGTTGCTTTGGTTCTTAAGAAGAATCCTCCAGCCTGGTTTGCTTACGGCCAGTTCAGTGCTATTCTAAGCTTGTTGTACTATGCACCACTATGGTTTAGAGATTACTTCTATAAGATTGTCATGAAATGCTAGAACTTCTGATGTCAGTAAGTTCAAAGGACAAAGAGGTTGCCACTCAGATAACCCGCAATACATACTTGCATACAGTTTTACAGGGACCATTCATTCAAGCGAAAAGGCCCCTCCCAGTGTATGCCATCTTTTTTCACCTGTAATAATAGCGGTGCTAGTTTGTTCATGTAGTGCCAAAGGATGGCAATCTGAAATATGTGGCCTGAAGAAACTGGTTTCCTTGCAACCTCCACTGTTGACATGGCCTGCATCTTCCTGTCTCAGGAAATCAAATTTCGACGCGCAAACGGGTCGAACACTTGTGATCTGATTGTTTGAAGTTTGCATTCTACTATGTCTGGCAGCATCTGCTGTAGTTGGGGGGCGTCAAGTGCACACGGTGAAACTGACCAGTTGCGCATCATTGTTCAGATCAGAGCCAAGCTCTGCAAATATCTGACGATACTGCAACAGTTCATTTGGAGAGTGATAATGCTTCTCAGTTTTAAGTGGGAAATGAATTGTTTTGGCAAAATATTACCATGAAATTCTTATTCTTACATTCCAATTGGCCTTAACCTTAACGGCCATTTCCGGCAAATGTATTTTTTTACAACAGTTTTGCGGTAATTTCACGTAAAGAAATCGAGTCCAACATGAAAGAAGAACGCAACTGAACTGGAATACTTGTCAAATCGCTCAGGATTTTACTGCGGGGCGGTCTCACACCAGCGACCCGTCCCCACAAATCACAAGCAGCGTCGTGGGCAGGATATAGTCCACGTGGCGTCCACCTGCGCGGCAAAATCCGATGGCGCGCGCTCCCCATTGGCCGGCGACATATCCACCCTAGCTCCCCGGGGATTTCCCCATCCTGTGGCCGCGGCGCTCCGCGGCGCCACGATTAAATATCAACTCGCCCGCCGTGACCGTCCTGCTCGCTCCCGATCACACCGTCCGCCACCGGAAGAGAGAGCCCCCCTACGACGACGACGACCATGGCGCTCGCCTCCACCTCCGCCACCGCGTCCGCGGCCGTGCTCAAGACGCCCTTCCTCGGGGCGAAGCGCGCGCTCGCCAATGCCGTCGGCGTCGCGGGCGCCAAGCCCGCGCCGCGCCGCGCGCTCGTCGTGTCGGCCAAGAAGTCGTGGATCCCGGCCTTCAAGAGCGACGCCGAGTTCATCAACCCGCCGTGGCTCGATGGCTCGTAAGTTCTTCTTCTCTTTTTTCCTCTTCCTCTTCTTCCTCCTCCTCGCGCCGCCGCATTGTGTTTGGCTGGCTGACAACCCGAGCGCGTCTCGTGTATGGAACGGGCAGGCTCCCCGGTGACTTCGGCTTCGACCCGCTGGGGCTGGGCAAGGACCCGGCGTTCCTCAAGTGGTACAGGGAGGCGGAGCTGATCCACGGGCGGTGGGCGATGGCGGCGGTGCTGGGGATCTTCGTCGGGCAGGCGTGGAGCGGCGTGCCGTGGTTCGAGGCCGGCGCGCAGCCGGAGGCCATCGCGCCCTTCTCCTTCGGCTCCCTCCTCGGGACGCAGCTGCTGCTCATGGGCTGGGTAGAGTCCAAGCGGTGGGTCGACTTCTTCAACCCGGACTCGCAGGCGGTGGAGTGGGCCACGCCGTGGTCGCGCACCGCCGAGAACTTCTCCAACGCCACCGGCGAGCAGGGCTACCCCGGCGGCAAGTTCTTCGACCCGCTCGGCCTCGGCGGCGAGACCAGGGACGGCGTCTACATCCCGGACACCGACAAGCTCGACCGGCTCAAGCTCGCCGAGATCAAGCACGCCCGCCTCGCCATGCTCGCCATGCTCATCTTCTACTTCGAGGCCGGCCAGGGCAAGACGCCGCTCGGCGCCCTCGGCCTATGAGCAATCAACCCCGCTCTCGCTCGCCATGGATCTGACACACAGAGTTGGGTTTCGCTTGCATGCGCGCTTCGTGTTTGATCGCTAGCTGTTGCATCGATCGGGCGCGTGCATGGGCTCGGATCGAACGATTGGAGGTCGGAGGAGCAGTAGCAAAATGTATCTTGTTGTGTTCGTGGCCGCTTTTGGGTTGGGTGGTGTGCGTGAACCAAATGGGGGAATTAATCAAGGAGTTATTTTTTTTTATTTTTCTTCCCAGTGTATGTACCATATGTAATATATATAATTAAGGCTGCAGGATGAGCAAGGATATTTCATTGATCTCATGGTGTTCGTGCCATTCCTTTGTCATGTGCACTCTGTTTGGCCGCTTGCCTGCATGGCGAAATTGCATCAGCTAAAGGCCGCATTGCTACGAAATATCTCATCCGCTCTTCGAGGTTCGAAATGACCATAGTATTTTGTTTCTTCCATTGCGCCGAAGGAAGAAACGTGCTATAGTAGCTCTGGCAAAGATAAGTAGGAGCATATGGTAAGAACTGAAGAATACTCTCTCTGCAAACTGAAGAACTCCAGAGTACCTGCCACTCTTTCTTCAATGGCTGCATTTGCCTTGAAGCAGATACAACATCGATACTGCATTTGGTCGTAACATGAGCTGATTTCAAGTACAGGAGCAGATCACATTCCCAATCTCAACCATTGCAATACCTGCCGGTACCAAACTCCACTCTGCAAATTAGTGCAAACTAGATACCTCTGCTCTGCTTGGAGCTGTCATTTTTTTCAATCCAAAATGGAAGAGAACGAAATTAACTAATTAAACAGGCATAAATAATTAACAAAACTCCACGCCTATCTATATCAGATTATCCGGCACTAATCCGAGCTCGACCCCCAGTGACAGATGGGACTGTCCGGGAAGTCGCTCATGTCCACCACTTGCGCGACACCGAGGAGACCCTCCAGCATGTCGTCGTCGTCGACATGCACGGTCTCCGGAGCGACGCTCCCATCCCCGCCGGCTCCGGCCGCCACGTCCTTCCCCTGCTCGCCGCCGCCGCCGTCGGTGTCGGTCCCCTGCAGGCAGCTGTAGTAGAGCTTCATCAGCTCGTCGATGGAGCTGCGGTCCGCCTCCGGGACGACGTCGATGTCCGCCGGCAGAGAGAGCTGCATCTCCTCGCCGCCGCCGCCGCCGCCGCCGCCGACCTCGCGCTTGCGCTTGTCGGCGTGCGACTCGCGCGGCGTCGGCCCCTCGTTGGGTTCGTCGTCGTCGTCGTCGAGCGGCGTGATGTGGAGGGAGCGCAGCGCGTGGCGGCTGAGCGCCTCCTCCTGGGTGATGACGCGGGACCAGGTATCGGCGTCCCTGGCGCTCATCTTGTGCTGAAGCCGCTTGGACTGCCACACGAGCTTGCGAATCTGGTCGAACCGCGGGCTCAGGTGCTTGATGACGGCGCTAGCTCTGAGCAGGGAGATCTTCCACGCCTTCTTGAGGTCGTGCGGCTTCCGGTACGGCGGCGGGCCCTGGCTGGCCTGCGCCTCGCCCTGCAGGCCCCACCACGCCTCGCCGCCGGTCGGCCACCACGGCGGCGGCAGGCCGCGGTCGAGCGGGAAGCTCCGCTGCGGTGGCTCGCAGTGCTGGATCAGCGCCGACAGCAGCGACCCCAGCGTGCTGTCCTGGATGTCGAGGAGCCCGTGCAGGAACGACGCCGCCGCCGCGGGGCTCCGCGGGCTCCCCCGGCCGCCTCGGCCCGACAGCGCCGTCGGCCCCGCCCGGTCGAATGCGACGTCGTCCTTCCACCACCCGCGGAGGCTGTCGGAGGAGCCGGACACCGGCACGCCGGACTCGTCCACGATGCCGTACACGAACCCGCGCGCGTTGCAGGCCTCCATCATCTTGAGCATGTGGCGGAGCACGCCGTCCTGCGCCCGGAGCATCGCCTTCCGCCGGTACCGCGCCTCGGGCGGCTCCTCCTCCGCCGCCTCCTCCTCCCGCCTGACGACCCGGTGGTCCTGCGCCGCCAGGGCGCCTTCGTGGCCCGACCGGCCCTCGAGCTTCATGAGCAGCATCTGGTCCTTCCACATCCGCTTCTTCAGGTCGGCGATCTCGATGGACTCGGACCCGGACTCGGAGTCACTAAAGAACTCCTCCTGCTCCGGCGCCGCCTCGGCAGCAGCAGCGGCGTCAGCAGCCTTGGCTTTGCCTTTGTCGTCCATGGCGGCGGTTGGCCGTGGCAGCGGCTCGAGAGCAGGAGGTTTCTGTTTCTGTGGATAGGCGAGGCTTTCCATGAGGAGAGCTTGCTGTGTGAAGCGGAACTCGTGGAAAAGGTGGCACGGAAGGGTGGCGGGAAAGGTTGCGGCGTGCTTACTTATGTACGTGCAGACGTTCCGGGCGGATCGAAGGATGTGGAAGAAGCTAGGCTTGGTAGGTGGATTTGCTGTGGCACGCAGCGCCTTGGAGCCCGAAGGGACTTGTAGGGAGTAGGGACGGGAGCACTGACCAGCGAGGCACTCACTGAGTGCGGAGTAGGGTGGTGGTGGACCGGTGGTGTACGGTAGCACCCGTCCGCACCGCACATGCTTGTAGGAGAAGAATACACACGCGGCTAAGACTAAGAAGCCTAATTTTTTATGCTTTTGTGCTTTCTTGTGCCACAGCGCGGACGCGATAATTTTTCTGCTCTCTAGGAGAAGGTTGAGGGTAATGACGAGCCCTGCACTTATCTTTCAATTATTGTTCTTGTAGTATTTGTTTATGATGTTACTGGGCCTGTTCAGCAGGCCGGCTACAACGGCTGCAGCTGCAGCTACACATATTGAGTGTGGCACTGTTCACATTAGCTATGGGCTGCGGCGCAGCAGCAGCCCCGGCTACCAAACAGGCCCACTAGTGATCTTTTTCATGCAATTATCACTCTTGCTGTTGTTTCGAAAAGAACTATATTCATTCGGTTAGGGCTAACGCCGGGGGCTACTGTCAATAATATGGTCCAGGGGTATCATGTTTGGAGGGAAGAGGCCACCCCGAAACCCACATGGCACTTCCCCGAGGGGGATCGGGCCCGATGTGGAGTGACGGCTGCCCCCTCTTCGCCTGAGGGTATTAAAACTTGAGGGAGGAGGCTGCTCCTAGCACCCACGTGGCACTCCCCCGAAGAGGGTCGGGCCCGGGGTAGGGCGGCGGCTGCCCCCTCCATGATTGGGGGTTGGACTGCCCCAACCCCCACCGCATGATGCCACGTATGCGGAGTTAGGTGGGCGCCCCCAACGGCCACCTAACCGCATTTAAAGCGGCCAGAGTGCGTGCTGTGCACGTGACCGGTTGAATGATTGATGGAACCGGAGTAGTGCGCCTGTGCACTACTCACATGTCAGGCGGCGTGCGATCTAACCTGCCCCGTCACATCGTGAAGCCTCTCATCCCGACCGGAGTCGGTTCATCCACTCTAGTAAGCAAGGCTCCCGTTTTCCGGTGCAAACGGGAACCCAGAAGTCTTCACCCATTAAATGCCGAATGACACGAGCGTCCCTCGTGTTAGGCGGTTCAATTTGATGGGCCCATGTTGCGACACTTGTGCGCATGGCTTCCAAGACAAGGCACAACACACACATTTAATGTAGAGAACATTTTTCCTCTTTGGTAGGTAGCACTCTCAACACCCGTGGTAACCCTTTGAAGTATAAAGGGAGGTCCATGTATAGCGAGGGAGGGGGATCGAAAGGTGAAAAGGCTTAGCCCTAGCTTGTATACCAGAGATTCAGAGACTTTGTAAGCTCAGAAAAATCATCATACACATGAGTAGAGTATTATACTCCTTAGCGACCCGAACCTGGATAACTCCCTAGCGTCTCATCTTCACCGAGGGCCCGACCCTCTCGTTTTCTCCCAATCCTTCCAGTTCCTCAACTTTCACCCGCTGTCCCCGACCAAACTAACAAAAGAGGGGCCTCACGGTTCCCTGCTCGAGGAGTTCACCCTCCGACACATACGTACATATATCAATATGGCGTAAAATTCTTTTATTTTAGATAGAAAGTAACTTTATATATATATAGTTTATATGTGTGTATAAAAAATATTTGCATATAAATTATATATATACCTATATACAATTTTATATATGTGTAAATTTATACGCATATGCATACTTTTGATGTATATAAAAGTTTATATATACGTGTACTACATATACATATACCAGCGGTTTTATCGAATACGGGATGCTACTGCAGACATAAAAGGGCCGGATCGCGGAAGGGAGTTCGCGTGTTTCTGAGTTCTGACGTAGCACGATCGCACAGGACCACGATGCGGGGGGAGGTGTGGGCGGCTCGTGGACTCGAGCGTTTTACCTGGATGCATGTACGCCATTTGTGACGGCGCCACACTGCCATGCTGTATCATCCTGTGCTGCTGACGTCCGCACCGCGTACGCAATTACTCGCTCCGTCCAAAAAAGAAGCGATCCCTGATCCGGATCCCCAATGTAAGTTTAGTACTAATGTGAAAAGACGAAAATGCCCTTCTGACAAGATCCAGGAGTAGTATGCCAGAAGCATCTGATGCAGAGTAAAAAATGCCAAACGCTTCACGTGCACAAAGCAAATACTAAAAAAAAAAAATCTCTCCAGTTGAGAAAATACTAGTACTAGTAGAGCATGAACATCGCAAGAACCATGATTTGCCTCCACCACTGCAAGAATCAAGAACGTATCACCGTCGCCTCCACCACCGCCGACGCCGCGTCTCCCAGTCGCCTCCGCCGACGACGACGACGTGTCTCCTGGACGCCTCCGCCGCCACCGACGCCGCGTCTCCTCGACGCCTCCGCCGCCGCCGCCGCCGACGCCGCGTCTCCTCGTCGCCTCCGCCGCCGACGACGACGCGTCTTCCCGTCGCCTCCGCCGCCGCCAACGAAGCCGCGTCTCCCCGTTGCCTTCGCCGAGCGGGAGGTAGGTGCAGAGGGGGTCGAAAGCTTGGTGAGGTCTCGCATCTTACCGCCGCCGCATTGATGCAGTCAATTTGGGAACGGGAGAGAAACGCGAGAGAAAGAGAGGGACGCGAGACTGGTAGAGACGGGCAGGCGATAAGATTTTTGCGGTGTGAATGTGAACGAGAGAAGAAGTCGCTGTCCACCAGGGCCCACAAATGATACGATAGATTTGAAGTTTTCTTGATTTCTGTGGAGGAATCCTCCCTTCCAGAAATCGTCTCTTTTAGGACGGAGGGAGTACGTACTACTACCACCGCCACATGAGTATGTGTATGTCCTCCCATTTCTTGTGAATGCTTACATAGTTACACGGCCAGCCAGTCTACTAGCGACGTTGCATTTGACTCGTTTGAGACGAAGATCCCGATCTATGGCACTGAATTCCACAGACGCGGACAAGTTTTAGCATGTTTCTGATGATCATCTCCGTGCTGTAGTGAAGATTCTCGTTCAGCCATCAACTCCGGCCCGGCACGCCGTTACCCCCGCAGACTTTTCAACAGAACCATGCTTGGGCCTATCTAGGACTTCTGGGCCGTATCGTCGAATCCACGGGCCACGGCCCAATCTAGGCAGAAAAGAGGCCGTCGGCAGGTCCCATTTGTCCACTTGTTCTGGAATCTTGGAAGCAGGTTTCAGAATTGCCCCTTTCCTAACTTCAGAAGCAATCAAACAAAATCTGTTCTGAGTTCTGACTTCTGAAGAAACAACATCAAACTCCAGACTCCAGAGCACCCATGGTTCACATATATACTGTATACTCCAGTACAAGTATACACAACGACAGGCCTGTCGGACACTGATGTGTAAACAGCCGTGAGGTCTCGATGCCGCATGTACATTTCATATAGAGATTATGCCGACACAAAAACGATACATGGAAATCAATAAGCCAGTCATGGTGACATTGAAGGTGTGAATGGAGTGATGCTGACATGTTACCAACTGGAGTGAGCACCGGATCGTCCGACCGATCCAACGCTGGTTTCATCTTATTACCCTCTTAAAATCGTATAATTATTTTAGCATCCTCCCCTCAATGTAAAAAAAAGGATCAATCACTGCAATGCACGACAGCACGAGCAGTCGAGCAGTAGACCACATACGCGTAAGGTACATAATTACACGGGAATCCAAAGAGAATCTACGATTTATTTACAGCACGGTGACCCTCGGCTCGTCGGCGTCGGCGGCGGCGGCGTCCTTGGCCTTGTTGCAGTTGTCGACGACGGCGTAGAGGCGGTAGGGCGATGCGTCGGTGGCGAGCCACTGCTCGACGGTGAAGAGCTGCTGCGCGCAGCCGAGGTGGGGACCCGTGACGGTGGCCTCGAGGTAGTTGCAGTACCAGCCGTGGTGCGGGCCGGTGCCGTCGGAGGTGAGGTTCATCCGGCACGGCGCCTGGCGCATGCAGGGGCCGCGGCCGCTGAAGATGTCGAGGTTGCCGCGCTCGTAGTAGTCGTGGCCGTCGCCCATGAGGCCGCCCCACCGCTCCAGGTCGCGGATCCGCACCCCGGAGCCGTCGGCGCCCAGCAGCGTCACGCCGATCACCGAGTCCGTCCCGCCCTTCCAGATCGTCCCCGTCCGCACGTATATCGTGTACACGCACTTGTTCTCCGGGTCCGACGACGCCTCCGCCACCGTGATCCCCTCAGCCGCCGCCGCCGCGTCGTCGTCCGTGGCCGCCAACGCCTGTACAACATGCATGACATACGGCGCCCTATGACGATGAGAAGGGGGGTTTCGCGTACCTCTATGTTGTTAGGGAGCGGACGGGACTTACCGCGACGACGGCGAAGGAGACGATGAGAAGGCAGGAGAGCTTCGCCATGGCCGAGCTTGCTCGCTCCAACCTCCCAAGTCTCGAAGGCCCTTTCCCGCCGCGGTCAATGGGAAAGTGGTGGTGGAGATCGGGAGGAGGATTTTGCGAACGAGGTAGGAGTAGTACCATAAGGCCATAAGGGGAACCGGGTGGGGCCCACCTGACAGTGACACTAGCTAGGAGGAGCATCCAGGTGGCATATCCTTCTGGATACATACAGAGAAAAAAAATTTCTTATCCAACCAAACGGTGCAAGGAAATCAATTCTGCCGCGTTCACGTGTAACACGCACTCGAGCCAAAATTTACTGTACCTTTTCTTTTTTTTTTTTGACAAACAACCGACGGAAATAGGCCACGACCTCCACCGATCGGCCCTGAATCTTGGGAAGCAGAGATAAGATTTCATCTCTAGGAAAACAGGAGCACGACCTCCACCGATCGGCCCTGATCCTGTTGATTACAATGAGTTTCAATGCTCTATACTTCTTCCGTCTCATAAAAAAACTAATCTAGTATTAGATATGATATATTCTAGTACTATGAATATACATGTACATTTGTACAGATTTATAATATTAGAATGTATCATATTCAATTATATATTTGTTTTTTAATAGAACGGAGGGATCATATAATTATCATTTGGCGAGGGCGAAGCCGGTCTACTACTACATGTTAATTTGGGGTAGTTGGCGAAGACAGTGACACTAAGCAGGTGTCAGACGAGAAATAGTTGGCCAAATAGTAGTACATAAGCTGATAAGCAGTCAAGAATTCAAGAAGAAAAGTTTCTTCTATCTAAAATAAAAGAATTTTGCTGATTTATTTATTGCTATATCCAATTTATGGAATTGATACACCGTTTAATTGATATCATTTAGCAAAATGAAACATAGCATATGCATCCATCTTTCGGCTCGAGAATTTCACGGGACGGAGATATGGTATATAGTGGCAGGACAAGGCCTCCCAAGCGTGTTCAATTGTTGATATTTTTCAGAACGACATCACCGTGTGTGTCATGCGTTGTGCTACTGGCTCCACCTATGTTCCTTTTGCATCTTTGTTTAGGCCTCGTTTAGTTAAAAAAAAAAGCCTTTCCTTCATCGCATCGAATGTTCGGACACATACATGAAGTACTAAATGTGAAAAAATATATATATTACACAGTTTGCGTGTAAATTGCGAGACGAATCTTTTAAGTCTAATTACGCCATAATTTGATAATATGGTGCTACAATAAACATTTGCTAATGACAGATTAATTAGGCTTAATAAATTCGTCTCGCAGTTTCCTGGCCGAATCTGTAATTTATTTTAATTTATTTTATTATTAGAGTACTTTTAATACTTTAAATATGTATCCGTATATTCGATGTGATAACTAAACCTAAAATTTTTTTCCAAATAAACGAGGTCTTAGTCTGCCGATTGGCAAATGAAGTTAGCTACTCCACACTACATGATTGAGTAAATACGAAATGTGGAACAGTCAGGCATTCAAGCTCAACCGGCTTGGATATACAGTAACAGCAACATATTCTTAAGTTTGTTTTAACAGTATTGACTTTTCCCTTGATCCCATCTGCTTATGAAAAGAGCATTTATTCATGCCACAAATGGTACAATGCCACGTTGTCATCTTCTCCTGTAAGAGCATCCCCAGCAGCTCATCCATATTTAATCCTCTAAATACCCATATGGATAGTCATCAAAAAAAGATTCCTCATTCATATCCATTCCCACTCCAACAAATCATCCATATTACGTCATTCATATCCCACCCTCCTATATTTTAATAATATCTTCCAACTAACCTTACTTTTACTTTTGTATTTTTAAGGGACATATTTTGAACTACTAAATTTTAACAGTGTTATTTATCACGATAATATTTCGAAATGAGTATATTTTAACGGATACATTTTTAATGGATAGTTTTTTAATTGATATATTTGAATTGAGTGAAGCATTTTTTTTGGATATATTCGTAGCAACATCCAAAAAAAAATGAACACAACAAAAATAAACATCTGTATATTTCCCTTTCTCTACTCAGGCTGCACAGTAGTGAACATACTACTAGAATTTTTTTAAAAAATAATACGATTTTAATAGAAAATCGCAAAAATATAGGTCGGTTCGACGAAATCGTAAATTTAGCACCCTGTCGAACAACCGTGTCTCGATAGAGGTACTTATCGAACTATGGCAGTTCGACATGTACCTGTCGAACTGCCATAGTTCGATAGGGTAGTTGGTCCAAGGGAAAAAATAAAAAAAGGACAGTAACAGTGCCTGGCAGGACATATCGAACAAGCAAACTTCGATAGGGTGGCATGTCGAACTTGGTCTCAGCTACAGTGTGCTACAGTGTTTTTCCTCTTTTTAAAAATTATTTTATCATCTGTCGAACTGCCGGCACCCTGTCGAACTGCGGTTGTTCGATAGGTACCCTGTCGAACCACGGATATTCGATAGAGTGCCAAACTTGCGATTTCGTCTAACCGACCTATATTTTTGAGATTTTCCTTTAAAATCGTATTATTTCCAAAAAAAATCCCATACTACTACTACTCTTTCTGCAGAGGCAGCAGGCGAGGGGCAGCAGCGGGCGTGCGGTGGAGGGGCAGCGGCGGCCGGGCGGACGGGCGAGGGGTGGCGGCGGGCGTGTGGCCGGGAGGGCGAAGGGCAGCGGGCGTGCGGCGGAGGGCGGCGGCGGCCGGGCGGGCGGAGGGCGGCGGTGGGTGTGTGGCCGAGGGTCGGCGCGCGGCCAGGCCGACGGGCGAGGGGCGGCGGCGGACGACCGGACGAGGGCGCAGATGGGCGGGGAGGAGGCAGACGGGGGGAGGAGAAGCTCGAGGGCGCTGCTGCGGGTGTCCGACGGCGGGAGCGCCGCAGTGGATCAGGCGACGGCAGGAGGACAACCTGGGCGCGGGTGGCTGACGGCGGGAGCTCGTGCTATGGCGAAACCTCCAGATCTGGTACGCCTATTCCTCCCCACCTTCACTGCTCTATGGCTCCACCAGCCGGTGTACCACGGCGTCGCCTGCTCGTTCCGGAAGAGGGCGGGAGCTCGCGACGGATGTGGTGGTTGGGATATGGCGTGAGGAGAGAGAAACGCCAAATCTGACGTTTCTCTCTCCAATATGGAGCACGATGACTAGATGGAAGATCTGCTGGAGCATCAATTTTCTCTCAGATACTCTATTTTTAGGATGGAGTAGCTGCTGGTCATGCTCTAAGGCCATTCGTAATACGCTGATGTGCCATTCAGCCCGGAGAGCCCAGCTCGGAGATTCTACTCCACGACTGTGTTTTTCATTGCTCCATGAGGAACGCGGAACCAATTATTGCTACAGGTACCTCGCCAGGATTTGCATGTTTGGACCCACCACTTTCATGCCCCGCGCCACAGGGAAGGGAGAGGGAGAACGGGAAGAAAGCATCCGACCGAAGGAGGCCGCATCGACTGCCACCGAAGAGCTCAACAGGGACGGTAGCCTCCCGCTCCGTGCCGCCGCCAGGGAGCTTGTCGACCCTCCCTCCAGTTTGCACCGCCAATCTCCATCTTCATCGCTCGATCCGCCCATGGCCCACCAATGGCGGCGAGATGCAGGGATTGGTAGGCAAAATCAGAGAAGAGAAGGGAGAGCCGCAGCCCTCGACGGAGCTCGCCTCGACAGCGGCGCTTCATCCCTTGTCAGCATGAGCCACCGACGGATCCACCGGATTGGAGACCGAGGGGGGGGGGGGCGTGGGGCGAAGCTCGCGGCGGCGTAGGCCTGAGCCGCTGTGGGGACCTCGCCAGCCTCAATCCGTGCTCGCCGCTGAGGCCCTCCTCGATCCACGCCGCCAGAAGCTCGAGGTGGGAAATGCCGCCGTCGCTAAGCTCGATATCCAGCCGTTTCCTTGTCCTGTCGTTCGAGCTTGACGGGAAAGGCGACGACGGGACCGGAGAAGAGAGAGGCTGGTGCGGCGAGAGGAGAGGAGCGACGAAGAGGGAGAGGAAGACATGAGGGAGGAGAGGGAGGCGACGGAGAGCGAGAGGAGCTTGAGGTCGAGGCCGCGCCACCGAGGTCGATCCGGAGCCGGCGGGGGAGGCGACGGAGAGGGAGAGGACCTCCCGAGATTAGCAGCTCGGTGCCACCACCGTTCCGCCGCCACGCCACCGTCGTCCACGGCTTCCGCCCCTCGCGGACCTCGCACGTCGCCCGCTGCCGTGCCACCGACTCCGCTGAACTCGCCGACCTCACCCGTCCCTCGCTCCCACTCCGCTGACCCCGCCGCTGCTTCGGGGGAGGAGAGAGGGGTGGATCTGGCGAGCACCGACGCCTTCCTTCGCCTGCTGACTCAGTCTGCTAGTGGGGAATGGATTAGAGGAGAGAGAGAGAGGGGGGGAGTTAAGAAGTAAAAAAGATAGTACTAGTGCACCCATCTATTATCTATCTATCTATCTTCTATCTTCTATCTATCTATCTATTATATACTAAAAGTCCATTAAACATCCTACAAACGCTCTCAAGCCGCTATATGGCGCTCCTACAATTGCTCCTAGGCCGCCACGTGGCACAATCTAATCTCACCGTCGATTTTCATTTAAATTGATGGACCCGTTATTTTATACCGTTAGATTAGATCTATGCTGTTAATTTTCATTTAAATTGGTGGATCCATTATTTTTTAACCAATAAACCAGATCTATATATAATACCTTTATGCTATATGTAATGTTTGCCTGAAGGAAGAAAACATCACGATAAAGATGAAAACTTCCTCATGTTTAACATACAGGCGCTACTACCGTATGTATGAGTTCATACGTACGATACAAATACTTCCATACGTGCAAACGTACATGATCTTTCCTAATCTTGCTGGAAAAAAAATACACATGAACTTAAAAAAGATAGAAGAAACACACATCCATAAAAATTAACGGTCTTTAAAATATGATTTTTGATAAAATATATTAATTCATAAATATAAATATATTTAGTTAAATAAAGCTCTATAATAAATATCCAATCAATGTTCTTTAAACCATCTTCTAAATCTATCTATTATATATTAAAAGTATATTAAACTTTCTACAAATGCTTTTGCACTGCTACGTGACTCTCAAATAAATTAGAGAAATCCTAAAAATCTATTATATACTAAAAATCTATGAAACTTACTGCAAACGCTCCTACATATTTTCACGTGGCGCTCTAATTTAGAGTAATCCTAGAAATTTAGAGTAAAAAAGGAAAATCATCCAACCTTCAATTTTCACTTAAATTAGTGGACCCATCATTTTAAACATTAGATTAGAGCTCTTAAAATTCCTATTGCTAATCTCTATAAAAAAAATAACGTGCTTATGTCGTACGATCATCTCCCTACCGGAAAAAAAACAAAATTTAAATACCTACACCATATATGATGAAAAAAAGATAAAGCCAAAAAATAAAAGAAAACATAAACACGTACATTGTAGAATCGGAAAGAAATACTAAAAAGGAAAAATCATCGATGCCTGCACAGATTTATTGTGAACAGCCTTTAATATACGATTTTAAGATTTTCATCCCCAATCTAATATTATAGTCCCAGTGTAGATAGAAATTCCTTTATGGTCTAATTCTGAGCGGTAGTAAATACCAGGACTTAGTAATATTTGATTGATCACAATTTGGTATATTCCATTTATTATAAAGGTTGCTAAGGAATTCATTATAGGAATGCTTCCATTGGAAATGGTTTGCTTTTGCACATCGAAACAAAAAATTAAACGTGTGGATACGTATAATTCGGAAGAATAGATGAGTGATTCATACTCAGCATCCCTTTCTTTTATCGAAGGTTCTAGCAATTGATATCGGGATTTTAATAGGTGAGTGATTCATATTCAGCATCCCTTTCCTTTATCGAAGGTTCTAGCAATTGATATAGGGATTTTTATTTAGATCTAAGAGACATTCTTATCACATAAATAGTATATTAAAATCTACCATCTATTTTACAGTAAATATATTTATTTTTTTATTATAGGATAATCTAAATTCCCTTACAGTATATATATAGTGATGTATGATTCCTTATAGTATTTTTTTTAATAACAAATAAGATGCCCGTGTATTTGTGCGGAATTCCTTTCCGATTTATATTCAGGAAATGTTCTTCAATTTATATTCTATCGTTATAGTGTTTGAAAAACAAACTACAATACATACCCGCGCGGCGCGGGCTACCTTCCTAGTTATAAATAACTTGCACTGTAGAGCATGTATGGTTCTTGTCTAGTTGGTATATGAGGTCCGATAAAAACCTAGGACGCGCTGCTAATGCCCTAAGAAACCAAACTTTACATGTTGCCAATATTGGCTTATTGCTGCATCAACGCTCAAATCTCGCACTGCTCGCCATACACCGACGACCAGCTCGGACCACCTCAAGAAAAATGACAGGTGCAACAGCATCACAATTCAAGAACACCCTCAGGCGCATGCTCAGCGCTCCTCCTCGCCGCCGGGGCGGCTCTTGGCGCAGACGCTCCGCTCGGCGTAGAGCTGGTAAGGCGGCGCGTCGGTGGCGAGCCACTGCTCGACGTCGAACGCCGCCTTGGCGCACCCGGCGTGGGGGCCCGTGGCGGTGACCTCCACGGACTTGCAGTACCACCCGTGGTGCGCGCCGGCGCCGTCGGAGGTCAGGTTCATCCGGCACGGCGGGGACGGCAGGCACGGCGCGCGCCCGCTGAACACGTCGACGTTGCCGCGCTCGTAGTAGTCGTGCCCGGCGCCCATGAGCCCGCCCCACCGCTCCAGGTCCCCGACGGCGAAGCCGCTGCCGTCCGCCGCCGCGAGCTCCACGCCGATCGCCGCGTCCGTGCCGGCCTTCCAGATCCACCCGGTCTCCACGTACAGCGTGTACACGCACTCGTTCTTGTCGTTGTCCCCGCCGGCGACCAGCTGGCCACGGCGCGGCAGCGCCGCCACGCCGTCCGGTGATTTCGATCCGGCGGCCTGCGTACGTGCGCGTATGCAAAAACCTGGCCAGATCAACTCACAGGTCACAGCAGCGAGACGACCAGAAAAGAAAATGCACGTACCAAGACCACCATGGAAACGAGCGAGGCGAAGGCGAAGCACAAGAACTTGTCAGCAGCCATTGTCAAAGGCTTGAAGAACTCCCTCTATTTGGAATTTTTGGATTGGATGCGCGCTGCTGTGAGCTAAGCTGAAGAGGTTGATATATAGGCAGTGCCAGATCTAACAGTGACTTGTTAGATTTTCTTATAGAGAGAACAGTTCGTGCAGGTGTATGCCACTCTATATTGAATGCATCTTCCAACATTTTTTATGCTTGGATTAGGTGACAACAAGTTGAACGAGACAATTAGCGATGTGAGATGCGAAAGATTATTCCAGAACAGATCACAAGCAGGCCTGTGACAATCATGTGACGCACAAGGAGAGAGTATGGGAAGTAAAGTCAAACAAACGAGTACATGATGAGCATTTTTAGACGGATTTAGGACTTGACGAGTGGTCTAAAAACCTGATAAATCAGGTACGTTTATTCAAGAAAAACATAAAACATTTTTTTGCCACCTACTACATTATTAGTGCGCACATTACCAGCAGCCCTGGCTTATTATCACAACTCAACACTTTGACAGAACAAGCACATAAACTAGAGGACGTGCTCAGTGCTCAGCTCAGCTCTCCTCCTCGGCGGCGGCGGTGGCCGTGCTGATCTTGCCGCAGACGCTCCGCTCGGCGTAGAGCTGGTACGGCGGCGCGTCGGTGGCGAGCCACTGCTGGACGTCGAACGCCGCCCTGTTGCACCTGGCGTGGGGACCGGCGACGGTGACCTCGACGGACTTGCAGAACCACCCGTGGTGCTCGCCGGCGCCGTTGGAGACGAGCTTCATGCGGCAGACGGGGGCTCCCAGGCATGGCCCGCGGCCGCTGAAGATGTCGACGTTGCTCCGCTCGAAGTAGTCGTGGCCGGCCGCCATGAGGCCGCCCCACGCCTGCAGGTTCCTGATGAGGATGCCGTTGCCGGCCGCCGTGTAGAGCTCCACGCCGATCGCCGCGTCGGTGCCGGCCTTCCAGATCGAGCCCGTCTCCACGTAGAGCGTGTACACGCACTGGTTCGACCCCGTCGAGCCCGGGAGCAGCAGCGCGCCCGTGTCCTCCTCCGACGTTGCTCCGGCGGCCTGCGCATTCAAGGTTATATATGGTGAAGCTGATCACGAGATGGACTCATAAGCGAGACTCAGAAAATGTAGAACACGTACCAAAGCCGCCATGGAAATGAGTGCCGCAAAGCAGAGGAGCTTATGCGCCATTGTTGAAGGCTTGAAGAAGCAGACTGTCTCGACCTTTATCTGCACTTTTTGAGATGTTATGTGCACCGACGATGATCTACTTCAGCTGGCTAATGAGGCTTCTTATAGACGGAGACAAAACGGATAGGGGAATTGGAAATGCTACCGTAAGATTAAACTAGCATGGTGGCCCGCGCAGATTGCGCGGCTAGCATCATTATATTTTCTCTCATATAATAGCATATATGTTTTCTCATTATATTATTCAAATATATTAAAATGAAAACATAATTTTAAATTTTGCAATAACTTTACAAAACTACTAATGTGTAATATTCATATTATATTTTATATACGTGTTAGTTATTAATTATTTTTAATATCAAATTTTAGTTATTTGTAAATTATATATATTCCTATATGTACTCTAGACTTGTCTTTTAATTTTTTTTAATTCCGAATTTTCTGTAAATTGTATTTCTATATAGACTCTATGCTCTTCTTCTAATATTATTTATTTTTATTTCTAAATTTTCATATTATATTTTATATACGTGTTAGTTATTAATTATTTTTAATGTCAAATTTTAGTTATTTGTAAATTATATATACTCCTATATGTACTCTAGACTTGTCTTTTAATACTTCTTTTTTTTAATTCTGAATTTTCTGTAAATTGTATTTCTATATAGACTGTTTGCTCTTCTTTCAATATTATTTATTTTTATTTTTGAATTGTTATTATTACTAATTGCATTTATATGTGGACTCTAAACTTATCTTTCAATATTCTTTAATTTTAATTTCGAATTTCAGTTACTTCTAAATTGTATTTCTATATTTGTATTCCTATATTGACCTTAAACTCTTCTTCCCATGTTATTCTTAATTTCGAATTTCGAATTTTAGTTATTTGTAAATTGTATTTTTATACATACTCTAAACTCTACTTTTAATTTTATTATATTTATTCCAAATTTTAGTTAGTTTTGAATTCCTATATGGACTCTATACTCTACTTCTAATATTCCTTATTTTTTAATTCTAAATTTCTACTTTTTTCTTAATTGTATTTCTATATGGATTCTATACTCTACTTCTAATATTCCTTATTTTAAATTGGGTGAATAGCTAATATGCTCCCTGAAGTTTCACTTCGGGCTCAGTTTAGTCCTTGATGTTTTAAATCGTCCAAACAAGTCCTCCAAATTAATCATTTGAGTTAATATAGTGCTTGGACCCAAAAAAGTGCCACAAATTAATTATTTGGGTTAATATAATCCTTGGACCCACAAAAAGTGCCACGTGAGCATGTCAAGTCATCCTCGCATGCAGCGGTATGAATGAAATGAACATTCTACCCTTATATACCATATAAAAAAGAAAACAAATATTTCACACATGTATGGACATTTTAGAATTGTCACTTACGATTGCTGCAGCCTAATCGTATAAATTCCTTTGTCGGCCACCCTCCGCAACAATGTTGGGCCTAGGTTAGCTTTTTTTTTGTGTCTTTTATTTCTTTTCTATATAGTATATAGGGGTAGAATAGTCATTTCATTCATATCGCTGCATGCGAGGATGACTTGGCATACTCATGTACCATTTTTTTGGTATAAGGACTATATTAACCCAAATAATTAATTTGGAGGACATGTATAGACGATTTGAAACCTGACTAAACTGAGCCTGAAGCGAAACTTCAGGGACCATATTAGCTATTCACCCTTTTTAATTCCAAATTTCTATTATTTCCTAATTGTATTTCTATATGGACTCTATACTCTACTTCTAATATTCCTTATTTTTAATTCCGAATTTCAGTTATTTCCAAATTATATTTCTATATGGACTCTATACTCTACTTCTATTATTCCTTATTTTTAATTCCGAATTTAAGTTATTTCCTAATTGTATTTCTATATGGACTCTAGTCTCCTCTTCTAATATTCCTTATTTTTTAATTCTAAATTTCAGTTATTTCCTAATTGTATTTCTATATGGACTCTAGTCTCCTCTTCTAATATTCCTTATTTTTAATTCCGAATTTCAGTTATTTCCTAATTGTATTTCTATATGGACTCTAGTCTCCTCTTCTAATATTCCTTATTTTTTAATTCTAAATTTCAGCTATTTCCTAATTGTATTTCTATATGGACTCTAGTCTCCTCTTCTAATATTCCTTATTTTTAATTCAGAATTTCAGCTATTTATAAATTGTATTTCTATATGGACTCTGCTTTTTCTTTTTCTCCGATTAATGTGAGAATTTCTAGGCCATGAGAGCGAACGTGGAGGCTCATTTTTCTATTCCTTTAATAATATAATAGATGATTAGTGTACTGTTTTTTTAGATGAATGTGTCGTTTTTTATGCTTTGATTAGACAACAAGTTGAATTCAAGAATGAGGGGATACAGGATTCTTCAACGGATCAATCGATGAATCGATCATGTGATGCACAAGGATGATGTATCACGTAGGGGGATTTAAGTCAAACAACGAGCTTACTGTATATTCAACTGCTCTGCTCTAGCTGGCCTGCCAGTAGAGCACAATAGTGCTCAGATATGATCACCATCTATGCATCTTCTGTTTTGGAGGAGTTGAATTTCATTCTATACTCGGCAATGATTTTTTTAAAATTTAATTATTACTCTTTTTCTGTGAATCATGTGTTAGAAAGCTGCATTAATGGCCCAGCTCGGTGTTTTGTGATTCACATTTCAGAACTTTAGGACAGCTTCAAAGTTTACCAACATTATCTAGTAGTATAGAGTAGGACCCAAGACATGTCATTCATATTTGCGAATGGATATAGGCTATGTTTAGTTCCTGAAAAAAGTTAGAAGATGAGGGAAAGTTGGAAGATTGGAAAAAAAGTTAGAAGTTTATGTGTGTAGGAAAGTTTTGGATGTGATGTGATGTGATGGAAAGTTAAAAGTTGGTGATGAACTAAACACGGCCATAAACGTCAAATCTGAAATAAGTGGCGAACACAACTTTAAAATATAGATGGGATGACATTTAGCAAGGAGCTAGCCCTAGTTCGATGATGGCACATCACATATAAAATCATAGTCACCGGCTCATGGACCCGGCACGGTGACACACCGCACAAACATCAAGCAAGTTAACAATGAAAATTAACCGGCGAACAAACTCGGAGTTAGGTAGGTGAGGTACTAAGCTAGTCATGAATATGAGACAGTGATGAAGACCTTATGTCAGAAATTAAGGATGAAAATGGTCAAACCAAAAATTATTAATTTAGAAACAATTTACAAAATTTTCCATTTGTAAAAAGGTCCTTTTTACTCTCCTGTTCCGTACTATTTCATCAAATCACTTAACCTCTAAAATATTTTATTTCTTATTGTATCCCTAAACTAATAAAGATGGTTTGCTTTACTAATTAATTGCAATTTTGTTTTTTGTTTCTCTTTATACAACTCGTAAAAAATGTTAAGCCATAAACGACACCATAACCAAAGTTCTAAAATATTTTCAAAATTAGTGCTTCCAACCTATATAAACAATGATAAAAAAATGTTAACAAGTAGATTATAATGGATCTACCAATCCTATTAAATTTCAATGCAAATATGCCTTATATAGAGATAAAAAAATGAGAAATATTGTTAGGGTGCGAGTGAACCATCTTCAATAGTTCGGGTTGTAAAATAAGCTAAAAAATTATTTAGAATGACCAGTGCTCCACCAACATAGTTCGAGGCAGTAAAATAGAACTTTTTAAATATATTTACCAATTTAACTATTTAGTATAGACTAGGTACTAAATAAATAAAAAAATTCAAATTTTATGTATGGCAAAAATGGGGAACAGTCAAAATAGTACCAATTATAAAAAATAATACTTATTCGACCGTGAATTTCCATAAATATTTTTATCCCTGTTCAAAGTACTTGATTTATCTAATGGTTTGAAAGTGGGCTGACGGCTAATGTGCTAGAAATGGGCTCTAAGGGTGTGAGGCGGTACAGACCGTAGCTGGACCGACTGACCCACCCCGCTTAATGGGTGTGTCCACCCCTATCCGAAATACAATAATACTTTGCTTATCTATTGGAATGGGAAATCCTCTTAAAATTTGCCTAATTCTGAATAGCTGGGCCAATTTACGCTTGCCTCGAATATGAAACCTAAAGGCATTTGGAAAACAATAAAATGTGCCTATATATACTTGCAGTGGCTTAGCTGCTCCTTGGACTAGATCGGTATAACTACTTGAATATGAATCAGTGAGGGGGCGATGTATCCTAGCTAGCTAGAACGAATCACTTACAATTGGTGGCCATGTGATGCACAATAAGAGGACCAAACAGGTAACACAAGTGGGATACAAATGCTTATATATAACCTTACATCACCTATGTTATCTGAATTAGATCTAGTCTTTCTTTTTGTTCTTCTTATTCTTATGTGAATCATGTGATAGAAAGATGATGAATTATTAATTGCACCCAACATAAGTGTGAACATATCCTATGCAAGCACACAAGCTTTCTCGTGTACATACCGTGCACACCAACTAAAAAATATCATCAAAAATTCTAAAAAAAATTGTACATGTAGTTTTAGTAGTATCACATCTATGTATGAAGTCTCATATCCAAATTTATTATATATAGCGAGAAAAAAAGATATTATTTTTGATAAATTGATATTCTCAAAACTTTCAACAATTTATCTTTATGTTACGGTAAAATATAATGAATTTAAGGTTAAGACTTTATGTAACACTATTGGAAATACTTGTACATTTTTTTTAGATTTTTTGATAAAACTTATTAGTTAGTGTGCACGATGTGTGCAAAAAATTCTTGTGTGCACATGATTTATATGTTTCGAACACAAATAGTCCAATATATTAATTATATCTGTGAAGTTTATGCTACTTCACAAGATATTGGCATGCACGCTTGCATGTGAATGGATCTAATCCAACTATATTTTTATCCGAGTTTATGCCGAGTAGAGTGCATGATGAAGAGGAGAGAACATTGATGCAAAACCGCGCTTGTTTGAGGCATGGCACGAGGACCTTCGACTGAGGCTGCCGAAACCTGATAGGCTTAGGCGAAGCGCCAGCTGAAGACCAAGGTTTTCGCCTTAGGTGAACCCAATGGGCGAACCCATCGGGCGAAGCAGGAGGGATTCGCCATCAACCTAGATGCCATTTGCTACTTGAGGGCCAATTATAAAGCCCATTAAGGAGCCCATGACCAAATAGACACTAGTTACTCTCATAAGTATTATCATAATGGCATAAAATTTGACAATTTGACCCTTTGCAAAAACTAATTTCACAAATGAACAATGGCCATAACTTATTTCAAAATGACCCACAAATGAACAATGGCCATAACTTATTTCAAAATGACCCTTTTGTTCAGCGCCACATCGTATGGCGCTGAACTTAGACACCTCAGCATCACGTCAACTGGCGCTGAATACTGTGCCACAGCGGATGGGAGGCTGAGTCGGCGTGCTAACGTGCATTCAGCACTGTGCTATTTGGCGCTGATATGTCTAAGTTCAAGGCCATATGATTTGGCGTTGAACAAAAGAGTCATTTTTAAAATAAGTTTTGGCCGCGGCTCATTTGCAAAATTAGATTTCGGAAAGGGTCAAATTATCAAATTAAATGATCATAATGTTATCCATGTAAATTCCCCTATACACATTAAGTCTAGGGTGCATGACCTTGTACTAAGGCTATAAATAGTCCCTAGAGACATGTAATAGGGGATCCCAAAAAATTCAATCAATTAATACATATTGCTTTACTTACTACTATGCAAACCACGTCTTTCGACGTGCGCAGTTATCAATCGACAAAAGTGCTGTTGGTACAGGAATCAATCATACCGTAATATCCCGGTTGTAAAAAGAATGAATATAACACAAAAGGCTCATCAATATATGTTTATTCCAGCAAAATCTACACAGTAAAGTTACATTTTCGCCACATACCAAAGTAATTAACCCGCACTGCTTATTTCCACAGCGAACGCTCAAGCAGTTAAGCCGAAACAGAGACCGAAGCGGAAGATCGATCACAACAATATAAATTGAGAAAATCCATGAAATGCTATCGACAGGCATTCCAATCCCAAAAATACCATCGACAAAAGCAACATCTTAAAAATGCCATCGTATAAGCATTTTTCTCCCAGAAATACCATCGTCGTCAATCTACCGTTGATTTCACACCGTTACAATTTAAGAATGACCAAATTGCCCTCAGTCCAAAATATACCCTAGCATTCACGGTAAAAAGGAAAAAGATAAAGATGAAATGGGGAAAATGTCTAGACCCGATCCAGGCGGCTCTATCGGCGGCGGCGGTCCATGGTGGCGGCGCGGCAGTCGTGGGGGCAGCGGCGTGGAGGTTGCTGGCTGTGGCGCAGGGTCCGAAGGCATTGGCGTGGGGGCTGTAGCGGCGAGGAGGCCGCATGTGGCGGCTCGACGGTCACTGGGGGCAGCGAGGAGGCCGCAGTCGCCGGTCCCTGACCGCCTTCATCGCCGTCTCTCAGGTGCTGCCGACGGTCACCTGAAGACCCGACGCCAGGACCCAGCGGTGACTCCTCCATCTCGGGTCCGACGGCACCCAGATCGTCGCACCCTCGCATCACCCAGGCTCCGCCCATCGCGCCATCCCCACGCCCATCGAGCAGTAGCGCCGCTGCCCATCACGCCCTTCCCCTTGGCCATCGATGACCTGTGATGCAGTCCTGTTTTTTGGGAATCTGCCTGTCCTCCTATTGCTGCAGACGAGAGGCCAGAAACAGGTCAATAGCTGCAGACGATGGTATTTTTAGGAAGTTGTTTTTGTCAATGGTATTTTTAGGATTAAGATGCTTGTCGATGGTATTTTATGGATTTTCTCGTATAAATTACATGACATATCACAAGACAGTATTGCGCAAGGATGCACAAATTTAAAACCGGAAAGAAATGAGACAGACGTATATATATCGCTGCATTATTTGAGCCGCAACACACAGCACCGTCGTCGAAGCCAGCGTCTGATCTGCTCTACTTGCAGACGCCTCCACTCGGCGCAGTGCTGCTCCGGTGGCTCGCCGGCGAGCCACTGCTCGACGGCGAACTCCACAGTGGAGCACGATAGATGTCGGTGAAGATCGAGCACGCCGGCGGTGTCGTGCGTTCGGCGTCTTCAGCAGCATCGTATACTGATTGGCCGTGCATAGACGGTCCCGGTGACCCGGTCCCGGTCTCTGCTGCATCATCGCCACGGTCCTCGGGTCCCGGTGTACAGTACACGCACCCGTACTTCTCCTCGCCGGCGGCCACCACCAAGTCCGGGACCGCCAGCGTCAATAACGAGACTAGCTCAAAACAAACTAATGTGTATATACGCGCGTTCATACGTACCAAGATCGCCGTAGCAACGAGGATGGCAAAGCAGAACAGCAGCTTCCTATTTGCAGCCATTGGGTATTGTTGAACCTTCAACGAGTAGCTAGGCTCGACTGACTCTAGCTAGTTTATTTTGCACTTCTGTTGAGGCTGTGTTTAGTTCCACGCTAAAATTGGAAGTTTTACTAAAATTGAAAGTTTGAAGAAAAAAGTTAGAAGTTTATGTGTGTAGGAAAATTTTGATGTGATGAAAAAGTTGAAAGTTTGAAAAAAAAGTTGGGAACTAAACTGAGCCGTACCGATTTGTGAGCTAGAGGAGGCTAACGAGGGTATTTATAAGGCGAGCTAGAGGACCAGAGCTAATATGTTGGCTTGTTAAATATTCTGAGGGATGGTGCGTAGCTGAAGCATAATCCCTTCGTCGTAAAATAAACTAACTCATGATAAAATGTAACATTATATATACTAGACACCGATCCACGTGACATAGCTATTACTTTCTTAATTATAAATATTAGAACTTTGATCATATATGAAATATGATGGGTATTTTCTGAATTATGTATGATGCTTTAGTAAGAAAGTCCGCCTCACTTTCAAGTTGCTAGCTACAACTTTATACTATTAACTCTGATTTTTAAAATTGTCAAATTTTATAAAACTAAAATTAAAAGAGTCAATGTTACTTCTAGTTCAAGTTCTATTTTACATGTGCTCCCAATATCATCTCGGTTTCAATGATTCTAACCCATGGCTAGATATATTAATTAAGTTAAGTGAAACCTCTTAAAGTATCATAATATTATTAGTAATTGATATAGAGGTAGACAGAAGGACGGCACTAAAAAAAGATGCGCGCAACACGGCAAGTGATTATAGAAAAGGGGATCGCTGATCAAGGATAAAATAGATAGAGGATATCAAGAATTAAGTTTTTAGAAAGAATAAAATATATAGAAAAGGGGATCGCTGATAAGGATAAAATATATAGAGGATATCAAGAATTAAGTTTTTATAAAGAATAAAATATATTAATTAGTGGTAATATATCTTGTGAGATGCATACAAATTGATAACTTATCTTATATAAATGGTTTTGATAGTTCACACAACTTGATTGGAGTATGATCAAGCTCAATTTACCGCATGGCCTTCTAATTATACCGATAAAATCACATCACTATCCCAAGACTGATATGGATGAAATATACGATCATGCCATATAATATACTGTTGTGCTGAGTTCAATAGAACTTCGCATCATCTTGTGTGAGTCGTTAAAAAATAATATGTTGTTGTGCTGAGTTTGAATGGATAAGATATGAGTTGTGCAAGATTGTACAGGAAGCTGAAAAATTATATGAAAGGAAGGGCATTGTCTAGTGTTTGATTTATATCTGATCGTCCGAAATGGGTTTATAGTGATCGCTTGCGTTTGTAGCCGTCTTACCTTTTTGGTCTGAAGTCTAAACCGCAGAGCACCGGCTCCAACGAGGCGCGCACATAAGGAAAGGAAAACCTGCAACAACTCCATGGTCTCCTCCCGTTTCGATCAAACAAAAGACCAGAAAATAAAAGAGAAAAAGGTAATAGTAAGCCTCCGTTCCCAAACTCCCCCAAAGGCCTCCAAGCTCGAGCTCGACCCCGAACCGGAAACATTCCTCGTCGGCGAGGAGCGGCGAGATCCCCCGGGCCCCGGCCATGGAGGGGCTCCTGTCCAAGCTCCGGAGCCTGGACGCCTACCCCAAGGTGAACGAGGACTTCTACAGCCGCACGCTCTCCGGCGGCATCATCACGCTCGCCTCCTCCGTCGTCATGCTCCTCCTCTTCGTCTCCGAGCTCCGTACGCCTCCTCGCTCTCCCCTCCCTCCCTCCCTCTCACTTCCGATCTAGTTCCGCTGCTCTCAACCCTAGCCTCCGGATGGGTGCCTTTGGAGATCCGATGGCCATGGATTTGAGTATTTGACCATGGGGGATATGCTGGACGAGGGTTTGCCTGATTGATTTAATTCGGTGCGCTAGTGAGGTGTGGGCCGTTGTTGCATTGTGGTTTTGCGTTTTACGGCGGGAATTCGCCCTCACCGTAGAGATCTCCTTGACTGTTTTCGAGGATCTGGTTGATGAGGCTGGAATCGAGCCACTATTTCGACTATACAGCGTTGAGTTTTGCTTCATCTGGTTGTTACTGGCTTACTGCTGGTATATTGCATTGAAGAATCATTTGTTGCTCAATTCTGTTACATGAATAATTGGACAGTTCGTGAGCTTCTATTTTTACTTTTGTTGTGCTGTGCTTGGTTAAGTATGCGTGCAGAACATTCTACCATTTTGGTATTAATGTGTTCTCACAACTCCTAGGGACTCCATAATGAATACGAAGATCAAACTTGCATGCATAATGTTCGGTTCCTTGTGTACAGAGAAACTTGAGATGCTGCAGAAATGAGTTAAACCGAACTTTTGATCATCATCAGAGTTCCTTAATATTTACTATGTATGACAAAATCAAATTAGTCCAAGACCATATCATTAAAATGAAAAAGAGGGGCTGTTTTTATAATATCATGTTTTATTTCTGAGTGTAAAAATATACTCACAATGTCTAAATTTGCTTCCATATCCTAGTGCTGTTGAACATTCTTTTTGTATTCATGATTCATCCTGTGCTCAGTAGCTAATGTTTCACCATACAGGATTATATCTTCATGCGGTCACAGAAACAACACTAAGGGTTGATACCTCAAGGGGAGAAACACTTCGCATAAATGTAATGACCAGCTTTAATTCTAAATCTTTGATTGCATCTGATTATATTCTAAACCTTTCTTTTTTATTTCTACCAAATATTGAGAAACTTTCCGTTCCTCATTTCTTTTAGATAATTTTCTCACCGTTGTTCCCTTTTTCCTTTCTTTTTTTGTTTTTCTTTTTTGCCAGTTAGCTCATCTGATTATATTCAGAAATTTCTCTCTTCTATGTTCGATTGTTACCTTCTTTACTGCATTCTGTTCAGGACACACGTTGACATATACCTTTGGTATGATTCTAAAAATGCAGTTTGATGTCACCTTTCCAGCCCTTCAGTGTTCTATAATAAGCCTTGATGCAATGGACATCAGTGGACAAGAGCACCTTGATGTGGTATGTATCTGTGTGTTGTTATTGTTGCTGTATGTGTTATGGTTGATCACTGGTTGTTGCAGACTTTTAGTGAGTAGTAGCTAACACAGCTTTGTGTAATGCTCTTATGTAGAAACATGATATATTCAAGCAGAGAATTGATGTCCATGGTAATGTTATTGCAACTAAGCAAGATGCAGTTGGTGGGATGAAGGTTAGTGCTTTTCACTGTCCTTAAGAACAATACGCTCATGATTTTTAGAATATAGTAAGGCGTTACTTCAAAGTCCCATTTATGAATTAATCAAAATCATAACTAGTATGAATGCATTTTGTCATGGAAATGCCTTAACAGTCCTAGATTCTTAACGTGAAGCTAACGAGGACTGGTTATTTAAAATTGTACCATATCTGAAATCTGAGCTATTAACAAGATAACATAACATATATCATTTTCCATAACTATGCAATTAAGTAAATTCTGGCTTGTAATGTCCAGATCTTGATGCATTTCGTTAACCCTAAAGATGCATGTTTCCTTGTTTCTTATTTTTTACAGGTGGAACAGCCCCTACAGCGGCATGGCGGCAGGCTTGAACACAATGAGACCTATTGTGGCTCTTGTTATGGTGCGGAAGAAGTATGCTCCTCTTGCTTTTAGATGATATTTCGTCCTGACTCGTATCTCTACTACTTTAAAAGCGAAGTTGTCCCCCTTAGCATCTGACTTCACCCACATCCCCCCCCCCCAAAAAAAATAAAATAAAATTAACAACAACAATAATAATAATCATAATAAAATGTGTTTCCACGTGAAAATTGACGCAGAAAAACCAGATAGAAAAAGAAAAAACCATTCATCCGTTTTCCTCTAAATCCTATTCAACTCAAGGGCATGCAACTAGCACTATACAAAAGTTTTACTGCCCTGTGGCCTTAGCGAAAAAGACACACCTGATAGTGATAGTAGGGGTTATCAGATATAATTTGCTTGGGTTAGACCATTTAATTTTTTTAGCTTTCTGTTTTCTTCTTTATTTGCTTACTGTACAATGGATTGCCCTCTGTTTTGCAACCTTGGCCATTACTCCTTTGTGTTTTTTATGGGATATTGTTCTTATATTTTAGCTCACTAGTGCCTTATATGCTGATCTCAATAATTCCAGGGTTCTTTTCTATTATCTGTTTCTTATTTACATGAATTAGATTGTTATATAGTGCTCCGTATATTTGGTACATCAGTCATTCTTCCAGGGGTTTCACTGAATATCTTCTTTCATTTAATTTAGTCTGATGAGCAGTGTTGTAACTCGTGTGAAGATGTTCGAGAAGCATACAGGAAAAAAGGTTGGGGTGTATCAAATCCAGATTTGATCGACCAGGTATAAAATCTTTTTTTTTATTATGTGCTATAACTATGTACCTGCATATGTAACATAAGTTGCATGCTGTATAACTCGTGTTCCTTCCACCTAGGGGCATTTTATTTTGCCTGATATGCATTGTTCTGTAGTGCAAAAGGGAAGGCTTCCTTCAGAGTATAAAGGATGAAGAAGGAGAAGGATGCAATATTTATGGTTTCCTGGAAGTTAACAAGGTTGCTGGAAATTTCCACTTTGCTCCAGGGAAAAGCTTCCAGAAGGCAAATGTTCATGTCCACGACTTGCTTCCATTCCAAAAGGACAGCTTCAATGTAATAATACTTGAGCATGATTTCTAACTGTGAATACTGGCAGGCAGGAAAATTATTGTTTCCATGTGAACATTCTTTCTTTAATATTCCAACTTTTACTTTATTCTTTATGTTCCAGGTCAGCCATAAAATAAATAAGTTAAGTTTTGGACAACGCTTTCCTGGTGTGGTTAATCCTCTTGACGGGTAGCTTGTTTTTCTCATGTTTTCATTTCATTGTGTCCTTTTCTATGTTTATTAGAATTAAGTGCATGCGCCTAAGAATAATAAAAGTGATACTAAACATTTCTAAGATCTCTCTGCTTGTAAAATATCAGGGCACAATGGATGCAACATTCATCATATGGAATGTACCAATACTTCATCAAGGTCTGTCCTATACTCTTTAACTATCTTAGGAAAAAGTATGGAATGCTAAATCATGTTGCTTATTTCATTGCACGTGATATTATAGCATGATATAGGAAATGTGATGATAATATTGTGTTTTTTTTCAGGTTGTTCCCACTGTCTACACAGACATAAATGAACACATTATTCTTTCGAATCAGGTAATGCCTTCCTTTTTTCCCTCATGTGCACAAGTATCGTCAAGTTCACCTATGCACATGTATGTATGGATGGATACGATTTTAAACATATCTTAAAATGCTGTTATTCCTTGCTGCAGTTTTCTGTGACGGAACATTTTAGAAGTAGTGAGAGCGGTCGGATACAGGCTGTTCCTGGAGTATTTTTCTTTTACGACCTTTCGCCAATTAAGGTATCGTTTTGAAGTATTTTCTCTGACGCTGCTATTAGACTGGCTTCCCAATTTGCATCATCTTCTGTGTTGTCTTTTATACCATATTTTCCTTATATGAATGGGAAATCAGTGTTCATGCCTTCAATGTTTAATAATACATCTTGCAGTGATATTACTGCAACAATCATATAAACCTCCCATCGATGCCTTTTGCAGGTCACATTCACGGAACAGCATGTGTCATTTTTGCACTTCTTAACTAATGTTTGCGCTATAGTTGGAGGTAATATTTCCCTTGTGGACATTGTCTTACACTTAATACTCAATTTTATTAAACTGTATATGTTTCATTTAAGCATTTGATATTTTAAGCATCGAATTTCTTTTTCTTCAAAACCTGAGATATCTACATTTGTGTCTAAGAACAAACAAAATGTAGCTGCTGAAGCAAGTGAACGATACCTGAAGTTAGACATATGTCTTGCCATTTAGTCTTTGTATATTTCTCTTTGTTTTGTCTAATTTAGTCTACTCCTGAACGATGTGCAAAATATGCAACTTTTTTTCTGTCAGCTCTAGGGGCCATACATTATTAGAAGCTATGAAATTAACCCAGGTCATCAACATCCTAGTAACCTAAGGTGCCTATCTTCTTGATGTGCAGGCGTCTTCACTGTTTCTGGAATCATAGATTCATTTGTATACCATGGCCAGAGAGCAATCAAGAAGAAGATGGAAATCGGAAAATTCAACTGAATATTGAATGTAGCCTTCCTGTTGGTACTACCCACAACTCATTCCATTTTCAGGACTTACTTTTGAAGAACTATTGTCACAGTAGGGGGCGAGGCCGCTCCAAGTTCAAAAAACGCCAGTGAACCAACCCACTAATATTTCTCATATGCTTTCTGCTCTGAAACTATTGATTCCCGTGCATAGTTTATAACCAACTGGTCATCAAAGTACAAGTGACTTGGCTGCTTGCTTCCAGCAGAAGCTACCTGTAAAGGAAATGGTTCATCTGGTTATACTGCCCTGGGGCAAACGGAGCATTTCAGAGATGCTCAATTTTGTACACCATACCAGGAAACATTTTGTGTAAGCTGCATTTTTTTTTCTTTTGTTGTAAATCGGTGACTCCGTGTTAATGAGCTCTTGCTTCTTTGTAGAACAGAAAATTTTCCTGACTCCGTGTTTTATACATCATATTCTTTTACTTACCTGTAGCTTTCACATGCTAGGTAAAAGAATGTGTAATTATTTCGAGGAAAAGTTTCTTTTCTCCCTTGCTCCCCGTTCTCTACAAAGTTTACTGTAATCGGTAGAAGTCAATGACCATTGTATTAGATATAAAGTAACCATGTGACGGTGTGGATGGTATCCCATAATGAATGCACCATGTCTTTTGCTCCGTCCGTCATAAAAAAAAGATAAGTATTTATGAATCTGGATGTCTAGAACTTCATGTTTATATATTTTTTATATTCAAGGATGGATGGGTGTGCTGTATATACTTGTTGTAATTAAGAAGGGGCCATTTTGAGTTTACTTACCGTGCAAATTGAATTTTGTTACTGTTTGGTACTTCTATTTCCTGTCCACTTTCTTTGTCTTGAATAAAATTATTTTTAACTATAATTTTTTTAAAAAATAAATTTATTTTTGAGTAATCATTGGATGAAAGTAAAAAAGAAATGCATTGGAAGTAGATAAAGAGAGATAATTATATTAAGGTTTGATTAAGTTAAGGTATTTAGTTTTTTTATTGGTACGTGTGAGATGAATGAAAAATTGAGTGTTTTAAGATGGACGAAGTATTTGTGAGAAGTGCACATGAACTTTCTCTGCAAGCGCTTCTATTCAATGAACATAAATAATTGTATTCATTTGCTCGTTCTTACCTTCACATAACCTTACCTGTTTCTTTAACAAAGCTACAGAGCTAGTACTAATGTTTAGTGGATGTCGATGAAATTTGTTCAGTCCATACGTACTTGATCTGTATTCAGTGAAGTGCCTAATAGTATTATAAACAAAATAAAATGTATTTTATTCAAAAAATAAAAAAGAAACAACAATAAGAAAAAATAAAGCGAGGAAGACCATAGCATCGTCGTCCGCACCAAACCAAGCAAACTCCATCTCATCGTCGCTCCGGTCCCCACCCTACTCCACCAACTCCCGCCGCCGCCGCCGCCGGCGGTCGTGCGCTCCGGGCCGCAGCCATGCACGGCCGCCGCCACCTCGCCGCCTCCCTGGCCCGCGCCCTGACCTACGCCCCCTCCCGCTCCATCTCCTCCACCCCGTCGCTCCTCCAAACCCTCGACCCGTCCACGCCCTCCCCCGCGGCCGCCCCGCCCACCGCGGGGCGGCTCGCGGAGCTCCGGCAGCGGCTGCAGGCGGACGCGCCGTCGCTGGGGGACTTCACGTACTCGGTGGAGGTGGGGACGCGGAAGAAGCCGCTGCCCAAGCCCAAGTGGATGAAGGAGACGATACCAGGCGGCGCCAAGTACGCGGGGATCAAGGCCAAGCTGCGGGAGCTGAAGCTGCACACCGTCTGCGAGGAGGCGCGCTGCCCCAACCTCGGCGAGTGCTGGTCCGGCGGCGAGACCGGCACCGCCACCGCCACCATCATGATCCTCGGGGACACCTGCACGCGCGGCTGCAGGTAAGAGATTAATCCTCTTCTTGTTGCTGCTTGCATTAGATGTAGCTGGGCTGCTGCTTAGATCCTTTTCGGATTGTACATGGAGACCTTACTATCATGTCTCCGTAATATTAGAGACTTTATCTGTAGAGATAGAATGAAGCTTTCTCATATGCTATCCATTTCGATGAAATTTCACAGATTGATGTCCTTGAAGGTATAACTTGAGCCATGTTAGTGCAAATGATGTGGTTATTGTATCTTCTAGTTTATTTTAGTTGCTTGTGCTAGATTATGTGGATGCTTGAGCTCTGCTTGTGATGTAAAATTAGGTCCTATCATTTGTGCATTAGGGATGTTAGCAAAAATTGTAGAAATAGGCAAAGAGGTAATTAACTTAGTGTAGAGAAATCATGAGGGATCTCCAGTTCTTCTGTATTTTCGAATAGGTTGTTTTCTTAAACATAAATCAACCTTGTTGGAAATATTTTGAGCATAAATTTCAAAAAATATCAGAATAGGTTGTCCTGTATGATGACAATTTCAGGGTACTGTCTCTTTATCTAGTACTATCCATGTGACCTTGTATGGAAAGAAGTGTTCTGTGTTATTATTGTTGTGATTTGTCCATGAATTCCAGTTGCTAGTTTAAGATTTGCTGATGTTGCACTCTACCTTCTCGTGAATTGGCACTAACCTTTTAGACAAGGTATTGCAAGTCTTCTGTTTTGATCGTTTAGTGAGTTGGCAAGTCATTGATTTGCAGGTTTTGTAATGTCAAGACCTCGCGAACTCCTCCGCCACCAGATCCTGATGAACCTTCTAATGTTGCTCAAGCTATTGCCTCGTGGGGCCTGGAGTATATTGTCATCACAAGTGTTGACCGCGATGATTTACCTGATCAAGGGAGTGGTCACTTTGCTGAAACAGTTCAAAAGCTAAAGGTGTTGAAGCCAGAAATGCTTATTGAAGCACTTGGTAAGTGACATATTTCTGGTATATTGCTTTGTTATTCGGTCAGTATATTATCAGTCCTCTGTCTGCTAATGTTGTGCTTCCCTATATTGTACCCTTATGCAAGTTATTTTGCAGTTCCTGATTTCCGTGGAGACCCAGCATGTGTAGAGAAGGTTGCTACTTCTGGGTTGCATGTTTTCGCCCACAACATTGAAACAGTTGAAGAGCTGCAAAGAAATGTGAGAGATCATCGTGCGAACTTCAAGCAATCAATAGATGTCCTGAAATTGGCAAAAGAGTATGCTCCAGCTGGTACCCTCACAAAGACATCAATCATGCTGGGTTGTGGAGAAACGCCTGATCAGGTTATCAGCACGACGGAAAAGGTTAGGGCTGCTGGTGTTGATGTAATGACATTTGGTCAGTACATGAGACCATCTAAACGTCATATGCCTGTTTCCGAGTATGTTACTCCCGAAGCCTTTGAGAGGTATCGATCCCTTGGTGTTGACATGGTACGTCCGTCTTCCTGGAAGTTTTTTGCATCATTCAAAGTAAAATCAAGTATTGGCTTTCATTAGTAGGATACATAGTGTACATGGCAAAGCTTAATTTACTATTAACATCAGATTTTATCACAATAAAGAAGCTTTCCTTGGCATCCTCATGTAGACTATTAGCTAGTCAATCTTTATTAGTTTTCAATGAGGGATATGATAAACAGAACAATACAACCAATCTAAATAGCTGTTTATTTGCTCTATCATTTGGTGGACCAAACTTGATTTTTTGAGAACGTAGGCACTTGCTTTGTCATACAATCTGCCTCCATGCTCAGTTATTCGTCTAACAATCTTAACTCCAGGGATTTGTAAATCTCGACTTTAAATTTGGGCTCCTTTGGAAGAAAGGATTTTTGAAGGAATTCTGGAGAAATTCAATCCTATGGAAAATTTTCATACGTGGTCGTTTGGATCAAAGGAATAGATAGCCAAAAATCCTATAAAATTTTAGATTGGCTCAAAACATAAGAATTTTTCCATGAGGTCCAACCTCTTGGGGAAAAAAATCTTCTCTCTCTCTCTCTCTCTTCTTATTCTTACATTTTTCCTGGGCTCCATTTAAACGGTCATTCCTATAGTATTCCTGCAATTTTTCAGTCCATAGGATTTGAGGTGCTTGAGCACTCCAATTTCCTGTATTTTTCCTATTCCTGTGTTTTAAGAATCTTGCTTTCCAAAGGAGCCTTGCATGCATTTCTTAATACTCCCATGTTGGCTCTCAGAATCTTTCCTACAGTTCAAGGTTTTTAAACAATACTACTGTACTTTGTATAACAGTAATTAGCTTGTTTGCTGATGAAATGCCATGGTCATGAATAACAGGGCTTCCGTTATGTGGCTTCGGGCCCAATGGTTCGATCTTCCTACAAAGCTGGTGAGTTCTACATAAAAGCCATGATTGAAGCTGACAGAGCAAAAGCTACGACTGCAATATAGTTGATCCTCTTTCCTTGACATTGTTACACTGCAAATAAAGTCGCAGGATTCTAAAAGTTCTTATTGGAAAAACATGTTCATTTTTGTCATAATTGCAATCGTGCTCCTTTCAACTTCTCACTGCCCCTTGTACCATTTCAACATCTCCAAGCTATGTTTGAAATTGTTGCTCTCTTTTGTTTTATAATGTAAAAATCACGAGTCCCTGTGGTCCAGTTGTCAATCATTCATTCATTGCTGTAAACTTCAACAGTAGCAGGAAGTCAAGTCAAACTACCCACTGAAAATGTAGGATATTGTCCCTCATGTTACTATGCTGTACTTTTGTATATATGATGGCACAATGTGAAGATGGTAAACTTGCCTGCTGTTCCATTGAAGATCAGATCTGATGTAGACCATTCCAAAAAGATGGAGCCCGCCCAATGCTCCAAGATCGACGAAACACTCTTTCTGCAAGTCAACAAAGGCCCTCCCCCAGGGGCTAATTGGAGGAATATGTTAGGGGTAAAGAGCACCACTACGAGAATTATTGACACTTCCATCGGTGTCTTGTCCCCAAAAGAAACTAAATGGCCGTGCAATAATAATGCTTGAACTCGCTGAATTATTATATTGCATTGTGGACATCCCGTTGAAGTTGAAGGCCAGGAGGATTTGCGTGTCCCACCATATTCACCAGCAGCCACGCTGCAGCAATGAGTTTCGAGTCAAACCGGCACTAGCACGAATCGCTAGCTCCTGTAGCCATATGGACGACTTCTTGAGCCAAACGGCACCCAGTGGGTTTGGTTCTTGTGTGCTGTTATCCTGTCAAACGTGCTTTGGTGGTTACAGACATGCATAAAGGAATCGCAGCAGCGATCGGGATCACTCGATCAACGGATTCAACTCTTCAAATGAGGTGAAGGTCTGGAGGATCGAGTTAGAACTTGGAATGAAATCACTGAGTAATCTCCGGACCAAACACCCTCTTAAACTAATACTTACTCCACCTTGTAGCAAAGCGCACATGATTACATGCGTAATATAATCGACTGTCCGATCTGTCCCGCAGGATCGCAATCTACTTATGTACTTATCCGAATCCGATTCGGACGGAGTCCCTCACCTTTGCTTAGTTTACTCGCGTTTCTAGATTTCCAAAGCGCCTAAAGAGGCCCACGGGGATATCAAATAAAATTCCGCAGTGCCGGTAGTTATCAGCGAGCTATCCCCTCATGGAGTACGTAGCTGCTGCGTTCGAGCCCACGATTCGGCCGTGTCAACCTCACGCAACATGCGCGCGCACCGGTAGATATCCTTATCTCGCGCTAAAAACACACGTACGCCGCGCCACTCTTCCGCCGGCTCTATGCCAGCGACCAGATCAACCCTTTGCAGCGCCCAAGGGTTCGCGACTCGCGAGCCCCGGTGGGATCGCGAGATTGTCTCGCGGAAATCCCACTAAAAAACCCCGAGGAGTCCACGCGCGCGCGCGCGCGCCCGTGCCAATCCCCTCCCCTCGCGAAAGCGAGAGCCATTTCCAACCGCGCCTCGCACTGTGACCCTGGCTATATATACACGCGGTAGCTGCGTTCTTGGAAGAGAAGAGAACAAATTAACCGAAGCTAGTGTAAGAGCAGAGAAGAGCTAGAGGTTTAGAGTTTGCGGTGTGTGCGTGTGCATGGCGAGCGTGTGGGCGACGGAGCAGCCGGGGGTGGAGCTCGAGGTGAAGGTCGTGAGGGTGGCCGGCGTCGAGGCGCGGCCGGAGGGGGGAGGCGGCGGCGGCGGCGGCCTCTTCGTGAGGTACTACGTCCCGGCTGGGGACGGGAAGCGGAGGATCCGCGTGGACACGCGCGAGGTCCCGTGCGGCGGCGGCGATGGCGAAGAGGACGGCGCGTTCTGGGGCGAGCTCGCCCGCTTCGAGCGCCGCGGTGGCGGCGCGCCGGCTTCGGTAGGCGGGGTCGTGTTCGAGCTCCGGTGGAGGCCGCGGCGGCGCTCGCCGGCGTTCCTCGGGATGCTCGGGAACGGGAGGCCGTCGTCGCGCGTGCTGGCGCGGGGCGAGCTCGCGTGCCAGGACAACGCCGCCGCCGCCGTGACGCCCGCGCCGGCGTCGTCGGGGAGTACCTGGCTGAGGCTCTCGCCGGCGTGCCGCGAGCTGAGCGGGTGCAAGGCGCCCAAGCTGCTGGTCGAGGTCAGGATGATCCACGCCGCCGACAACTACGGAGCCGTGAAGGCGACGAGGTCGCTCGGCGGCGTGAACCACCACTACTGCTGCAGCGACGGCGAGCGGTGCGCGCAGTGCGGGTGGATCGGGACCGAGGAGGACATGTTCCTGGCAGCAACGTTCACCCACGAATGAGTGGCGTGATCGTTGATTTCGTAGTTCATGGGAGAGGAGCTAGTTAATTAACCTAACTGTACTTTCGCTGATGAAATGATAAAAGAAGCTCTCGACTACGAGGCAATTTAGTCATGGGATTTTGATCGATTGTCCACATATGTTGCGACATACTCCGTATTTCGGCATCATAAATCAATGATTTTTGGTACATTGGATTAAAACAGGGGCGGATTCACCAAGTGAATTAGACTTGTCTCGGCCCCAAAAGTTTCTGCACTCCCATAGATTATCCTTCAGCTTATAAGCGCAACCAAAATTTTAATTTTAAAACTTAATTTTGAGGTTTTTCATTGTATAGCTTATTTTTCCTGCATTAGCTTTCAAACCGTTAAAAACACATATACAAATTGTTTTCGGTTGATGATAAGCTATTATAGCTTATAATCCGCATAAGCAAAACTATGTATTGGATTCGGCGAGGTCAAAACTGATAAATACGCTACGCTCAAAATTAGTGGATTATATATGCCGCATTCTTTTCTGATTGATTGAGATATATATTTTACATCGATTTTTGTTAGCATGTTTTTTTAAATCCCTTACTGCTATATTTCATACGAAAACATTCTATATATATATAGAAGTATTTTTAAAAATATCAGATACTAATGAAAACTTAATTAATCATATAATGGTTTTCTTGTTTCTTATGAGCTGACTTTATTTTTAATCTTCAGTGAAACACCCTCATAGTGGCGTCGTCTGTTCATTTCCGCCTCCCGACTCCCGAGTGGCAACGGCGGCTTGAAGTACTGTCAGTCTGTGCTGCCACGTACTCCTGACTCGCGCTTGTACGTTCGCGGCGGCCGTGTGCGCGACCGTGCGTGGCGGCCTACACGCAATCCACGGCGCCCTCGTTTTGGTTCCGCCGTCCGCTGACTTCCGAGGCGATACAGCCATACAGGCTTTGCATTGGCGCGTGATCTCAACCCATCGATCACGCCATGAGATCATGTTCACCGGCTTGAAAACGGGTACGCCGTACGGCGTACGCGTATGCGTACGGCCGAGCTCGATTGTTCCATAGGAGTAGATTTTTGCAGAGTAGTACAACCTTTGGACCTTTAATTCAGTCGAGATCTCGAGAGAAGAAAACGAAGAATACTAGTAGTAATATCTAGCGTCCGCATTGTACCTGGATTTGCAGTTCGAATATCCAAGTCGAGCAGTATACTCTATACTCCAAAGGAAAAAAAAAAGGCATAAGACGTGCACGCGTAGTAGCACGGCTGCAGCAAAAGCAAGCAACAAACAACGGCAACACGAGATCGTTTCTTTCCTTCAAAGTGTCTTGGCGCGCCACACGGGCCAAACACCGGGAGCGAGCAAGGAAAGGAGGGGGACCCCACGCATCAGACAGACGAGGGGCTCGCGTGATGAAGCGTCCGAGAGAAGGGTCCCACTCCCACTCCGACACAAGGCCCTGTCCTTCTGACAGCGGGCCATTGGGACCCTACTGTCAGTCGCACACGGCGTACCTGCGGGCTCGCCGCTCGATCGCGTGATCGTACGTGGACTTTTAAACCGCTTCGCGTGCTCCGGGCGCTCCGAGCCACGTGCCCACCGGCACCTCGGCCGCGCGGGATCCTCTACGCCCAAATCCAATAAAAATCCACTTCGCTCCACCCAGCACACGCGGGCTACACGGTTCCAACGCAGATATCCACGGATCTCGTGCTCCCGCTCGGTTCCCTTCCCTGTACCTGTCCAGGCAACCCGTACCCCCGCCCTGCGCCCACCGACAGGTGGACCCACGATCTTCCGGGCCCACATGTCGGTGACGTACAGGCTACTGTTTCGGTGACGCGGACGGGGACGGAGGGGGTGCGTTGCGCAGCTACTAGTAGCGGCCGTGCTCTCCAAACAGCGGCAGTGGTGGCGCTCGCATTTTTTTTTCAGCTCCGCGGAAGGAACGAAACCCAACCCAAGCGAGGCAAAAGCGGCGGCGGCGGAGGAGGAGAGGAGCAATGGAGAGGGCGGTGCCGGTGAGGAAGCCGCACACCTCGACGGCGGACCTGCTCACGTGGTCGGCGACGGGGCCCGACGCCGCCGCCGCCGCGGCCTCGCCGGTCGCCTCCTCCCGCCCCAGCCTCAAGGTAAGCTATGACTAAGCCGTGCTCGAATGCTGCTCTGCTTCCCCGTGCGTTCGAGTGCGACACGCGAGGCTGACTTTTTTGAGGGTGCGTGTGGGTTGTTTGTGCTGGTGTTGTGGTGTGATGTCTGGCGGCCACAGCCGGCCGGGGGGATCACGCCGGCGATGTTCGGCGCGCCGGTGAGCGAGAAGGAGGCGGAGGATCTGAGCAAGAGGTGAGATCTGGGGGGGGGGGGGGGGGTACCCCATCCTGCCGCATTCATTGTTTCGTCCCTGATCTGATCGATCTATGATTTCGTTGTGCTGTGCTTCTCATTCGATTAATTAGCCTGATCTGGCATTTTGATCTACGAACGTGTGTTCTCTGTTTGGGCGTGTGGTTTAGTGCATCAACATTTCGAACTTAGGAAGGTTGGTTGGGGTTGTTGCTCTGGGTTTAGGAAGAAGTAGCAGCTGAAGAAAAAATTGCGCTCTCGACGCCTTTAATTTCAGGGTGGTTTGCTGGAGGGAGAATAGTCGCTTGCAGGTGGTTGGTTGGTTGGTTCATGTGACGATCAACCGTGTCCGTGTATGTGTGGTACAGTGCAAACATGAGATGTTTGCTAATGTCCAAATTTTTAGTGCTAGAATCCAAGTTTTAGCAGTACAGGCAATGATGCTTGAAAGTGATTTGGGCTGAGGCAAACGGCAAATGCCTGGTTCAAAATTTGGATATTTCTGTCGTGGGTGCCACAAAGAGACCAGAAATTATAGCTTAATAAGTCAAGTCATGTGGAGCCTGACTGTTTGTTCTGACCTGCAGTTGTGACCATGTCATTGCATACACTATGTTATTACTTCGCCTGTCATAGAATTTTGTGGAGTGTTGGCTGTTTATATTTGTATAATTTATGGAAAACAGTCCATGAAAATTTCTTGATGGACCACTTTCTGTGGTGGCCGAATTATGGTAGATGTTCTTTTTTATGCACCTAGATTTTTCTAGTTTATCTGCCTTTGAGTATTCCTGCTTCTCTGCTAGAAATTTATCTTCCTCTGCGGTTGAAGCTTTGGCTTGAAACTGTCTATCTTGCATGTAAAGCTCCTGTTGAATTTTTACAGCATTTTCTTATTGTAGTGCAGTTAATGGTACGTACTGCCTGTTTTAGTTTTGACTTCATTGGTTTTGTATACCAAGACATGAAGTTAGTTCGACGACCAACTCTTAAGTGTCTAGTTGTAACAAAATCAGTCAAATATCCTTTATTCATATGCTATACTTTTTGAAGATATGGTATATTGAACTTATAACTTTGTTGGCCTGTTATAGTGAACGAAAATTTTGCTCGGGCTCAAAGTTAAAAGAAATGACTGGAAGTGGGATATTCGCTGAGAATAGTGAAAATGATGATTCAGAGGCTTCAAATCCTGCAAACAAAACTTCTGTAAGGATGTATCAGGTATTTCTTCTTTCTTGTTCAGAAACATGCCAATCTTCCTCCCTTTTATTGAGAAATATGTGTTTCTCTTGTTCGTGTTGCTGTGGTGTGGTAATAAGCAGGATTCCATATAATGTGTGCTATGGATAGAGTAACAAGCAAAGACACTTCATACTTCAGTTAAGATTTAAGAAAAAAACTACTACTCTTCCATGCATGAAACTTGACAAAAAAAAAGACACATCTGGAGAAATATCTTATTTCGTTTTGGTTTATGTAATTTTATTTTTAGTTGCATCAATGTCCCGAGATATATCTTTCTCTTGGGTTGATTATTCAAAATCTCAAAACATTATATTCTTCCAGTAATATAATTACTGATGCCCTAACGTCTTTTTTCATAACAGCAAACTGTAACTGGAATAAGCCAAATCTCATTCAGTGCTGATGGAAGTGTTTCTCCAAAGAAGCCATCGTCATTACCTGAGGTGGCTAAGCAGCGAGAGCTTAGTGGTACACTGGAGACTGATGCTGAGGCTAAAATGAATAAGCAGCATTCTGAAGCCAAGAGCAAGGAGCTCAGTGGGAGTGATATTTTTGGTCCTCCTCCAGAGATCCCTGCAAGGCCATTGGCTGCTCGCAATATGGAGCTGCAAGGAAATCTAGATTTTGCACTTCCACAACCGAGAAGCGTCCACACATCAGTGAAAGTATCCAATGTAAGTGACATGAGTATGAATATCCTGTTTATGTTTCTATTCCACTATGTATCATTTTACTGTGTATTCTCCATTAGTGACAGGAAATCAACCAAGCACTTACTATAGGAAAAAAAATAGTAGTACGTCTTGATGTATATCTTCAATATAAACAAGCCATCATAACTGTTTCTGTTTCATATTGGCCAATGTGGAATTTCAGGCTTTTGTTATTGAGTACCGCACCACGGCACCAATCTTTTGTAGACTGAATAATTTACTGGTTAGATACGCCAAAAAGGAATTCATACCACCTTTCTTTAGGAAACCACAACTACAGAAGGGACCTTTTCTTTTGTTCCTCTTGGTGATACAGGATATCCATACACCTTACAGGGAATGGATGCTCAAATTAGGTTGCATTGATATAGGTGTAAGATGCATCAGCTACAGTTTTTTTTTTTAAGCATCAGCCAGAAATAGCAGCACAAAGGATGACATTTCTATTTGATAGATATACGGCTTGCATGACATATTGACATGTTGCATTGCCATATGTCATCAAAATGTATTTGGATTTACCTTGTTATATGAACATTTCACCCTTAAATTTGTATGAACTGAATGCCTTTGTAGCCTGCTGGAGGTCCAAGCAACATCACGTTCAGTGAGGAGCCTGTAGTCAAGACGTCAAAGAAAATCCATAACCAGAAGTTCCAAGAGTTGACAGGCAACAACATCTTCAAAGAGGACGCTACCCCTGCATCAGCTGAGAAATCTCTGAGCTCAGCAAAGCTGAAGGAGATGAGCGGCAGTGACATCTTTGCTGATGGAGCGGCAGCTCCCCGAGACTATCTCGGCGGTGTCCGCAAGCCCCCTGGTGGCGAGAGCAGCATTGCACTGATCTAATCGCCGCAGGCTGCCCTAATCTGGACTGGCTACTTTTACCCTCATCGCTGAAGTCCGTGGCATGTGCTCTTCCTGGACCCTGGTTCTTGATCATGGTTGAGAGCTGATATCTTGGCCCTGATATCATCTAGAGTCAGCAGAATCTGACTCAGCTTATGTGTTGTAAACTTGACTTAATCTCATCTGTCTTATGGTACTTATGTATTAATCTCCTTGGACTGAGACTGAAATAAGTTTTATTGGTTCATTTTTGTGAGCTCATGGTATCATCAGGAAATAATGTCTGTCTTGTATCAAATTAACTTATTTGTGAGTTATGCAAAAGATAACGAAGGTATCTACAATACCATTTCCTCTTAACCTGGTTTCCTTTGAAATTTGGGAGATACAACCTGGTTTCATTTGAAATTTGAGAGTTACATGGATGAAGGGAGAAAGAAGAAAATACTATTTCCTCTAACCTCGTTTCCTTTGAAATTTGGGAGATACAACCTGGTTTCCTTTGAAATTTGAGAGGTACATGGATGAAGGGAGAGAGAAAAAAAGAGACGAAAGTAAATCGACTCCACTGGGGATCGAACCCAGAATCTCTGGTTCCGTAGACCAGCGCCTTATCCATTGGGCCATGGAGTCCTTGTTGGATTTTTGGACATTACGGACTTGTTTACTAATAAATTTCAACCTTTCCGAAATTTCACATTACCTTTTAGTAGGATAAGTTAAATATGATGTCAATTCTTTAAATGTTACCATACATTTATCCAACCAAATAATGGTATGGTTTAATGGCATGAATCTGAATAACCCTGCCGTGCCCGTTCAAGCCTACCACCGCTTCCCACCGCTGGATCCGCCACCACCTCACCTCCCTACCACCGCCGTGCTTCCGCGGGATCCGCCGTGCCTGCTCGAGCCCAACACTGCACTCCTGCCGTCGCCAACCTGAGCTAGAGTGAGGAGAGAAGTGTGAGAGGAGGAGGGGAGAGAGAGAGAGAGAAGAGGCTCTGGAAAAAAAAAGAGAAGTGAGAGAGAGAAGGTGAGTAGATAAGGATGATACTTACAAATTATGAAAATGCTGAGACGGAGGAAATGAGGAAGGTTAGACTTGAAGGTGGGCCTTTAAGAAGCCCACGCATGTGGCCGCTTAAGAGGCCCACCTGTGAAATAGTCTTGTTTCTGCATGTGGGTGTGTTAAGAGGTCCTTCTATAAAAATAGGTTTTTGCATGTGGGTCTTTTAAGAAGCCGTATGTGAAAATGTAGGTTGATTTTTGTAGGCGCGACCAGTTACGGTCCGCCTACAACTTGTATAGAAAAATCGTTTGTAAGGTACGTACATGCTTGAAATTTGGAAGGAATACAATGTCTCCTCTCATCGTAGCACTCGGATCCACTTTGACTCTCTCGTGCGTCCGTTACCTCCTTGCATCATGGAAGGATTGTCCTCTCTCCATCCAAGCCACGGCCTTAGTAGACCGTCTAAACACCACGTTCTCTTTTTTTCTGATCCTTCTCGTTTTATTAAAAAAAACCGTTGTAATGCGCTGGTACTTTACTAGTACAAACAACACAAAAGGTGTCTTGACACTCTTATAAATAATCTGAGCGATCCTTGACTCTACACAGCAGCATCCTTTTTTTGTTCAGGTCCAGAAAAGCTGGTACGCTTCACGAAATTTTTATCCAGAACATCAGATGGTAAAGTTCCCTTGAGGCTGGAAAGATTAGAACAAAATAAATACAATAAATTCTCTCAATGGGTTTGCATGTTCAAACAGGTTTTAGCTCTGCATTACTTGTATAAGGCACCGTGGGCCACTCTGATCTTGCTTTCAGTTACATCAATAGGGGCCAAAAGCTGCAACGTAAGATCTCCCATTAATCTGCATAAAAAGGCCATCAGAATGGTGGGTTTCTTTTTTTTTGTTGCATTTTTGGAAAGTTGCCCTGGGGAAAGGATATATTTGTTCTAGCAAAAAAATCATGTAATTACCGTAAGTGTTCAGAAACAACATAAGTGCCACTGTCACTATTTGAGCTATCTGCCTCCTGTGTCAAGGTTTTTACAAGGTAAGTTTAGTATCCGTAATCTAAAAAGGAGTAGAGTGCTATGCCATTAAGCACAATTTAGAACTAACAAATTTTAAGCTCGAGGAATTGATTATCAAAACATACATGGATGTCCTTTGCCCTGGTCAACATATCGAATTTTTGGATCGAGAGATGATGCCGAATCAGAGAAGACCAATGGCATACTCCAATTGTACCTTCTCTTCAAAGATTCTACGTTTGTCTCTACAAAATATATAGGCATTATTTCGTGTGCTTATGATTGGTATCATGCTAAATGTGACCTATGAAATCTGTCCAATACTGACATAAAAAATGGTATTCTCAGAAATAGACTTATCGGTTACCTATATTCTGGAGCTGCTCCAATGCAGCAAGAAGATTGGTATCTAACAATTCAATCATTTCCCTGATATAATTCAACAATAGCAATAAGTGGCACACATGTCAAGATGCAGCATATTAGCATTAGACAGCAAATGTGTAACCACTGTACCAATAACAGCTACAAATTACCTGTTGGTGTGTTTATCCAGTACCTTGGTCAAGTGAGACTCTCAAAAAATAAGGGCACAACAAAACTGTTACACAACAACAAAAGAAAAAAAATGCAACACTCAAGTAGCAGATGCATGGTTGTTAAGGCTAGGTGACATGGCAAGGTCCACCCACACCTTAAGACTAAATTCATAAGACTAATTGCGTACTACTAGTGCCGAACCTCTTCTTTACATCAATTAAAATGCTTCCCATTATTAAGCTAGCAAAGAATTAATATAGTTTTGCATGGTAGTGGAAGGCGTATCAATAAGATCACCTGGAGCCTTGCCGAGGTGCTTGAAAAGGTCACATTGCAGGTAGATGCGATGGAAAAACAGAATTTTCTGGGAAAACGGTGAGACTTTCTCTAGCTTCTTGTTCTCGGTGTTGACAGAGAGCACCCAACCACTTGGATCAGTACCCTTCATCTTGGCCATTACATAAAGAATATTGTCATCGTACAAATCCATTGTAGGGTAAGTACAAATGAAGTTCGTAAATGTCAGCTGGTTGTCCTTGGAATCTCAGATCACAGGCATTTTATGAAACTAATGAGACTAAATAATTAGTGCAGAAAATTTTGACATAAATTTTGGAAATAAAAAAGGTAATAAATTAAAATTTTTATTTGAAATTTTAATAGGACAATGATTTTTTTTTGATCGGGAGCATTCATAAAAAAATTATTATGAAAATTGGTTGTCCTATCTTTGTATGAATGATCCTCTTTTTTTTTTTTACTTATTTTAAAAATAAATACACAATTTTTTATTTCATTATCTAAAAATATTTTTTGGGATAAATAATGCATCGCACAACAAACTCATAGCTATAATAGTTTCGTGTGAGAAGCTTTTACATTTTTAACAATGTAATTCATCCAAAGGGTAAAATGGTCATTTTTATAGAAATTAGACGGTCAACTAACAATCAACTGACGGGAGGGGTATGGAAGGGATCAAAATCAAATTTTAGGGGTATATAAGGAAGTAAGCAAAATTCAGGGGCATAGAAGGGATTAGTTAAAATTTCAAGGGTATACAAGGGATTTTCTATAAAATTAAATGAGGGGTGACAAAAAAGAAAGTAAGAGGTAACAACCGATGTGACTTTTAAAAATTATAAAATTAGAAACATGGGGATGATAAGGCTTTGTTTTTCAAAATCTTTAGATTACGAGATAGCTATTTAACAATATTTAAGTAAAATCATATTAATAAATAGATATTTCCTCCGTTTCACAATATAAGTCATTCTAGCATTTCCCATATTCATATTGATGTTAATGAATCTAGATAGATATATCTATTTAGATTCATTATATCTATCTAGATTCATTAACATCAATATGGACGTGGGAAATGCTAGAATGACTTACATTATGAAACAGAGGGAGTAATTTTGTATGGGTGCTAGCAGCGCAATTGCGCGAGCCACCCATCTAGTTTTTCTTATATAAAGTTAGATGCAGAATTTAATTATCTTGTAAAAAGGTAATTATCTTGTATTATATATTACTGTAAAGAATATAATTTAATTCCACTACCTCTATTTCTAAAAAAAAATCATTGTATCTTAAAAAAGATCTGTTGGTGTTCGGTCTCAGCGTCTATAGCGTGAACAATCGCGCAGTGGGCTTTTTTCGACTTTTGGGCTAGCAAGATCACACACAACACGCACATCACGAACCGGACCAAACCTCCGCCGCCGCCCGCCGCCGCCGCCGCCGCCTACACAACCCCCCCTCGCCCCCCGCCGCGCCCTCCTCTCCGTACGTGGAGCGCATGCAAATCCCCTCGCGCTCGATTCTTCGCCTCCTCCGACGCCCCATCGTCGCGCCTTATTCTGCCCTGCGGCACCGCATCTCGATCCCCTCCCGCGATCTCTCCTCTCCTCCATGGCTACCTCTGGTCCGGCTCGCGGGTGGCTACCGGCGCTTGCGCGAAGAATCGCTTCAGTCACGGGGACGCTTAACCCTCCTGCCAGTCGTGTTTCTCGGTGTGTTCTCCTGCTCTGATCCTAAAGTTTGGGCCTTTCGTCTCTTGCTAAAGTTCTCGATATAGATTCTGTTGAATTTAGTTTTTTTTTTGTTAGAACTATTTGTTCTTATATCATGTTGGTGTTTTGAGTATAACTAGGGAAATTATTTCAATCCCGACTGATGGCACTTGAATCGGACGCAAAGATTTACCCTTTTATGCTCTTTGTTCATAGATTTCCTGGATCTCGGAACATGGCCAGCGGCAGTGGAGTGGAAGGCGAGGGATTGGGTATACCATACAGGCGCCGCTTCATCCCATTTGCCAACGATCCTATCCACACAACCAAAGATAATATCATTTCTATGGACAAGCACCTTCCCATCACCCAAGGCAAGGACAGTGCTGCAACTAAGGAGTTCATCTCTTGTTATGGCCATTGCCGTCCTACCACGTATGGCGATGAAGATGCTTCTAGGACAGCTGTGGAGGTCACCGGTGGTAAACAAGATCCAAGGGGGGCAGTTCAGAACCTAATAGATGGTGAAGTGGCAGTTCAGGAGCTAATAGATGGTGAAGAAATTGCAAGGAACCAAAGGGCCAGTGAGGTTAGTGACAACGATGGATATGAAGAGTTCAATGATCGTGCTGTTAACTACCACTGTGACTGTCATGTTTGGACGCCACTTATTGCAAGCAGCCACCGTGACGGTTCTATATACGATACCAGGGGCACCTTTGGATCTGGGTGGAAATGGGATTATCGTATTGCAGATCGTAACGAGAGTAAGTGATATATATCTATTTTCCTGTTGTTATCTATTTTATAATTAGGACATTTGTCAAGCTATAGGTTCAGCTAATATATTCTATGTTGAAAGGTTAGTGTGCATTATATTTTGTACTTAAAATGATAAATTAAACTACTAAAACCGGGTCACTTCACCCCTGCTTTAAATTGAGATTTTGTACCATAATATGACACTCCACTCTATGTCATGAATACTTTCGCAATTTCTCATGATTATCTGCATACATTATCACATCCCAAGGGTTTGTGTCCAGGAGGAAGGTGGCAGCAATGCTGCCACTTATGCAACCCTAGGGTGCCAACCAGTCCTATGGCTGCTGGGGCCCACCATGTGGCCATCTGACCTACATGCCCTGAACAACAAACAAGACGAGAAATTCTGTCTATTATTAAGAGTCTGGAGTCTAGTAGACTAGGAAGTTATCAATTAAATAGAAATATATCTCCCATTTAAGTTAAGGGTGGCATAATAGATGATATTTATATCAAACCACAGCTCTAAGTATCGGAAGAACTTTTTATTTGCCACTACAGAGTGTCCTATTCTGGGATACGCCATTGGAAAATATCTTATACGGTCTATGGCATCCACCTCACAAATTTCACCCTTATTTGCAATTGTTGACCAGTCAAGACATGGGAAAGGTGTAAAATTAGGATGCCTCATCCACCTCCTAGGTGATCATTCCCATGATGGCCATGATCTAACTGGTGATGCCTCCTCGATGGCACTATTGAACAGAGGCAGCATTCTACCATGACCACAATCGATGAAGTGTCACAGAATAAATTGCAGACTTTGTGCTTGAGGGGGACAATTGTGGACCAGTGGAACAGAGCCCCCTCAACTCCAAACCATGGTGGTTTGTTCCCTTGTTTGGGACCTGATGTTCTTTTCTTTTTCCCCTTTTTTTTTATTTTCTTCTGTCAGTCTGAATTGGTTACTAGAAATTACATTGGACAGAAGGTGTTTTTTTTTTTTGCCTTATATTGTCCCACATGAAGTGATCTGGTTTTAGTAATTAGGTGGGGGAGTGAAATGAGACGGGAATTATCTAGACAACCAAAAAGCTTTAGTCATTAGAATGGACTTTCTACCTTTATTTTTATTGTACCATGCATGTATTTTATCTACTCTTTAAGTTTCCGTTACAATTTGGCATGTCATCTTTGTTGTAGCTCGGTTGGAGGCAATGATGTTATCACATCCCACGAAAGATTGCTACATGAGGGATGGAACTTGCATATGGCATCCTGCAAATGGCATGTTGCAAATTTTCTCAGTAAAGTTGGCTAAAACTCCTGTAGTTGATGGCTCAATTGAATTGTATGGATACATTGCTGTGCGGGACCTTCAGGATCCATTACTTAATTATATAGTCAAAATTGGCAGGGATGATCCCATCATTGTGGAGCAGGTATGCTTCCATGCTCTCTACAATTATTTCAAATTACTTTATTTGTTTCACATTATAAGATCAAACTTACAGCATGCATGGAACAAATGTGATTAGAGCTTACCCAACATTAACCTTAACACTAAACCGTCCTTCACCCATGGTTAGCCAATTTTGTGCTAAATGGTCATTTAAACAGAAACGGCTAACCACCATGTGGCGTTTAAACAGGCTAAATGACCATTCAGGTGAACAATGAGGTTACCTTTTGTTGTTACTCCCTCCGATTTCATTTTAATTGACGTTTTGGACAATGACACGGTCTACAAAATATATCTTTGACCTTATTTTTCTATTATAATATATGCAATAAATAAATGCATGTTTACTTTTATTATAGTGCTTTGAAAGATAAATCTATATATGTTGTCCTAGTTTTCTTTAAACTAGATATTTTAAAAGTTATTGATGGTCAAAGTTATAAAAGTTCGATCTCAACCTTGTCCAACACGTCAATTATTTTATAGAACCGGAGGGAGTATTTTACAGCCACAAAATATCTTTTACATTACTGAATTTAGGATAGAGTGGAAATGGTGTATTAGGCTCAGTTTGATAGTGTAGGCTCAGTTTGCAATCTTTTTTTCTTAAAAAGAAATGAAATAGTAGTAGTCTATGGTTTCCGCCATATTTCTCATGTGAATGTTTTCTTTTCTTAACAGAAACAGGCTGCTACTATGATTTTCATTGTCCCACCATGATCTAACGGCTTAGTTTTTTTTTCTTTGATAATGTGGTAATTTTTTTTCTGAACAGAAACATGCCGCTACTATGATTTTCATTGTCCCACCATGATCTAACAGCTTAGTTTTTTTTTCTTTGATAATGTGGTAATTTGTAGGTCTTCAAAGTGAACATAGTGCCTCTTTTTCAAGCTTTCTTTATAGTATAATAGATACATAACATACGTGCCCGAAAAGGCAGCTAAAATATTATAGTGTTATAGCTGCAAAAAATTTGCTTCCATAAACACATGTCTGGACAGTGAGGAAGGTGAGTTGGGATGCGATTAGTGTGTCCAAAAGTAACAAAATAATATTATGGATTGATAAGACCTTTATCAAGTACTATATTGTGGAATGATAATTATGATCAGACCTGTATTAATCATGAACTAGGTGCAAGTGAGTGTACGTGTTGCAAACAGAATCAAATAGAATAGTTTCGAACCCTTTGGTTCCTGCCTAGTACCACATAAAATTGTTCTTTTTTTGGTTGTCTACAGACATATGAATGACCCTTCACAACAAAGTCCTTTTTTGTTTACATTTCACACAAGCTTATATGATTAATATTTTGGAATTCAAAATTAACTCAAATAAATAGCGTGGGACAAACCTTCTCTAACATTCTTGCACACATTGTAACCGTTCTGTTTGACACATGACGAATATCTTGGGCATCAACTGTAAAATGATCCGTTTAGCTAGGCATTATTGTGACTAAAACGTTAATATTTTCTTAGTTACTTACTTTGCTATGAAGAGCTACTAAATATTAATATTTTTTTAGGGTTCCCTCATCGAAATGACTGGCCCTAAGCGAGGGATCGACTTTTCTTGTGCTGTTCTAGTTGAATATGACATGAGAATCAAGACAGGAGAACGAGAGGAAGATGATCTACAACTGATTGATGGTGCAACAGATCTTGACCATATATTGACATCACATGTACCAGTGAGAAATCGCATTTATGGAGATTGCGGCGCAGTTGACATAACTCAAGCGAATCTTTTGTATGCATTTGAGGCGACTGTAGAAGTCGTCATATCAGAAGTGCAGACTAGTTTTGATTTGTGTCTCAGCTGTTTTACCAGTGGGTTACATGAGGAAATTCGGCTCTTTGATGGTGCGATCAGTGAGTCACGTGACTTGAGGAGGTATGTGATTGCTGTCATGGAACATGAGTGTATGGATTTGAAGTTCAAGGTAGGTTTAGGGTCTGGGTGTTTCGCTGAACATTGTCGATCCTTCAAAGCAACTAATCATGGATGTGCCAGTGAACAAATAAAGATTGAGTTCGCCTCAATCTCGGTGAAGGTCACTTGGTCGGCTATGGAGTTCTAGAAGGGTACTTAGCGTTTGGACATTTTTTTTTTATTTGTTACTCCCTCAGTTCTATATTGTAAGACTTTCTAGCATGTTCATATTCATCTAGATAGATAGATAGTGTGAAGCTAGTGTTGCTAGTGTTGAGTGTAGGCATGTGTGTGTTTCAGCCCAACAGGGCCCATTACACCAATGCATATGTATAGTAGAAGAGAGAGGAAATAGTGTGAAGCTTCTGGAGAAAAACAATCACCTAGCAACATGGTATCAGAGGGCGACCGCGTCGAGGCTAAACCCTAGCTAGCGGCGCGCCGGTTTGTGGTGCTGCAGCTTGGAGCAACGGAGTGGTGGCGTTGACAGCGGAGACGGCGACAGCTGCTACAGAGGATCTCGACGCAGCCGGCGTGAAGGAGGGAGCAGGGTGTGCGCTCGCTGGTTGAGCCGCGCAAGGGGAGGACGCACGGCGGGTGAGAGGCGCACTGTACGAGCTGCGTCTAGACTTGGCTGTGGTAGTGTTCCCGACCATTATGGGTCTAGACTTGGCTATGGATACAAAAGCACAAGCTACCGTCATCTCGGAAATGCATGCCAACTGTTTAGAGTTGAGCCATGGAGCCATGGTGTCCATACTAGCAATCCTGATGTCTTGTCAATACCAATATCTAAAATGGCCAGTGTCAAGGCTGCTAACAACATCACCATCGAACCAGTGGTTCAGTATGTTGATAAAGAGCTGGACAAGGCATCCAATAGGGATAAAGGGGCCAAAGGCAACAGAGGTATGGTGGTGGCTGATCATTTCCAACTGTGGCCATCTCCTTATCAGCTTAATTGTGAATGTTCTCACACTGAGCAGCAACCATGGCCACCGCCTACTCAAGCAGGAGACATTGGTTGTCAAGTTGCGCTGCGACGAGTGCTAGGGTCATCATCCAAATGCAGCCAAGGTGACTTAATGCCGGTGACACCACCAAGGCCACTGACAATAGGAAAATTGCATAACTCGAGGAGCCGTTCTGCTGGAAACACAACTGAAGCCGTACAATCAATTATTGAGTCTCATGCAATATCTTTACACTGTAGAATTTCCAAGTCAATGTGCATTGCACTTAATTTTGTTGAGAGCTGGCTACAAAACACAGCCAAGAAATTATGCAATGGCCAGTTGCTTAACCTTTCAGTTGGGATACATTTTGACGACAGAAAGATTTCTACTACATTGTTTTTTGCTGAGTTGCTTGAGCACCCAATAATATATTTTCAGGTTTACTTAACTGCTTTTCACTGTGTTCATTCGAACAAAATCCTGAGACCATGGATTATTGCTAGAGCTGCTAATGAGAAGCAGAACAGGAAGGTCAAGAGATGTGGTTATGATTCCATTGTTGGTTTTGATGGAAACAATCCTATTGATGCCAGTATTGCAGTAAAGGTTTCCATTGATGTGATTGGTACTTGGACAGATTCAGAGACGCTATATGCATAAGTTGCAAACAAGGATTATTTGTCTGTTAAATTACTTGAGCTGGTAAGAAAGGGGTCCAATACATACTGGTTATTAGAACTCATAACTAATGAGCTGAATCCTTGGTGTTTACTCAGATATCAGAGATGGCTAGAAATTCTGGGGCTCCCACCTTTGACTAGGGCTGCGTGGACAGGACAAGGGAAGATAGAACAGGACATTAGTGTGGACATAATTTCAGCATCTCAAGTTATCAAGTCTCTCTGTCTGAACAAGTCATCTATTAGGAGCTACTCAAGTTATTTTCTCCTGATACATGCTTTGGTCAGTAAATTGAGAGCTTGGGAAGCATTGGTGGAAAAGCATGTGCATCGTATGCACTCCAAAGATAACAAAAGTACTCCCTCCGTCTCAAAAAAGACAAACCCTGGTTTCCGTGTCCAACGTTTAACCATTCGTCTTATTTAGAAAAATTATGAAAAAAATTTAAAAAGATAAGTCATGCATAAAGTATTAATCATATTTTATCATCTAACAACAATAAAAATACTAATTATAAAAAAAATTTATATAAGACGGACAGTCAAACGTTGACACGGGAACCCACGGTTTGCCTTTTTTTTTTTTAAGGACGGAGGGAGTATTGTTGATGCCTTGGGATCCAGGAGGTTTCCATCAGCTTGGGGACAAGCTGAATTTTATGGGGGAGGGAATGTTAGGATCCTGCCTCCTTCCATGGGCCTGTCAGGTCAAATGCATATGGGCCTAGCCAACCATCCACCCCCGCCAAAGCACAAGCAAGCAGGTAGAAGGTATAAAAAGAAACAGATACTTCACATTGGAGGCATGGTGGGATCAATTGGCGAGCTGAGGCTCACGACGGCGACCTAGGCGGCCGGTGGCACCCTTGTCGATCTCTTCTCTTTCTCCTCTTCTTCCTTGAGTTACTAGCAACTTGTATCCCCTATTTTCTTCCTTTGTTTCACCAAATACTTGCAAGTGGTAACAATCTGGTTGCTAATTGAATTGGAGCAAAGGGTGCTAACACCACGTCAGCGGGCCCCACGACCACCCGAACGCCGCCGAGAAGACACACGTCAGCGCCAGCACCGCCACGGAGTAGCGCCTCGCCATCGCCGACTCGCCGTCCCGCCCGATCTGCGACCCCATGATCCACGCCACCGCGACCTGGCAGGCGATCATCACGTACGAGGCCGCTGGTCAAGAACAGTACCCGGCGGCCGTACCGGTCCACCGTGGCGATGGAGACGAGGGTGGAGCCGAGGTTGACGGCGCCCATCTCAGCGACGCGTTGTTTCGGTGCACGTGTGCTGCAAAGTCGGATGGTCACGCCCGGTAGTGGTGGGCCGGTTCATGCGATGTATTGCGTGAATTTGGGATCGGTTTGATCGATCTGCTGCCCGGAAAAGAGCTATTTCGGGAGGATTTTTAGTGGTTTTGCTACGGACCTGCAGGTTGGTGAAGCCAATGCCGAAGCCGAGCAGCATGCTGTCGACGATGAGCATGGCGATGTTGACCGCAGCGGCGTTGACGGCGGCGCCGGCGAAGAAAAGCGCCGCACCCGCGAGCATGACGGCCTGCCTCCCGACCGCCCTGGTGACGCGGCCAGCCCGGCCAGGTACAGCGACGACGTGAACGCCGTCAGCACGTGGCTGTCGTAGACGCAGTACTCGTCCCGCCGTGCCGCCGCCATCCGCCGGAGCACCCCCGGGATGAAGGCCCCACTCCATCGCCGTCACTCCCCCTGACCACATCATCTCCCTCACAGACGACGGTATATATAATACAAGTGATGAATGTCGTTTGCAGCCACGTGTAAGTGTAACGACGTATCGATTTTGCTATTTATTTGTCGACAAATTTTTTCCCAAAAATTTGACAGATATAATTACAGTATAATCGTAGTATAATTACACTGAAACTTGCATGTAATTACAGTGTAACTTGTATGTAACTTTCAAAAATCTCTCCGTAACATGTTATTTCGGTAAAATGGAGGTCGCGGGAACAAATTCTTTCACATATGTGTGTGCTATGATTTGTTTTCTTCCTCACCAAAACAAATCTTGTAATAGATCTAACGATTTAAAATTATGTGAAACTTATATATAAGTTACATGCAAGTTACAGTGTAATTACATATAAGTTACAGTGTAATTACACTATGATTGTACTATAATTACATCTGTCACATTTTTGAGAAAAAATTTGTCGACAAATGTATAGGTAGTCCCACGACGTATACGTACCGGAGATGCCGATGTCGTAGCCGAAGATGAGGCCGCCGGCCGGAGGCGGCCATGAGGCAGGTGACCACGACGGAGAAGGTTATGCCGCCGCCCATGGGGAACCCACCTCCAGCCATATCGCGCAACGGCCGGCCTTGTTTGGCACGCAATAGCCGCGCGCTCACTCGCGCACTAGTTGGTTGGGCTGGTAGCTAGCTATACGATAGCAAAGGCCGATCGATCGGGGTGTCTGGTTTTTGTATATATCCAAATCCACGGCCACGTGCGGGAGGACTTGTGTTAGTTAATTATTAAGCGCACGGAGCAATCGCGTGCCAAACCATATATTGGAAATTAACTCGTTCGGCTGCTCTTGCTTTATCAACTCGTTTTGTTTTCTTTTTCGTTTTGTTGGGGCGGAATTATTCAGTCGTATTCTTGAAGAGGCCCTACGTACAAACTAAACGTACTCCAGATTCCAGAAGATCCTCAGTCCTCACTGGCAGACTGGCAGGCACGCTGCTACTCAGATTGCGATGGGTTTCACGGGTGGGGTGGTTGTTGAGGATCGAATGGTTCAACTGCACCGCTGCATGCCTGTGGTGCAGAGTGCCGTTTTGCATGCCGGCGCGGCGTGGCTTCGTTTAGTTCTGAATCTGAGAGATATGCGCGAGTTAATGGCCTAATGTGTAATGCCATGTACCAAGGCATACATACATACATTGTACGTGTTTGTGTCTGTCAGCCAAAAGTTGGCTGATGACAGACGCCCATCTAGCTCTTGTCAGGGGGCTTGGTTTTGCTCTCCCTTGATCAGCCTGTCATCACACCGGCGGGCTGACGCATCACGCACGTAACAATTTATTGCACTATCTCGCGGTTAGCCGAAACACCACAGCGGTACAGGCTTGCCACGACAGCTACCACAGTTTGTTGTGCGTGAAGGCTGATGTTCAGTAAAAAAAGTTGGTCCGTCTTGTACTCTTGTATCATGTATATGGGCATGTTGAATTGTGTGTGATGTATCACTGTACCTTGCACAGTGCGCACCAACCTCCCGAGAAGAAGGGGAGTGCCGGAACAAAGCTGAAAGAGAAAGCATGGTAGGAGGAATGTCATAGTGGGCCATCAGAAAAGCGTGCATATGGGCTAGTTTTGCTGTAGTACAGAGGAGAAGACGCGCCACGGCGCCACTGGGCGGGACGCGCGGCCTGTGAGAGAGGCCAGGGAAAGCACGATGGTGAACTTGCCGAGGGAAAGGAGAAGAAGCGGCCCAAAACTGCCGAGGGTGGGGGGGGGGGGGAGGTTGGGTTGGGCCGAGAGAAAATGAGGAGAGGCGTCCCAAACTGATGGAAATAGCTTGATATTATCCAGGGAGTTGTTTCAACGAATTTGAGAGGCATTTGATGTGGGATTTGAATTCAAATTTTATATTTGAACTCAAAGAAGTATAGGGAGTCAACGAAGGGAACCGAATAAGGAATTCGGTATTATGGACATGGAGGAGTATTTGTGAGGGATTTAAGGGGGAGGGGATGAAAAAGTTGGAATTCAAGGAGGGAGTTTGACTGGATTTTGCATCCTGGAGTTGGGAGGAATATTTTGAGAAAGGATTCAAAGGGAGATAGGTAGATAGATGGAAATAGAGATAAAGATAGATATAGAGATAGATAGAGAGAGAGAGAGAGGATGAAACAATCGAGAATTGATTTCAAGGACTAAGGGAAAAGTTTAGGATATGGAGGTGAATCATTGGACTTAGTTTTTATTTGAGCATTAGATGAAATTTGCGGATTCAATTCGAATATAAGGATTCAAATTTCAAAGCTATTTTCGAAACGAAGACTTGAGAAGTTAGGTTAGGGATTCGAATTTGCCAAACTTGAGATTTGCAATCATGAGCCCTTCGCAAGGAGTAACCGGAGATGATTTGAGTGTGGACTCAAATCTTCGGAGAGGAACTGAACTGGAATTATTCGAAGGGGAAATTTCTCGATAGAGGTTTAGAAAGGAGATTTGAATACGAAGGTTCGAAATGTGAGATTATTCTCGGACAGAGATTTTGGGCAGACGATTTTGACATTAGGGAATTGAGACTAAGGAGGGATTTAAAGAACGAAATTTTTCGCATATAGGATTTTTATTAAATTAGTTTTTTAACGCCACGTGAAAATCGGGGCGTTACAACGCGTGCGCACCTTACCGCTATAAGCACCTCCAAAAAGCTTGGATTGGCATATTTTAGGATTAATGAAGTCGCCATGGGCATATCAATATCGATATATACACTGCTTACTACTAAAATAATAATTACCTACAAATGTGAGCATCCATGTCAAGTCTAAGACTTAAACTCGAGTAGCTTGGTTCTACCACAAGTAATAAACTAACTAGTTGAACTAAGCTCACCTCGTGACATTAATACCAATTCGATAGGCGAGGCTCACTAACTTAGGAACATATCATATGCACATAAGTTTTTCGTACACACCAACAAACAAATGTCACAGAAAATTCTAGAAAAAATTAGACACGTGCTCCTAATAGTATTACACATATATGCGAAGTTTCATATTCAAATGCATTATATTTTAGCTGTAACAAAAAAAAGTGAAAATCTGACCGGTTTTAAGAGTAAAATCTAGATAATTTTATCTTTTTGTTACCGCTAAAATATAATGAATTTAAAGATAGGATTTTACACATAGGTGTAATACTAAAATATAATAAATAAAAAATATGTGTTTAATTTGTTTAAAACATTTCTATAACATTGTTAGTTGGTGTGCATAGGAAACTTGGAAACTTGTGTATATAGATTCGTTCCCCACTAAAGTTAGGAAAAAGTACACCGAAGGTCCCTCAACTTATTATCGGGATACAAAATCGTCCTCCAACCATAAAACCAGATATGCGGGGTCCCTCAACTATATAAAACCAGTTACAATAGGTCCTTCGGCGGTTTTGATCCCGGTTTTATCCTACGTGGCTGCTGAGTCGGTGTGGGACCCATGTGGGCCCCCATGTCAGCGAAACCTAGTTTTCTTCCCCACTTCTCTCTATCCCCTCTCAGCCTCTCTCCCCTCCCCTCCAAGCAGATCGCCGGAGAGGGCACGATGCGGGCGCGGAGTGGCCAGCTGGAGGAGCGGGCGACGGCGCGGGGAGCGGCCGGCCGGCCGGCAGAGTAGGTGAGCGGTGGGCGGAGCGGGCGACGACGCGGGGACGAGAATAAAGACGACGCCGACGCCGTACGCGATACGAGCGAGGCGGGCGGGACCTCGCTATCGTTCGCGTACGGGTCGGCGTCGTCTTCATCCTCCGCAGCGAGCTCCCCGGTGATGCTCATCGAACTTTTCTCACACCGCCCCAACAGCAAGACGCTCGTCGAGGTCGTCCCGGTCATGGTGGAGGAGCTCTACATCCGAAAGGTAGACGACGAGGCGCTCCGCTACAAGGCCATGGCCGCCGCCGTCCCCGCCAACGTCGTCGAGTCTAGCATTGATCCGGATACCACCGTGGTGAACAAAGAAGGCCACGTCCTCACGTCCAAGTAATCCATCTACGACTTCATCCACATGCTCAAGTGCTTCATTCCTCACAAGCTCAACCTCAGCATCATCCGTGTCCTGTCGCGCTCACCGCGCACGCCAATTCGCTCGCCGCCGTGGTCTCGGTCGTCAGGGAGAACCACCAGGGCCACTCCATCGTGGAGCTCCCGGACGGAAGCGCTTGATGTCGCCGCGACGAGGCTGCTCGTCACCTGTCAATGCACATGGGGCACACCATCGCCGAGAGGCTCTGCAAGACGCAGAGAGCCGCCGGCGCCGGCGAAAGAGGCAGACGAGGGGCGGAGGGCCGCGCTGCTGCAGGCGGTTTGCGGTCGTGGGCGGTGGCATGTCGGCGGCGTCGGGCTCCGCGTGCGGGTGTTTGCTCCGGGACCATAGTGCGTCGGGCGGCGTCGTCGTCTCGCCGCGGACTGGTGATGAGCAGATGCAACAGCTGGAGGTCGGCCGGCGTAGAGCCGCCGCCGCCGGTGGCAGCTCCTCCCTCGCCGGCCGCTGCCCGCGCCCGCAACGCCCATCTGTTCTCTGCAGCCGCCGTGGAGAGGGGAGGAGAGAGGAAGAGAGATGGTGAGGGGAGGGGAAGAAGTGGCTGACATGTGGGACCCACGTGGGTCCCACGCTGAGTCATCTGCCATATCAGACAAAACCGGAGTCAAAACCGTTCAGGGATCTAGTTTATTCTGGTTTTATAAGTTGAGGGACGCATTGTATCTGGTTTTGTGGTTCAAGGACGATTCAACAAGTTGAGGGACCTCCGGTGTACTTTTTCCCTAAAGTTATTATGTCACATTTGAGTACGGACGGCCCACTAATCTCGCGATGCCCGAAAACGAAGCCCAGAGACCCAACTCCCCCATTCTCAAGCATATTGCATCGACAAGCGCAGCGGCATTCTTCCGAGCCCCCTCTTCGCCATTTCGCCTGCTCCGTGATCGCCGTCGCGCACCATTTCGCCGCCCTGCCCCGCCCCAGCAACGATTGCGTGCGGGATCTCAAACCCTAGGGTTCCCTCGGCGCTGACGGGAGCAACCTCTCGCCGCCGACGCCGCTATCGCCCGGCAGATTCGTTGACGATGGGGCGCTCACGGCCCTCGCCTCCGCCTCCTCACGCGAGCGAGGTAATCGTCTCCCCCTTTAACCGTTCGTTGTTGTTTGTGTTCAGCCGTGGAGCGGAGATGACGCGGTATCGAATACCAATTGGCTTAGATGCGATTTTGGAAACAGAACTTACGTCATTCCGCGGCAGAATTTTACTTTATCCACAGCGGATTCATGATACAGAGTTAGCGATAATATGTTGATTGTGCATTATTAGAGATTTTTGTTTCCGATTTATGTGCAGCGCTAGTAAGATTCCCTGAGCATGTGCAACTTATGATCCACCTGCCGAACTGATTTTGTCTTGCTAATTAGTGCATAAATTTCCTAGGTAGGACAACCTATTGAATTCGTTTCAGTCGTTCCTATTAATTGTATTATGGTGATTGTTTTTTTTTTTTGAAACCTAGATCTTGCTGGTTTTATATTAAGAGAGGGAAATGCCATACAAAATTATGGTGATTGGTTTACTTGGATATGATTTCCAATAACTGTGCCCTGGTCAATATGGATATTTGGTACGGCAGTATTGTCAGAGAATGATAGAAAACACTATTGACAGAGTATTAGACTGTATATTGGATCCAAAAATGTGAGAACAGAATATGGTTCAGCAGTCCATAGTTTTGCTGCTGTTGCTTATAATCTTGCAAGGTTATCAGCCAGATTGTTACAGTTAACTTGCAAGGCTATATATCAGCCACATTGTTACTCTGAACTTGGAAGTTTAATATGCCTGGAATCTTTCACAGGATTGGGAGTTTGGATATACCCTAATGAACTACAACTGACCATTAAGCAGCACTGCCTGTTGAAAAGTTGCTAGTTTACTCATTTAACTTCCATATATGAATGTACACACCTGTAATTTTGTTTAGCAGATCAGGAATAGGGGGCTCACCTCAAAGCATGTGACCACAATTTGCCTTGATGGAACTGACAAGGAAGCGTTAGCAAGCTATCTTAGTGGCATTGAAGAGGTAATTAATTGGTCATATGAAGATGGAATTAAGGTGGATATCTCAGATATTTGTGGACAGTGCCATGAGGTATTCACTACAAGAGCTGGAGGCTCAATGGAAGTGGAATTCGTGTACATGGGTCGGTCTATAAGATTCTTGATACAGGGAAGAAATCTGTACCTTAGAGGATGGAAAGCAAGGGATTGTGTTTTTGAGCTTAACCATGACCAACATGAGAACTTCACTCTGGACCCAAAGTGCATCAGACTCAAAACTGGTTTGAACTATAACAAGCTTGTTTTCGGGGGTGTTGAGAATACTCCCACTGGTCTATGGCCTGTTAGAAAAGCATTTGACAACTTCTGGAGGCATGCTGGTGGTGAAAACATAAATATATCAGAAGATGTTGCAATATTTGCTGTGATTATATCTGAGGCAGCAAGATTACGCCCGGTGCATGACTACATCAAAGATTCTTTCCTTTCTGAGAATCCGGGTTTAAGCAAATTGGGGAAACATCCCTCCAACCCCATGTATGTGAAGAAGTACAAGAAAATTTCTGCTCACATAATGGAAAATGTTGACCTCATGAAACAGGGCCTAGAGCCAAAACCATTCAAGCATGAGAAACTTGTCATAGATTCTATGGAATCGGCTCTTAGTATTGTCAGGATCTTATTCAGGGATGCATTTAACTCAGGATTATTTGAGCATGAGAAACCTCCCAAGCCCATCTTTGAAAACACATTGGATCGTCAGGAGGTTAAGCACAAAAGAAAGCAGGACAAGCGGAAAAAGAAAGGAAAGAAGGGAGGAGGGGGATCAGGAGGGGGAGGTGGAGGTGGATCGATTGGGGAAGAAGTACCAAAGGGAGGAGGAGTTCGAGAAAGACTGAAGGGAGCAAGTTACAAGCATGTTAGTCTTTTAGTCCTCATGGGCTCATTGCATATTTTATGTTTTACCTCAGAAATATTCTTACTGGTGACGTGCATATTGCATTTTGATGTATTATTAATATATATATGATGTGTCTGTTTGATCCTAGTGCACCTGAAGTTGACAATAACTTGACGCTGATCAGCTTTTCATCTCCTTAGTTCCAGTGTATTAAAAGCAAAAATTGTCAGTTGTTAAAGTTGCATAAATATTCCTTTGTTCAACAAAATGATTTTGCATAATTTCCTGATTCTCAGTGTGACATCTATATATTTGCAGCATGTGACGATGTGAAACTAGTCACCGGTCAATATTATGAGTTGTTAGATACATAAATGAAACTTTATCCTGCTGAATTATTTAGCGATCATCCTCTGATTTGAGATGTGACATTTGATTCACCCATTGTTTCATCGAAACTGTTCATAGTGTTATGCTGTTGCGTGCTCCATTGTTTTCCTTGTTTGCAACTCAACATCTCGTTTACAGAATTCCATTTATCTTTCATATACTTACCGTAATAGCTTTTGAAACTAGTATACAAAAGATACGTGTTGGAATAACACCCACTCTTTTGTTTGGTAATCCTCACAGGCCAGAGACATTGACAGCAAGAGTATTGGCCCCAGCAGTAATGGCTCTGATGATGAGAAAGTGAACTGGAAGGCTCTAAAAGATGTCATATACAAAGGTAATCAACCCTACTTGAGGCTTTCATTGAAGATTCCGTTGTGCTCATCGCATGATAATGGATCAGGCGAAGTGGATGGTTGGACCTTTATTACTGATTTTTAAGCATTGTTATTCCTAAAGTATCTCAGCTTTGCATAGAAGATGCTCAAAAGCAAGTGGATCTTTTTTCTTTGCTCTGTTGCAGAGTGTTTTATTCATTCTGGTTTGAAGATCTTATCCATTCTCTCTGATGTCCGTCTGCATCCCCACGAGCGGTGGAATGTATGTTTGTTTCACAACCTGTAACTCAAAAGGTCCCTTTGGTGACATGTCTCAAGGTTTATCGGTTCAGTAACGGTTAATGAACTGATGATACTATTTCACTGAACAGATTTGTCAGAAGGTAGGATCGAGGGCTGCAATTCTGCAAAATCTTGTCAACCCCATTGAGGTGTTCGTAGATGATGAATGTGCTGGGTATACTACTGTGCCTTTAAGTTAACAATTTTGATTAGTTCTTTTCAAAGAATAACTATACAAACATATAATTTCTATATGCCTTCCTCTGATTATTTTAGGAAACCAGCTCCCCAAGTGCCAAAGAGTTCAAAACCATCTATTATGAAGCTTAGGCAAGCAACAAGCAGAAACCTCAAGCGGTAAGAATAGTTTAGCTTATACTATTATGTTTCCACAGGTTCTGTTCCTTTCTCAGTTTTTTTTATGCACACTTGCTTTTTTTGAACAGGGAAATTGAACTGCTTATGGAGAACCCACAGCGCAACTTCCCTCTAACCAACTTCTGTCTTGACCCCTCAAAGGTATGCTTGTTTTTTACAATATGTAATTATAAACTCAATACTTTTTTTTTTGAAACCGAAGCTAGGCTAAGCTGGAGTTATATTAAGGAGAATAGAAAAGTATTTACAATATCACCAAAGAAGGTGAAGGAGAAAGAAACAAGGGAAACTAGGGAAGAAAACATAAAAGAAACACACACTAAATGAAACCTAAGCGGATATTCTCGCGATGTTTTTTGCTCCACACATGCTCCATATTTTGATTTCGTCTTGTATTTTGATGAGTAGTTGCGACATGGTTTTCTCTTGATTTTGGAACACCCTCCTGTTTCGTTCACACCATATTTCCTATGCCACCAACAAGTGGATTGACTTGAGTGCTTTAGCCTTGTTTTTCCCTCCTTGAAATGTACTCAATACTTGCTAACATGTATATTGTTAATGAACTAATGATAATGTTTTGGACCAGTAAGGAGATGAAGCTTAGCTTTCGTTGTATATTTACTTGTTCTTAGGTTGATTTTGCTTAAGATCTCTGTCTCTTGTGCTATATGGGTTTGTGAGAGATGTCAGCGAGTTGCATGATCAAATAGAATTAGTGTATGACACAGTGCGAACAGTTCCATTTGGTCTACTGATTTTCTTGAGAAAAGTGCTTGTGAAAACAGCAATTTCTTGACTGTCCCTGTCTGTAAACAACATCAATCCATTGAAAAGGAAAAGCTTTTAAACCTCACAGCTATTGTTGACTTTGCTCCTTTTTTATGCATGCAGTTGATTAAATCTAGCACTATGGTTTCCCCTGTCATTTATGCGCAACGTCGCCTGTCATATCTGATGAATGGCATGGGAAGACAACAAGCTCTCGGTGATGCAATGCAAGCTTGGAGACGGCCAACCACTTTTAATTTTCTGGATGCTGCTCTGCCTTCTTTAGGCATGGAAATTGAATCTGAAGAAGCAATCGAGGGTGCATCAAATTTTCAGCTTGAGCTAAAGAGAAGGGGGATGTTCTCCAGCGCTCTCCTCTACGCAAGAAGGAGATTGCCCTCCGAGTCCCAATTGCCTTGTTCATCACCATCACTTATGCACCAAGCAAGCGTACGCAACAAAGGCTGTTTGTTTTCAGGCAGCGCTCTTCAAAAGAATTTCCATTTATGGATTGCACGAGGTCTCAGGTTGCTACGCTGATCTGACTGCGCGATAACTTTCATATGCCGGGAATTCATGCTTAAATAGCCAATTAAGCCTGATCAGAATGTAACAAAATTCTTGTGGCAAGTTGACAACTTGCTATCCTGCTGAACAAATATTATCCTCAGTATTGTCGTCCTGACTTGTGGGTGAATTCGAGAGCATTGATATGATGGAGGTAATTTGGTTCCGCTGTATATTGACATATTCTGCTTAAGTAGATAATACTCCGTGTATGTTGCAGTGGGAATTGTTGACTGAATTAAAGTAGGTCTATTCGGTGCAACTGATCCACCGGTGGTGGTTGCCTGGTGCGGTGACCTGTTGCAGCATAGCCGCATGCCAGCCTCGCCAGAGGCCGCGCCACGGTGTCACTGTCCACTACCACGTTGCGCGCGCGGCGACTAGGTACCACACGAGCGCTGGTGCGGTGCACCGCGCGTTGCACGACGGTTTTGATCATGTCGTTTGGTTTTGGACGAAATGGCAGGCGGCTCTTCTCTTCATCGCCGAGATGGCCCCGACGCGGTGGCGTGGCTCGCTCACGGCCGGGTTCCAGTTCTTCCTCGCCGTCGGCGTACGTCGTCATCGCAACGGCGGGCGTGGTCGTGGGGCCCGCTGGGGTGGGTGATCCCCGGCGAGATATTCCCGGTGGACATCCGGTCGGCGGGGCAGGCGATGAACGTGTCCATCGGCCTCGGCCTCACCTTCGTGCAGACGCAGTCGTTCCTCGCCATGCTCTGCCGGTTCAGGTATGGCACCTTCGCCTACTACGCCGCTTGGGTCGCCGTCATGACCGCCTTCATCGCCGTCTTCCTGCTCGAGTCCATGCCCACCGTCTGGGCGCGACACTGGTACTGGAAGCGGTTCGCGCCGCAGGAGCAACTGAAGAGGAGCGAGGTGCGAGGACGAAACGAACAAGAGATTTGCTACCGTTCAGCAGAGGGAGGCGGTACCAAATCCTAACCGTTAGCTGGGACAGATCAAACGGTTGAGATTGCTCGGTACCGTGCGGTACCATTTTAGCCCTTATAGTGGTACCATTTCTTGAAGAGAGGTGGAAGGATAGTATAGACTTTTCGTATGTAAGGGCGAGACGCCGGGGTGCGCGGTGGGGTGTTGACGGTGGCACCAGACTACGGGTTCCAGACCCGATGTCGATAGCGGCGGTAGGCAGCGAGGTGCGCCGCGGGGTCAGCATCGACGGTGGCATCAACGGACGGCGAGGTCTGGGGCCGGCGTTGATGGCGGTGGCGGCGAGCTGCGGCCTGTGGGGTTCAAGGGTTTGAGGTGGCGTGCAGCCTGCGAGATCCAGCCCTAGCTTCGACGGTGGTCGGGCGGTGGCGAGCATCACAGGGCTAGCGTCGGCGACGACGTGCTGTGAGATCCGATCCCAGCGTCGACGGCAGGGCTGCGGGATCCGCGGCGGTGTGTGGCATGTGTGGCCTGCGACTCTGCGAGATCCAGTCTTGGCGTCGACGGCCATGGCAGGCGGCTGCGGTGGCGGTTGGGGCGTTGCCGGCCGCGATGGCGAGGTGGCCGTGGAGAGGTCGGACCAGGTGCCACGGCAACGGCGGGGGTGTTGGCAGCCGAGGCAGCGAATTGGTCGTGGAGTTGTCGGATCAAGCACCACGGCAGCGGCGGCGAGTCGTCGGACCAGGCGGCGGCGCCGGCCGCAAGGAAGAACTGCAAAGACACGCATATGAGGGAGGAAACAATGGACACAAGCATGCGGCGGTGTTCAAGAATGAGAATTTTTCCATTTTGACGAAGAACTCAGGAACAAGATTAATTGATTCAATATTGGAAGAGATTTTTACTCATTCCCAATCCTACCCCTAAACATTGGATGGCTAGATTTGATCTAGTACCTGGTGGTACTGGTATCTTGGGGTACCAAGCGCTGGACAGTAGCAAATCTCAACGAACAAACCTAAGTGACTGATCGAGATTGAGATTGATGTTTCACGATTGTGTAATCGAAATTGCTAATGCGTTTTTTTTCTTTTCCCTTTTTTTGTGGTTTTCTGTTCTGTTTTATTTTTCTGTTCCGGTTTTTTTTTTTCTTTCTGGTTTTTTACACTCCGGGTACGCCTATAAAACTTTATATACATGTATTTTCTGGATTTTTATACGTACATATACTAATTTTTATACATGTATATAAAATTTATATACGAGTATGCAAAGTTTATATACACGTATGTAAAGTTTATATACATATATATATATATATATATATATATATATATATATATATATATATATATATATATATATATATACGTATGTAGATTAGTAGTAGTAATACATACTACTACTAGTAGTAGTCCTAGTAGTAACAGTAATGGTAGTATTAGTACTGCAAGTAGTAGTACAGGTAGTATTAGTACCAGCTGAGGTGCCGCGCGCGCCCCGACTGGTCGCGCATTAGCGCCATGTGTAATTGCACTTTTGTCCATCTGCTGGGAAAAGTGATTTCATCGCTCGAGGAGATATCCCCTCGTTTCGTCCATGCCATCTAAATAGTCATAAAATATTTTGAAAAAAATTGGCAGCATAGATTGATATGAAATATATCACTCCACAAATATACAAGTTTGAATTCAACTTCTACAAGTTGTAACGAAAATAACAAATATAGTTGCGAATGTACGACAACTATTGTCCATTTAATTTGTTCTTTTTGTTGCAGCATGTAGAAGTTGAATCTGGTCTTGTATGTTCGTGGAGTGATATATTTTATATTAATCTATGTTATTATTTTTTTTCAAAATTTTTAATAACTATTTAGATGGCATACAAATAACGAGGGAATGTCATCTCGAGTGATGAAAATACATATCCCTCTTTTATAACTTTTGAATCATGGAGTAGGTCCTAGTTCACTTGTCTTTTTCAATCGAAATCAAGTGTTGAAAAATCCAACATTGGCTGCTCCCATCTAGCTCAAGTGTTGAAAACTCCCCACAGCACTGTTGCATTTATGGTTTAAATAACACATGAGGCAAGAAACACACAGGGGTCTTCCGGCTAGCTCCACGAGGTGGTGCGCTAGACGACCTGGGTTCAAAACCTCACTCCTAATTATTTGATATTAGGTCATTCCCTAATATTCACGTCTTTTTTAATAGCACATGTTGCTTGCCAGCGTGGCAATCTACTCGCTCTCCAAGGAAATCCCTTCTCCCCCTCTATTTGAAATGTGGAGAATTTTTAGAATATGTCATTGGATTCGCACCATCTAGGTTTGCCACTTAATTCATGACACTTTCTGAATATGCCACCGAGGACGCGAGTTGTTTCATTCCGTGCCACTCGTCCCTCCGAAGCCACATGTCGCCTGACGTGTTGTCCGTACGCCTCATTTGTCGCCACCGGTGAGCTCCTCCTTCCCACGCCGGCGAGAGCTCCTCCTGACGCTATCTTGCCATGCCTGGCCCACCTCCGAGCTTCGCAGACGCTGCACCGTCAACGTTGCAGACTCTGCGTGGAACGACGCCCATAACCACGGTCCTCCGCGGACGGCCCACCCATGCTCCTCCTTCATCTCCTGCCTACTTCGTTGTCGCTGCAATGTCACTATCATCCACCTCCTCCAATTTCTCCTCCTTGGCACGAGCCCTTGCCGCCGCCATCCTCCGCGGATGGCCCACCCCTACTCCCCCTCGTGTGGCACCGCGCCGCATCTCCCGCCTACTCCGCCGTCACCACAATGTCGCTATCATCCACCTCCTCCAGTTTCTCCTCTTCAATGCAGGTCCTCACCGATGCCGTCCTCCACGGACGCCACATCCCCGGTGGCGGTGGTGATATTGAATCCTATAATGGCATTAGCATGTGCGATGAGAAGCTAGCTCCATTGGTGTGGGGGAGGAAGAGCTTGCTTGCGGTGGCAAGATGAGGTGGACGGACGACGCGACATGGACTTGCAATGCCGCCGGCTTCGAAGGGATGGAATGGCATGGAATGAAATAATTCACGTCCTCAGTGGCATGGAATGAAACAATTCATGTCCTCGGTAGCATGTTCTGAAAGTATTGCGAATTGAGTGACAAATATTGAAAGTGGTGCAAATCGAATGGCATATTCTGAAAATTCTCCAATCGAATCCCTAGCCGACGGTGAGGGCGGCGAACACGGTGGCGCTGGAACTTTGGGGAGGGGAATTCGTCTGGTATTAAAAGTTCAGGGTGAACGATGTCTAGTTTTCAAGTTTAGGGGGATTATTCGTACTCACCCAATAATTCAGGGATGCAATTCGAACATATATTATATTATTGAAATAACTTTGAAAGGAGGCAACACGTTCATTGTGGAGGCTAAAAATTCCCTCATTAATCGGAGAAAAGGAAAAGAAGGGTCCAAGTAGGAATACATTTTAAAAATAACTGAAATTCGGAATTAACAATAAGCAATATTGAAAGAAGAGTACATATAAGAACCCAATAAGATTAACTAAAATTCGAAATAAAAATACTATAAAATCTGAAATTAGAAAAAGAAAAAGAAGAGTTTAAGTAGGAATACAATTTTAGAAAAGTACATATAACAATCCAATACGAGATTAATTATAATTCGGTATAAAAAATAAAATAAAATCCTAAATTAGAAATTTTAAAAATAGAGTTAGAATAGGAATATAATTTTGAAACATCTGAAACAAAAAATTAAAAATAAGGAATATGAAAAGAATAGTCCATATAGAACATAATATGAGATTAATTAAAATAAAAATGAAAAATAAAAAGTAAAATAAATTTCGAAATTAGAAAAATAAAAATAGGGGTTCAAATAGTAATACAATTTATAAATAACTAAAATTCGTAATAAAAAATAAATACCATTGAAAGAAGAGACCATCTAGAACACATAACAAGATTAATTGAAATTCAGAATAACAAATAAAAAATTCTGAAAATAGAAAAAATAATTATAAGAGTTCAAGTAGGAATATAATTTATAAATAAAAAATATTGTAATGAAAATATGTTTTTTTTTTAAAAAATAATATAGAACACATCAATGACAAATGACAATAAATATGAGAGAAGTAACATTGCTTATAAAGGAGTAGAGTGATGGAGGTTGATGCAATATCTAAAAACTATTAAAGAAACCCCAAATGGAATCGCAATGACGATTAAAAGGAGGGACGACGAACATGACATTAAGTAGCACGGTCACAACGGTTGGCGGGACTTATAAAAAGTAGGGAAAATTGCAAAAACCACCCCAAATATCACTCTGAGTTTGAGATGCCTCCCCATAAGAAGATTTGTTGCAAATTTCCACCTCCTAATTCACCTTGATTTGATTTAGGCACCTTCTCTCCACACGTATGTGATTCCTGAAGAATCTCGTGGCGAAATCAACCGAGTTCCACTCGGTGGGAGCAAGAGATTATGTTGTTTGTTCTGTATAAGGCGATCATTTCCTTGTGTTATCATGACCATTTTCACTGTGTTTTTCATGGTATACTAGCTATATATTCCAAACCGATATCATGCGTACTGAACAACATATCCTTTTTTTAGGATGTAATGAGCATATAGAAACATTTGAACATGAAGCGGTAATCATATAGCCAGATTAGAACTGCATGATTTCATCTATTGCAATTGGTCAGATGACCCAAAATAGCATGTTTCAGTACAATTTAATTAGAACTTAAGGCCACACAATCTAATGCAAAAAGGACCTGCCGACAAATCATCACGACGAGCGGGACTTGGCTAATTTCACCATGAGATGCTCCAGGAATCATACATGTGTAAAGAGAAGGTGCCTAAATCAAATCAAGGTAAATTAGGAGGTGGGGATTTGCAACAAATCTTCTTATAGGGGGCATCTAAAACCTAGAGTGATATTTGGGGTGGTTTTTGCAATTTTCAATGGCAATAAAACGGAGAGGCAACGAGCGAGCCGTAGAGGAGTACATTAATTATGTTCAAGAAAGTAGAAAATGAACTCAGACAATAATTATGTTCAAGTTTTAAAATTCCAATGACAATAAAGAGAAGACTCATCAGGCGGGCCGTAGAGGAGTATAGTGACAACGTTTGACATGATTTTTTCTTTAAAAAATATAAAAACGAAACCCAATGAGACAATAAACTCCAAAAACTACAAGATCCAATTTTTAAAGGTTTTAATGACAATGAATAGAAGCAGTGGTAGATCGACAAAAAAAAAATAAGAGTAAATTCCCTGTGTACCCCTAAAAACTCACTCAATCCCTTTCGTACCCCTGAAATTTACCCGATCTCTTCTATACCCCTGAAATTTCAACTTGATCCCTTCCATGCCCCTACCGTTACATTTTCCATTATTTCACTATTACATTTGGTTGCAAATGTCTTTTTTGCCCTTGATGCTATAGGTTTGAATATAAGCTTAAAAGCGATTGAAAATTTTGTTTGAGTGCACAGTACGTGCATTTTATGAAAAAAATGAGACTAAATAATTAGTGCAGAAAATTTTGACATAAATTTTGGAAATAAAAAAGGTAATAAATTAAAATTTTTATTTGAAATTTTAATAGGACAATGATTTTTTTTTGATCGGGAGCATTCATAAAAAAATTATTATGAAAATTGGTTGTCCTATCTTTGTATGAATGATCCTCTTTTTTTTTTACTTATTTTAAAAATAAATACACAATTTTTTATTTCATTATCTAAAAATATTTTTTGGGATAAATAATGCATCGCACAACAAACTCATAGCTATAATAGTTTCGTGTGAGAAGCTTTTACATTTTTAACAATGTAATTCATCCAAAGGGTAAAATGGTCATTTTTATAGAAATTAGACGGTCAACTAACAATCAACTGACGGGAGGGGTATGGAAGGGATCAAAATCAAATTTTAGGGGTATATAAGGAAGTAAGCAAAATTCAGGGGCATAGAAGGGATTAGTTAAAATTTCAAGGGTATACAAGGGATTTTCTATAAAATTAAATGAGGGGTGACAAAAAAGAAAGTAAGAGGTAACAACCGATGTGACTTTTAAAAATTATAAAATTAGAAACATGGGGATGATAAGGCTTTGTTTTTCAAAATCTTTAGATTACGAGATAGCTATTTAACAATATTTAAGTAAAATCATATTAATAAATAGATATTTCCTCCGTTTCACAATATAAGTCATTCTAGCATTTCCCATATTCATATTGATGTTAATGAATCTAGATAGATATATCTATTTAGATTCATTATATCTATCTAGATTCATTAACATCAATATGGACGTGGGAAATGCTAGAATGACTTACATTATGAAACAGAGGGAGTAATTTTGTATGGGTGCTAGCAGCGCAATTGCGCGAGCCACCCATCTAGTTTTTCTTATATAAAGTTAGATGCAGAATTTAATTATCTTGTAAAAAGGTAATTATCTTGTATTATATATTACTGTAAAGAATATAATTTAATTCCACTACCTCTATTTCTAAAAAAAAATCATTGTATCTTAAAAAAGATCTGTTGGTGTTCGGTCTCAAGCGTCTATAGCGTGAACAATCGCGCAGTGGGCTTTTTTCGACTTTTGGGCTAGCAAGATCACACACAACACGCACATCACGAACCGGACCAAACCTCCGGCGCCGCCCGCCGCCGCCGCCGCCGCCTACACAACCCCCCCTCGCCCCCCGCCGCGCCCTCCTCTCCGTACGTGGAGCGCATGCAAATCCCCTCGCGCTCGATTCTTCGCCTCCTCCGACGCCCCATCGTCGCGCCTTATTCTTGCCTGCGGCACCGCATCTCGATCCCCTCCCGCGATCTCTCCTCTCCTCCATGGCTACCTCTGGTCCGGCTCGCGGGTGGCTACCGGGCTTGCGCGAAGAATCGCTTCAGTCACGGGGACGCTTAACCCTCCTGCCAGTCGTGTTTCTCGGTGTGTTCTCCTGCTCTGATCCTAAAGTTTGGGCCTTTCGTCTCTTGCTAAAGTTCTCGATATAGATTCTGTTGAATTTAGTTTTTTTTTTGTTAGAACTATTTGTTCTTATATCATGTTGGTGTTTTGAGTATAACTAGGGAAATTATTTCAATCCCGACTGATGGCACTTGAATCGGACGCAAAGATTTACCCTTTTATGCTCTTTGTTCATAGATTTCCTGGATCTCGGAACATGGCCAGCGGCAGTGGAGTGGAAGGCGAGGGATTGGGTATACCATACAGGCGCCGCTTCATCCCATTTGCCAACGATCCTATCCACACAACCAAAGATAATATCATTTCTATGGACAAGCACCTTCCCATCACCCAAGGCAAGGACAGTGCTGCAACTAAGGAGTTCATCTCTTGTTATGGCCATTGCCGTCCTACCACGTATGGCGATGAAGATGCTTCTAGGACAGCTGTGGAGGTCACCGGTGGTAAACAAGATCCAAGGGGGGCAGTTCAGAACCTAATAGATGGTGAAGTGGCAGTTCAGGAGCTAATAGATGGTGAAGAAATTGCAAGGAACCAAAGGGCCAGTGAGGTTAGTGACAACGATGGATATGAAGAGTTCAATGATCGTGCCGTTAACTACCACTGTGACTGTCATGTTTGGACGCCACTTATTGCAAGCAGCCACCGTGACGGTTCTATATACGATACCAGGGGCACCTTTGGATCTGGGTGGAAATGGGATTATCGTATTGCAGATCGTAACGAGAGTAAGTGATATATATCTATTTTCCTGTTGTTATCTATTTTATAATTAGGACATTTGTCAAGCTATAGGTTCAGCTAATATATTCTATGTTGAAAGGTTAGTGTGCATTATATTTTGTACTTAAAATGATAAATTAAACTACTAAAACCGGGTCACTTCACCCCTGCTTTAAATTGAGATTTTGTACCATAATATGACACTCCACTCTATGTCATGAATACTTTCGCAATTTCTCATGATTATCTGCATACATTATCACATCCCAAGGGTTTGTGTCCAGGAGGAAGGTGGCAGCAATGCTGCCACTTATGCAACCCTAGGGTGCCAACCAGTCCTATGGCTGCTGGGGCCCACCATGTGGCATCTGACCTACATGCCTGACAACAAACAAGACGAGAATTCTGTCTATTATTAAGAGTCTGGAGTCTAGTAGACTAGGAAGTTATCAATAAATAGAAATATATCTCCCATTTAAGTAAGGGTGGCATAATAGATGATATTTATATCAAACCACAGCTCTAAGTATCGGAAGAACTTTTTATTTGCCACTACAGAGTGTCCTATTCTGGGATACGCCATTGGAAAATATCTTATACGGTCTATGGCATCCACCTCACAAATTTCACCCTTATTTGCAATTGTTGACCAGTCAAGACATGGGAAAGGTGTAAAATTAGGATGCCTCATCCACCTCCTAGGTGATCATTCCCATGATGGCCATGATCTAACTGGTGATGCCTCCTCGATGGCACTATTGAACAGAGGCAGCATTCTACCATGACCACAATCGATGAAGTGTCACAGAATAAATTGCAGACTTTGTGCTTGAGGGGGACAATTGTGGACCAGTGGAACAGAGCCCCCTCAACTCCAAACCATGGTGGTTTGTTCCCTTGTTTGGGACCTGATGTTCTTTTCTTTTTCCCCTTTTTTTTTATTTTCTTCTGTCAGTCTGAATTGGTTACTAGAAATTACATTGGACAGAAGGTGTTTTTTTTTTTTTGCCTTATATTGTCCCACATGAAGTGATCTGGTTTTAGTAATTAGGTGGGGGAGTGAAATGAGACGGGAATTATCTAGACAACCAAAAAGCTTTAGTCATTAGAATGGACTTTCTACCTTTATTTTTATTGTACCATGCATGTATTTTATCTACTCTTTAAGTTTCCGTTACAATTTGGCATGTCATCTTTGTTGTAGCTCGGTTGGAGGCAATGATGTTATCACATCCCACGAAAGATTGCTACATGAGGGATGGAACTTGCATATGGCATCCTGCAAATAGCATGTTGCAAATTTTCTCAGTAAAGTTGGCTAAAACTCCTGTAGTTGATGGCTCAATTGAATTGTATGGATACATTGCTGTGCGGGACCTTCAGGATCCATTACTTAATTATATAGTCAAAATTGGCAGGGATGATCCCATCATTGTGGAGCAGGTATGCTTCCATGCTCTCTACAATTATTTCAAATTACTTTATTTGTTTCACATTATAAGATCAAACTTACAGCATGCATGGAACAAATGTGATTAGAGCTTACCCAACATTAACCTTAACACTAAACCGTCCTTCACCCATGGTTAGCCAATTTTGTGCTAAATGGTCATTTAAACAGAAACGGCTAACCACCATGTGGCGTTTAAACAGGCTAAATGACCATTCAGGTGAACAATGAGGTTACCTTTTGTTGTTACTCCCTCCGATTTCATTTTAATTGACGTTTTGGACAATGACACGGTCTACAAAATATATCTTTGACCTTATTTTTCTATTATAATATATGCAATAAATAAATGCATGTTTACTTTTATTATAGTGCTTTGAAAGATAAATCTATATATGTTGTCCTAGTTTTCTTTAAACTAGATATTTTAAAAGTTATTGATGGTCAAAGTTATAAAAGTTCGATCTCAACCTTGTCCAACACGTCAATTATTTTATAGAGCCGGAGGGAGTATTTTACAGCCACAAAATATCTTTTACATTACTGAATTTAGGATAGAGTGGAAATGGTGTATTAGGCTCAGTTTGATAGTGTAGGCTCAGTTTGCAATCTTTTTTTCTTAAAAAGAAATGAAATAGTAGTAGTCTATGGTTTCCGCCATATTTCTCATGTGAATGTTTTCTTTTCTTAACAGAAACAGGCTGCTACTATGATTTTCATTGTCCCACCATGATCTAACGGCTTAGTTTTTTTTTCTTTGATAATGTGGTAATTTTTTTTCTGAACAGAAACATGCCGCTACTATGATTTTCATTGTCCCACCATGATCTAACAGCTTAGTTTTTTTTTCTTTGATAATGTGGTAATTTGTAGGTCTTCAAAGTGAACATAGTGCCTCTTTTTCAAGCTTTCTTTATAGTATAATAGATACATAACATACGTGCCCGAAAAGGCAGCTAAAATATTATAGTGTTATAGCTGCAAAAAATTTGCTTCCATAAACACATGTCTGGACAGTGAGGAAGGTGAGTTGGGATGCGATTAGTGTGTCCACAAAGTAACAAAATAATATTATGGATTGATAAGACCTTTATCAAGTACTATATTGTGGAATGATAATTATGATCAGACCTGTATAATCATTAACTAGGTGCAAGTGAATGTACGTGTTGCAAACAGAATCATTTAAATAGTTGCGAACCCTGTGGTTCCTGCCTAGTACCACATAAAATTGTTCTTTTTTTGGTTGTCTACAGACATATGAATGACCCTTCACAACAAAGTCCTTTTTGTTTACATTTCACACAAGCTTATATGATTAATATTTTGGAATTCAAAATTAACTCAAATAAATAGCGTGGGACAAACCTTCTCTAACATTCTTGCACACATTGTAACCGTTCTGTTTGACACATGACGAATATCTTGGGCATCAACTGTAAAATGATCCGTTTAGCTAGGCATTATTGTGACTAAAACGTTAATATTTTCTTAGTTACTTACTTTGCTATGAAGAGCTACTAAATATTAATATTTTTTTAGGGTTCCCTCATCGAAATGACTGGCCCTAAGCGAGGGATCGACTTTTCTTGTGCTGTTCTAGTTGAATATGACATGAGAATCAAGACAGGAGAACGAGAGGAAGATGATCTACAACTGATTGATGGTGCAACAGATCTTGACCATATATTGACATCACATGTACCAGTGAGAAATCGCATTTATGGAGATTGCGGCGCAGTTGACATAACTCAAGCGAATCTTTTGTATGCATTTGAGGCGACTGTAGAAGTCGTCATATCAGAAGTGCAGACTAGTTTTGATTTGTGTCTCAGCTGTTTTACCAGTGGGTTACATGAGGAAATTCGGCTCTTTGATGGTGCGATCAGTGAGTCACGTGACTTGAGGAGGTATGTGATTGCTGTCATGGAACATGAGTGTATGGATTTGAAGTTCAAGGTAGGTTTAGGGTCTGGGTGTTTCGCTGAACATTGTCGATCCTTCAAAGCAACTAATCATGGATGTGCCAGTGAACAAATAAAGATTGAGTTCGCCTCAATCTCGGTGAAGGTCACTTGGTCGGCTATGGAGTTCTAGAAGGGTACTTAGCGTTTGGACATTTTTTTTTTATTTGTTACTCCCTCAGTTATTGTAAGACTTTCTAGCATGTTCATATTCATCTGGAATAAGTTCATCTAAGGTCCCTTAACTTGTCAACGAATCCAATTTTCGTCCTTCAACACCAAAACCAGATACAACGGGTCCCTCAACTATTAAAACCGGTGCAGATTAGGTCACTCGGTGGTTTTGATGGCGGTTTTAGCTGATGTGGCGCCTACGTGGCTAATTTGACTCCGTCTCGATCTGACATGGCATTGACGTGGCGCTTACGTGGCAATTATATCTCGAAAAATAATAAAAACCACGGGCCCACATGTCAGCTTAAAAAATGGTGGGTCCCACGTGGGCCCCACATGTCATTCCCTCTCCCCTCTCGGCTCTCCCTCTTCTTCCTCACTCCCGCCGCCTCCGAGCTCCGACGACAACGGCGGCCGAAGCATGCCGGAGCACGGGCGCACGTACAAGGACGCCGCCGAGAAGGCTCGCCGCTTCCGCGTGTTGAAGGCGCCATTTTCCTTTCCTATTGATCACAGTAAGTGGTCACGGGAAAACTGTGAGAAAAATTCCTTTTTGATGTCGATTCCAGGGGAAGACAATCAAGCAACAAAGAGAAAGACAAGAACGGGGGTTGGATGAAGAAGAAGCAAAACGAGCCTCCTTTCCACACAAGCTCGCGGTGGCTGGCCGCCGTCCTCTCCAGCTCGCTCCACCACCATCCAGCCAAGCGCGCTCGTCCACCATCCACGGAGGGCCGGAGCTCATCAGTGGGTTGCCGCCGCCACTGTTTCAAGTAATTTTGCCTGCCTTTTGAGATTGGGAAATTAGTTCAGCGGTAAAGAAATAAAGGGGAAAACAGATGGGATAAACACGGTACACGTAGATAATAAGTAGATAAGTACGATACAGAGGAGGGCCGCCTCTCCTCGCCCGGCCGCTGCGCGCCGTGGAGGAGGGCTCCCTGACAACAACCGCGCGGGACTCCTCCTCACTGCCCCCCTCCTCCTCCTCCTCCTCCTCCACCTCCCACTGTGACACGGCCGACGGGTCAGGCTCCCGGCGGAAGGGGTCGGGCACCTCGAGGGAGAACGCGAGGCGTTCGGCACGGATGGGTGGCTCCGGCTACGTCGGCGGGAGAAGCGACAACGTCGGCGGCGGCAGCGAGGCATCGGGCGCTCGGAAGCCATGGGGGATGGGAGCGAGCAGGGCTAGTGGGTCACCACCGGAGGCATGGCTGTGGATTGGGCGAGAGGCCGCCGGTGACGGCGAGGTCAATGGAGGAGGCGGTGGCATGAGCACCGACGCCCAACTCCTCTCCACCGGCCGCCACAGTCGCCAGAGCCATGCCTCCGTCGCGAGAGAGGAGAGGGGAGAGAGAGTTGATGAGAGGGGATGGGGATTGAGGAAGAAGGGGGTTGAGAATGACATGTGGGGCCCGCGTGGGCCCCACCATTTTTTATTAATTTCAGTGTGAAACTGACATGTGGGTCCCACGAGGTTTATTATTATTTTTAATTGAATTGCCACGTAAACGCCACGTCGGTACCACATCAGATCAAGACCGAGTCAAATTAGTCATATAGGCGCCACATCAGGCAAAACCGCCATCTAAACCGCCGAGGGACCTAATCTGTACCGGTTTTAATAGTTGAGGGACCTGTAATACCTGGTTTTGTGGTTGAAGGACGAAAATCAGATTCGTTGACAAGTTAAGGGACCTTAGATGAACTTATTCCTATTCATCTAGATAGATAGAGAATTTTTTGTATTTTTAGATTTTTTTTTTTAATATTTACAGAAATATTATAGCGCCGAAAAAATTTGCAAAACTAGACCCTGCCGCCCTTCGCAAGGGCGGCAAGCCGACGTGGCACACGCCGCGCTGGACGGCGCGGGACGGCCGTCCTCCTGCCCTCTTGCCGCCCTGGCAAAGGGCGGCAGGACCCACTTGCCGCCCTTACAGAGGGCGGCAGGCCTGGCCGCCTATAAAGCCCAGCCGGCTCCTTTGAGGAGCCCATTCCCTCCTAACCTCTCCACATCAAAAAAAAAAAAGGAGAAGGGGAGGAGAAGAAAAGAAGAGGCGAAGCCCTGCCGGTTTCAAACTTCGATTTCAGGTAATATTCGTAGATTATATACGTGACTAAATATATGATGTTAACTAGGATATCACTTGTATTTTTGTAGAACTTTGGTTGGATAAATGCATTGTATGAAATAGAGTTTTACCTGTGGTACTATATAAATATATATTGTTAGATGTAGGCAGGGTTTCAAAAACCGCCGGGGGCTCGGTTAAACACTGTAGTCGTTTATTATGTAAAATAACGGCCTAGTAATTAACTTTGCAGATATGTCCAGTAAACTTATATTTCAACTATACCATGGTCAAGGAAACGTCCGTTATGGGCCAACTGGGGTAGATCTGTCAGAATTTATTGTAACAGCAAGGGGAATTGATAGGCCAGCCGAGAGGAGTGTACCTTCTATTAAAAAATGGTTGATGCGGGGCTTGGGAGTTGATCCACAGACTAGTGACATTACAATCTATGTTGTAGTAAGTCGGGCAACAGAGGGTTTTTATTGGGAACTAATGCCGGTTCAAAACTCTGGGATGTGGAGATGGTATGTGGAGAATGCATTGCAACGTGGGTGGCCTCTAGCTATGGTTCCGTATGTTCATCCGAAGGATCCAAGTGTACAGATGAACATGGATGATGGCGAGGGGCCAAGTGCAGAAGTGAATGAGATTGAAGTGGATCAGGTCAACGCACCAGAGGAAGATGGAGTAGCTCCAGTAGTAGCTCCAGTAGGCATGCAACCTGGTGGAGTGGCTGACGAGGGGGAGACTGTGGGTGCCATTGTGGACGAAATGGAAAAAGAGGATCGTGACAACGAGCGTGTCGAGGAAGATGATTCGTCAGATGATGACGAGAACAATATTAATCCAGCTGAATGGGCTAGTGATGATTTTTCTGGTTTGGTCATCTCTGAAGGGGAAAATGTGAGATGGGAGTACAAGGAAAACGAGATTATCGAGGGAGCGAGGTATGGTAATGGAGAAGACATGAAGGAGGCGGTGAAGCATTATGCAGTGTCACTTCATAGGGAGTTTTGGGTTGCCAAGTCTAACCGGACACAATATGAAGTTAGGTGTGTTAATGAAAAAGATGGGTGTCCGTGGAGAGTGCACGCCTATAAGGGGAAATGGAAGGACTACTGGACAGTGTCGGTCGTTACGAAACATACTTGTTATCTACCTGGTGTTCAAAAATACCACAGGAACATTACATGTGCATTTGTTGCATCTGAGATGTATGCGCATGTCGTGGACAATCTGGCATATGAACCGAAGTCAATAATCCGACATATCGAACAGACTTTCAAGTATACAATTAGCTATGCCAAGGCGTGGAGGGCCAAACAGAAAATAATAGAGATGAGATTTGGAACTTATGAAGCCTCATATGACAATTTGCCACGTCTGCTATCTGTTATCCAACAAAGAAACCCTGGGACCTCTTGTGCACTCAAGACATTCCCCTCAATTGAACATCCTGGCAAGACTGTGCTGCAAAGAGCGTTCTTAGCTCTACATGCATGCAAGATGGCATTCGTGCACTGTCGTCCAGTTCTTTGTATTGATGGCACATTTTTGACCGGGAAGTATCGGGGCCAGATACTAACGGCAATTGGGGTAGATGGGAACAATCAGGTATTGCCGTTGGCATTTGCTTTTGTCGAGAGCGAGAACACCGACAGCTGGTACTGGTTCCTCCATCTGGTTAAGACAGAAGTTGTTGGTATGAGGCCCAATGTGTGTCTAATACATGACAGGCACGCCGGTATGCTTCGAGCGATAGAAGAGTTAAAGTTTGGGAGTATGGAAAGAGGATACCCTGGCCAGTGGGAAGATGTACAAAGCAGGTGGTGCATGCGTCATATGGGAGCTAATTTCTTCAAGCAATTTAAGAACAAGGAGTTGATGAACATGTTCAAGAGGCTATGCAATCAGAACCAGGAGAAAAAATTCAATGAGCTTTGGAAGAGATTAGATGAGTTGACAGGCAAATGTAGTGACCAGCGTGCAACAAGACCAGCGGCCGCTGTACCTGACCCTCCTCAAGCACTCGGAGCTCTCCCAACAGACAGTGTAACATTGGTTAGAAGAACTGGGGAGCAAATTCGAAAATTTTCTCAGTGGATTGAGAATGAGCCAAAAGAGAAATGGGCTAAGACTTATGACACAGGTGGTGCTAGATATGGTATAATGACAACAAATTTGGCGGAAGTTTACAACTGGGTGATGCGCGGTGTCCGTGGACTCCCACTAGTTGGTATAGTGGAGTTCATTTTACATGGGACATGCAAGTATTTCAGGGAGCGGTTCCAAGCAGTTTTTCCCTCTATGCCGAACAACAACATTTTATTTGGAACTTTCATGGAGAAAAAACTAGCGGAGTGGCGTGCAAAGGCCATGAAACATCGAGCTCTAGTGCAAGGTACCCAACAACACAGGTTTGAGGTACTCTGCCAAGACAAGGCAGGCAGGGGTATCTACCGCAAGAGAGTAAAGCAGGAGTGCGTTCTCAAAGACGACGGCACATGTCACTGCTCCTGTAGAAAGCCGACGCTGCTCCACAGGCCATGCACCCATGTCATTTCCGCGGCATCTGAGTGTGGCATCCAAGATGCAGTATATGTGTCACAATACTTCTCCAAGCAAGCAATATATCACACATGGAGTGGCGAGATTTTTGGCTTCGGTGTAGCTGGGGAGTTCACAAAGATTAACGATCCGATAATCTATATTCCTGACCCAACGAAACTCCGAGACAAGGCGGGACGGAGGAAGACTCGGCGCATCCGCAACGATATGGATGAGTCGGAGGCAGGCAGGGTGAAGCGGTGCAGCAAATGCGATGAACGTGGCCACACCTACAAGTATTGTCCTAAAGACAAGGAAAAACCAAGTGCGGCGGAGGCAGGTCTATCAGGATCAGCAGCAGATGGAGCTCGCCCTACGGGTGAAGGCACTACTTCAAGGCGACCCCGTCCTAGACGTTCTCGTGGAACGACCGGTTACGTGGTGTAGTTCGTGTGTTGTATGTTGGCAAAAGGCTTTGCTTGTAATTTCGTTCGAACTTATCGATATGTTCGCATTGTGTTGTGTTGCGAACCACTTGTTAGACTTCCGCATGTAATGTCTTCATGTTTTACGGCTTGTAATTTTGTTTTATGTTATTTCATTCTCGTTACGTGCCTTTGTGTAACGAAAGTTATGTTCTCAATAATCTGCACTCTTGCATGTCTCTATAAGTATTCTTCCGTTTCAGATAACTTGTTTTTACAATTATATTATTACCTTCTTATTTACCCTAACATGTAACACGTTACTTGCAGAGATGGCACATCCTGAGTTGTTGGATCCGGCGATAGATCAGCGCCACCGGTCGTACCTTACTGCGGTGGAGGGGGCTCAGCTTGGGACGTTCCGTCCACGGTCGTCACGTGAGCGACTTTTGGTTCACGACTCCTTCGTCGAGAGGTATGGTTTTACTGTATTCACGACACCGGGCTTACCTTACTACGGTGGAGGGGGCTTAGCAATGTGTTCATTTTAACGTCTGGTATTATTTCGCTTTCGCAGGTTGCGTGAGGCCGGTCTCTTACCGTTGGCTCGGCTAGTTGAGGCCGCGACCGGCGACGATGACGTGACGAGACGTTGGGACCCGGACAGGTCCCTCCTAGCAGCGTTGGTCGACCGGTGGAGGCCGGAGACGCACACTTTTCACCTGCCGTGCGGTGAGGTAGCCCCTACCCTGCAGGATGTCTCTTACTTGTTGGGGCTACCGCTCGCGGGAGACGCTGTCGGGCCAGTTGACATGGGTGTCGACTGGAAGGACGAGCTGACGGCACGTTTCGCACCCGTGCAGCGCCTACCAGGTCTACCGCTCGAGCCTTTGCAGCAGCACCGCAACACCGGGCCTACGAAGAGGTGGCTGCTTCAGTTCACTGTAAGTTCTTTCTACCTAAACTGACGTGTATTATGTACGTAACTTGTAAAGTGCCTAACATTTCATCCAACGCTTGCAGGTTGACCAGCTACCGGAGGAGGCCGACGAGTACTCCTTCAGCCGTTGTTTGGAGGCGTACTTGTTGTGGCTTTTTGGGTGGGTGATGTTCTGTGGTAGTCACGGACACTCGGTCGACCGGGGTCTCGTGCACTACGCCAGGAGCATCGCCGACGCCGCGGTCGGTGAGGTGCCTCAGTGGAGTTGGGGCTCCGCGTTGCTGGCGGCTCAGTACCGTGGCCTCTGCGAGGCTTGTACCAGGACGGACCCTGGCGCGATCTTCGGTGGGTGCCCTCTCTTCATTTCTCTTTGGGCGGCTGAGAGGATTGCGATCGGCCGCCCCCTTGTGGAGCACCACCCTTACGACGCGTCGCTGTACGAGAACAGACCGGCGGTCGACTACCCAACGATGGGTACTCTGTGGTGCCGGCGTCAGGTACGTCGCTAGTATTTGGTAATGTTGTCCTACTATTGTTAACTTCATCCTACGTCACACTGACCTTATTGTATTGCAGCGCCGATGGGCTCACGTGCAGGTTAGGCGGTCGTACGCGGAGTTTGTGATGGAGTTCGACCGCCTTCTGCCGACGGACGTAGTGTGGGAGCCCTACAGTGCCTTGCTTACCCACAGTCGGGCGCCGCTAGGCCTGTCCACACTCTGCACGAGGGACCAGGCGTACTGGATGACTACGGTTCCGATGGTGTTCGACATCTGTGTCGAGCCGCACGCACCTTACCGCGTGATGCGGCAGTTCGGCTTCCGTCAGTCCTTTCCAGTCCCGTTTCCGGCGGGCGTCACGGCTGCCGTTCACCGGTAAGCCGTTTTACTACGATTTAATATGTTGCATTAACATCGGGCTGTCCATAATAATTTGCTTTGTTTGTCGTTTGCCCTAATACAATACATTAATTTGCAGGTACTCGCGCAAGGGTCAGCACTCAGCTGGTCACTGGCCTGCCAAGTTGGGGCCTTTTCTCGACGACTGGTTGCTTGCTACCGAGGAGGTCGTGGACCACGCGGGAGAGTCACACACGGAGGAGGGGTATGAGGCGTACCTACGTTGGTATCAGCCACGCACCCGTACTAGAGTCACCTACGCTCCGACGGAGCAACAGGCCCACGCCGCGAGCGCCAGAGACCTCTACGCCAGGCACCGCGACCAGGACTTCGCTCGTGCGGTGAGTACCTTGCATCGCACATCGTCTCATCATCCTTTCTGTTGGACAAAGGCTACGAATATTTACGTTGTAATTAACCGTGCAGGCCGTTGAGTGCAACAGGGTCGTCGTTGATGCTACAACGGCGATCCAACGGTTAGGCGCGGGGATTGAGGTGGGGGCAGACGAGCACCTGTCGACGTACACGCGGATACGGGACTCGATGCGCTCGGTTCTCCGTGCGCTGACCTGTCGTGCTGCCGACGTTGCTCAGGCAGACGCAGCACCACAGGTGCGTCCCCGACCGACTGCTCCTCGTCCAGCTGCGCACGTTCCTAGGCCGACACCCCCTCCCTTCGGAGGTACGTATATTCAAGGTCTATTTGTACATCATCAATCAATTGATACTCAATTTATGTGTAAGCTTACAAGTGTCGCGTCGTCGATGTGTAGGCTTCGCTCAGCCTGGGACGACGCCGGGCGCCCACTCCTGGCAGGCTGCGGGGTCATCGTCACAGGCAGGTGTGTCGGCCTCGCTGTCTACACAGTTTTGGCAGGACGCCGGGAGTTCGTCACAGCCGGGCGGCACGTCTGTTGCGTCGGCCTCGCTGGCTGCGCAGTTCTGGCAGGACGCCGGGACTTCGTCACAGCCGCCCGGCACGTCTTGGCAGGGTCCTACCGGGACTTCGTCCGAGCACGGGTGGGCTTCCGCCACGCACTTCGACCTTAGTGACTTCGACTTCCCGGACATTATCGGTCCCTCACAGCTTGGAGGCGCACCGCCGGTGCACACGCAGGAGCAGTCGCCCTCCACCCCACTCCCAGACCCTCGCGCTACCCGTGCTGTCCCACCGGATCGCTTCACGTACTCCCAGGACCACGTGCGAGCACAGGCCCGGAGGACCAAGCGGGGTCGCGGCGCGAGTCACGGCCAGTAGAGCAGACATCTCTTTATTTTTCTTTACATTCTTGTACTATATGGTTGTAAACTGAATATGTTGTTGTTTATATTCGGGACTCGCATTCCTATACTTCGCTGTTACGTTTTCCAAAAACAGGAGTCCCTTCCAGCCGTTGTGCAGAGGGGAGCAGTGAAGGAAGCTGCCGCCCTTGCAGAGGGCGGCAAGCCCTCGGCACACCGCGGCCCGTGCGCGCCGTCAAGACGCACACGGCGCCGTGTGCCACGTCGGCTTGCCGCCCTTTCAAAGGGCGGCAGGGTCTAGTTTTGCAAATTTTTTCGGCGCTATAATATTTCTGTAAATATTAAAAAAAAAAAATCTAAAAACAAAAAAAACTCGATAGATAGATAGTGTGAAGCTAGTGTTGCTAGTGTTGAGTGTAGGCATGTGTGTATTTCAGCCCAACAGGGCCCATTACACCAATGTATATGTATAGTAGAAGAGAGAGGAAATAGTGTGAAGCTTCTGGAGAAAAACAATCACCTAGCAACATGGTATCAGAGGGCGACCGCGTCGAGGCTAAACCCTAGCTAGCGGCGCGCCGGTGTGTGGTGCTGCAGCTTGGAGCAACGGAGTGGTGGCGTTGACAGCGGAGACGGCGACAGCTGCTGCAGAGGATCTCGCCGCAGCCGGCGTGAAGGAGGGAGCAGGGTGTGCGCTCGCTGGCTGAGCCGCGCAAGGGGAGGACGCACGGCGGGTGAGAGGCGCACTGTACGAGCTGTCGTCGGCGGAGAAGGGGAGGTCAGCGACGCAGCGGTAGAGCTTCGCGGCTGAGAAGACAGAGAAGAGCGAGGTGTGCTTGTGCTGCTTGGATTTGGGGCTTGTGCTTTGTGAGGAGGTAGAGAAGAGCTGTGCGACGGAGGTGAGTGTGCTGTCGCAGTTGCAAGAAAAAGGGGGCTTGCTTGCTATGCGGCATTGAGATCCGAGCTTGGGTTGTGCGTGCTGTAGTAGTGTGTGAGTTGAGGCAGAGGCGAGCTCGCAGACGACCGGTGAGCAGCTGGCTCGTGCGCTGAGGAGCAGAGGCAGCTAGAAAGAAGTGGTTGTGACTCGTCTGTGTTGTTTGTGTTTGGGAAAGGAAGAAGAAGGGAGAGGTACTGCTGCAGGATGTATGCTGCTGTTCTTGTGGTTGCAGGAGGTTTCTGAGAAGGTTCGTTGCTATTGGAGAGTAATTGAGGATTTTTTTTAGAATTACATAGTATGACGCAGACACTCACAACGCACGCGCACTCATCCCTATAAACGCACGCACGCAAACCCTACCTCTATGAGCATCTTTGAAGATTGAGCCGACAAATCCATCTTGGAGATTGGCGAAGTCACCACAGACGCCTCGCTGTTGACGGGTATGTCGTCTACCACTGAAAGCACAAAGCCGTTAAATCCTGGAAAATTCGCTCCCATAGGGAGTCGAACTTAGGATCTAAGGTGCTACTAATGCTCCTGTAACAACTAGGCTACAGGCCCTTTCACAGGAATTGAGGTTTTGGCTTTGCTGATTGTGTGCTTGAGAACAAATTGAGGGTGTAGCTAATGGGCGATCGATCGCCATCCCCCTATACGCTCTCTCCCCCCTTCCTCCTTCCCTTGTTCTCTTCCTAGTACACCATAAATTTTAAAAAAATAAAAAAACAAAGTTGAAAAAAATATGTGTAGAAATACTATATATAAAAAATATTTGAATTTAAATTCAAATTTGAAACGGGTATGTAAACTTTTTGACTTATAAATTTTGGGTCTATAAACTAATATTTGAATTCAAATTCAAATTTGAATCGGGTATGTAAACTTTTGACTTATAAATTTTAGGTCTATAAACTAATATTCAAATTCAAATTCAAATTTGAATTTGAATCGTAGCGTCTCATTACCTCCTTCAATCATGGAACGATTGTCCTCTCCATCCATGTCGCGGCCTCGGTAGACCGTCTACACACCACATTCTCTTTTTTCCGAGCCTTTTCATTTTTCTAAAAACCGTTGTAACACACTTGTACTTTGCTAAGTACAAACAAAACAAAAGACCAATCCTAAGTGTCTTGACACTCTTATAATAATCTGAGCGATCCTTGACTCTGCACAGCAGCATCCTTTGTTCGTTCAGGTCCAGAAAAGCTGGTACGCTCCACGAAATATTTATCCAGAACATCAGATGGCAAAGTTCCCATGAGTCTGGAAAGATTAGAACAAAAATAAATATAACAATATCTCTCAATGGGTTTGCATGTTCAAACAGGTTTTAGCTCTGCATTACTTGTATAAGGCACCATGGGCCACTCTGATCTTGCTTTTTGTTACATCAATAGGGGCCAAAAGCTGCAACGTAAGATCTCCCATTAATCTGCATAAAAGGGCCATCAGAATGGTGGGGGCTCTTTTTGCGTTTTTGGACAGTTGCCCTGGGGAAAGGATAGATTTGTTCTAGCAATAAAATCATGTAATTACCGTAAATATTCAGAAACAGCATGAGTGCCACTGTCACTATTTGAGCTATCTGCCTCCTGTGTCAAGGTTTTTACAAGGTAAGTTCAGTATCCGTAATCTAAAAAGGAGTAGGGAGTAGACTGCTATGCCATAATGCACAGTTTAGAATTAATAAATTTTAAGCTTGAGGATTGGTTATCAAAACAAACATGGATGCCCTTTGCCTTGGTAATGTTAAACTCGGGGGAATATGACTAGGGAACTTACATATCGAATTTTTGGATCGAGAGATGATGCCGAATTAGAGGAGACCAATGGCATACTCCAATTGTACCTTCTCTTCAAAGATTCTATGTGTGTCTCTACAAAACATATAGGCATTATTTTGTGTGCTTATGATTGGTATCATGCTAAATGTGACCTATGAAATCTGTCCAATACTGACATAAAAAATGGTATTCTCAGAAATAGACTTATCGGTTACCTATATTCTGGAGCTGCTCCAATGCAGCAAGAAGATTGGTATCTAACAATTCAATCATTTCCCTGATATAATTCAACAATAGCAATAAGTGGCACACATGTCAAGATGCAGCATATTAGCATTAGACAGCAAATGTGTAACCACTGTACCAATAACAGCTACAAATTACCTGTTGGTGTGTTTATCCAGTACCTTGGTCAAGTGAGACTCTCAAAAAATAAAGGCACAACAAAACTGTTACACAACAACAAAAGAAAAAAATGCCACACTTAAGTAGCAGATGCATGGTTGTTAAGACTAGGTGACATGGCAAGGTCCACCCACACCTTAAGATTAAATTCATAAGACTAATTGCGTACTACTAGTGCCGAACCTCTTCTTTACATCAATTAAAATGCTTCCCATTATTAAGCTAGCAAAGAATTAATATAGTTTTGCATGGTAGTGGAAGGCGTATCAATAAGATCACCTGGAGCCTTGCCGAGGTGCTTGAAAAGGTCACATTGCAGGTAGATGCGATGGAAAAACAGAATTTCCTAGGAAAACGGTGAGACTTTCTCTAGCTTCTTGTTCTCGGTGTTGACAGAGAGCACCCAACCACTTGGATCAGTACCCTTCATCTTGGCCATTACATAAAGAATATTGTCATCGTACAAATCCATTGTGGGGTAAGTACAAATCAAGTTCGTAAAGGTCAGCTGGTTGTCCTTGGAATCCCAAATCACAGGCAACAAATCAAGGGAACACGAATCGGCGCACACCAGCTCTGCAGAGTCAGTTTCGGTGCCGCATGGCTCCCATTGGCATTCCTCTGGACGAACCAACCTCTTGAACATGGTGGCCTGCCACCGAAAGTTTAACTGTCCAGTGCTGCCATCCAACAGCGGGAATCCCATCTCAATGAACCTGAACCAGCCATTACTACAGGTGATATCTCGATTTGGATCCACAGAAATATAGGTATCATCCAAACCCCCTCCTCTGAGGTACCTACCGTTGATGGGCATCAACGGGGGCAGCTGTATCAGGCGCACCTCGGGGTTGCTGGTGACCGAGTCGAAGAGCAGTATCCCGTTCCAGAGATCAACCCAGGCAATCGATCGTCCTTCAACGGACAACACTTTGGTGGGTATAAAATCACCGATATACGCCTCCACGCCACATGGCAGCCTTGCGACCTTACTTTCCCACGACGTGGTCTTGCTCGAGAAGACATGCAGGTCGCACCTCACCTGACCATCGGCGTGGAATTGCCATTTGGGGTTGACGACCAAGAAGTGCTCGCCACAGGATAGTATGCCGAGGTGGTCGGACAGGTGCTTAACCGGGTAGGGGCGCCGGAGGAGCTCGAGCAACGGTGTCCCAGGGCCCGACCTGTAGACGAAGAAGTCGGTAAAACAACGTCGGTCAGAGCGGCAGGGGAAGATGACGCGTATGACGAGGAAGGCGCCGTCCGCGCCGATGATGAAGGGCGGCCCCTTCGAGAACTCGCCCGCCGTCAAGCCGGAGCAGCGGACGACGCAGCGGGTGAAGGTGGGTGGGTCGGCGGCCACGAAAGACACCTCGATGGGAAGGCCATCGCTCGTCTCCGCCCTGGCGGTGGTTGCGTCGTCGCCACAGCCGTCCGCGTGCGCTACCGTGTCGAGGAGGACCGAATCGGGAAAGTCGAAGCGTCGAGACGTGGAGCCGGAGCTAGCTGGTTGGGGCATGGCGAATCGGCGAGAGGCGGCGGCGGCGGACGACAGCATTGATCGGGGAACGGAGGCAAGAGGCAGCGCAGGCACAGATTTGGATTTGTCGGTTAGCCTCCTACTCAACTGAAGCCCAACTACGACCCGAACTCTCACTACTAGAGATGTACGCGGCAAAGTAGTATGATAGTATTGATGAGTAGTATCATCAGATGACAAGTCTTGGGAAACTGTTTTAAACAACTGGGTGGACGTCCACCCGTTTCTTGCATGTCATCTAAATGGTTATGAAAATTTTTTTAAAAAATTGACATGATAGGTTAGTATTTAATATATCACTTCACAAACATACAAATCCAAATTCGACTTCTACAAGTTGTAACAAAAACAATAAATTTAACTGTGAATATATGTATACTAGTTAGAGTTTGATTTGTTACTTTCGTTACAACTTGTAGAAGTCGAATTTGAACTTGCATGTTTATGGAGTGATATATTACATATTAACCTATCTTATGAATTTTTTTGAAATTTTTTCATAATCATTTAGGTGGCATGCAAGAAACAAGTGGACGTCCACCCGAAAGATTAGAATCCATCCTCGACAAGTCTTGCAATCTTGGTAAGAAACTAAAATAGAACACGGACTTTGGATTTGTTCATATGTAAACAATACAAATTTTTCGCAAGAGGACAAACACGGGATGGTATTCAACCATGTAGGAACCGTTAAACCAGAAACCAGATTTAATTTTACACAACTTCCCACGAATTAATGCAGCGCCGCCACACGGTCAAGGCAGAGAACACGTACAGTATACGTTGTCAGTTCACGAGGACCTCCGGCAGCATGGCGTCCTTGGCCGCCGGTGGCGGCTGCACGAAGCGCCGCCAGTACCAGTGCCGCGCCCAGACGGCGCCCATGGCCTCGAGCGGCACCCCCTTGGTCTCCGGCAGGAACGCCCACACGAAGGCGGTCATGACGGCGACCCAGGCCGCGTAGTAGAGGAACGTGGCGTACTTGAAGCTGCACAGCATGGCGAGGAACGTCTGCGTGAGCACGAAGGTGGCGCCGAGGTTGACGGCCACGCTGATCCCCTGCCCCGCCGACCGGATCTCCACCGGGAATATCTCGCCGGGGATCACCCACGTCAGCGGGCCCCACGACCACCCGAACGCCGCCGAGAAGACGCACGTCAGCGCCAACACCGCCACGGAGTAGCGCCTCGCCATCGCCGACTCGCCGTCCCGCCCGATCTGCGACCCCATGATCCACGCCACCGCGACCTGGCAGGCGATCATCACGAGGCCGCCGGTCAGGAACAGCACCCGGCGGCCGTACCGGTCCACCGTGGCGATGGAGACGAGGGTGGAGCCGAGGTTGACGGCGCCGAGGATGACGGCCCCCATCAGCGACGCGTTGCTGCCGAACCCGGCCGTCTGGAAGAGCACCGGCGAGAAGAAGGCGATGACGATGACGCCGGTGAGCTGCTGGAGCAGCGGCACGGCGACGGCCATCACCAGGTGGGGGCGGTGCTGCCTCCAGAGGATCCTGCGGTACGCGCCCTCCTCGTTGGCGCGCGCCGCCTCGACCGCGCGCGCCACGCCCTCCAGCTCGGCGTCCACGTCCGCCTTGGCGCCGCGCACGCGCCGGAGCGCGGCGCGCGCCTGCTCCACCCGCCCGCGCACGAGGAGGCTGCTGGGGGTGTCCGAGATGAGCAGCGTGCCGACGAGGATGACGGACGCCGGCGCCGCCGCCAGGCCGAGGGAGAGACGCCACCCCCACCGCGGGATGCGCGCCGCGCCGTAGTTTGTCAGGTTGGCCGTCAGGTTGCCGATGCCGAGGAAGAGCTGGAACCCCGTCGTGAATGCACCCCGCCACTTCGCCGGCGCCGTCTCCGCCAGGTACACCGGCGCCGCCTGCATGCCATTGTCAATTGTCATGCACGTCCCCACATTAACCCTACATTTAAGAGCAAGGATAATAATATAGCCGACTTGTTAGCTATAAGATTCTTTGTAGTCTTCTCTTAGCCTACTCATATAATAGTTAGCTCTTTACAATTAATACAGGGCCCATTCGTCTCTCTCACAGAGTTTATTGGTTCTTATGTCCAAGCCGGCTATAAGTTTATAGTCCGCTTGTCCTCTCTCTCCTCTCTTTTCTCCTCCACCTCGGTATTTAGCCGGCTTATAGGCTACTATTATACTTACTAATTTTATGTTGTAGATGTTGCTATTTTTTTATAAACTTAGTCAAGCCTAAAAAGATTTGATAAAAAATAATCAAAACGACTTATAATATAAAACAAATGAAGTATGTATTAACTATTGTATCATCATCCAACATGCATGACGCATGCGGAGAATAAGGCGCGAAGGCAAAAGCAACTTAACTCGAGACGGAAACATGGGAGCTACTCCCACTCTCCCGTCCCGGTCCCAACCAATTGAAGGTATCAGTAGAGTGGAGAGATGGAGATGCTTGCAATCTTTATCTGAGGCGTGAGAGCGATTGGTTGACACAAAACCAGCCGCTCACCCTAGCTAACTCCAAGGGACAGAGAACAAATTGAAGCAAGACGCAACAACTACCTTCCAGTCTACATTGCCAGCTACCCCGTTTGGTCGACAGCAACTTATCCTTCTTTCATGTCTTTTGAAGTAATTATTCCAGACAAGCTGACATAGGCCTACTAGCTTGTGAATTTGTTTCCATTTTGAAGCAAACACAATGTCTCTATATTTCTTGAGGATTAGAAACTTTGTATAGTTGGGGTGACAGTAAGTATGGTTTGAGAAAAATAACTCTGTTGCGACCAAACCAATCAATTCTACGACACATAAAAAATGCCATGGCAACGTATGATTATGAAACTACAAGAACAGAGTGTCATGCTCCTTGAATTTCTATAGGAATTAAAAAACAATAAAATCTTGAAACTACCATTTTAGATGATACATAGAAATAGGTAAGAACTTTGTGGCATGGGAAGAGACAAACATGCGGTAAAACCTAATGATAGTTTTCCTCCAAAATTCCTGTGAAATGAACAATTCTATAGGATTTTTAAAAGAAAGTGACAAAGCTAGCCATTCCTTTGTTCCAGGTGAACTTTAGTGATTGTTTGTCCGTTTCTCCTCCATATCTCTACAAACGTAAAGGTGGAATCCTCTTCAATCATCCCCATGTAAAAAAACCAACCAACCTAAAAAAACCATCGTCCCAAAAACTAATTTTACACGAAAATTGACCCATCTCAAAGGACTGGATAGAAAAAAAGAAAATTAAACCTAGTGAAACCTATTCTCGTCCGTCTTCCTTCTAAATTCTACTAGCAATGCACGGAGATGGCACTCGTACTACTTTGAAATTAAACTTGATATAAAAAGCTCAAAAAGGAAATAAAAGGACTACATCATGCAAGTACACAGGACATTTCATCACTTCTGTACATCCTCGATTGTGCAATCAACTATATATCTCCTGCATAGTCGTTTATGCTTTTAAAAATAGAGAAATTTTATAGTACTTTGAGAAAGTATTTTAAGTTATCTAAATTTTACACTAAAATTTTAGTAACTTAAGATACTTATAGTATATGAAGGTACCAAATTTTATATAAAACAATATAGTACTACATTCCAGTATCTTTTCAATGATGGTATAACATTTCCCTTAAAAATGCGACCATTTCTTTCCTTCAAAATGTTTCGGTGCACGCCCGGTAGTGGTGGACCGGTTCATGCATGTATTGCGTGAATTTGGGATCGGTTTGATCGATCTGCTGCCCGGACAAGAGCTATTTCGGGAGGATTTTGAGTGTGTTTTGCTACGGACCTGGTTGGTGAAGCCAATGCCGAAGCCGAGCAGCATGCGGCCGACGATGAGCATGGCGATGTTGACCGCGGCGGCGTTGACGGCGGCGCCGGCGAAGAAGAGCGCCCCGCCCGCGAGCATGACGGCCTGCCTCCCGACCGCCCTGGTGACGCGGCCGGCCGCCAGCGACGCGGCCAGCCCGGCCAGGTACAGCGACGACGTGAACGCCGTCAGCACGTGGCTGTCGTAGACGCAGTACTCGTCCCGCCGCGCCGCCGCCATCCGCCGGAGCACCCCCGGGAAGAAGGCCGCCAGGAACGACTCCATCGCCGTCACTCCCCCTGACCATCGATCATCAGCAAGACCAGACTGTGTAAAGAGATTGATGTCGTTTTTTTGCAGCGCGTGCAAGTGTAACGGCCGGCGTACGTACGTACCGGAGATGCCGATGTCGTAGCCGAAGATGAGGCCGCCGGAGGCGGCCATGAGGCAGGTGACGACGACGGAGAAGGTTATGCCGCCGCCATAGTCGCCCGGCGGGGCGCCGCCGGCCACGGGGAACCCACCTCCAGCCATCGCTCAACGGCACGCCGTGGCACGCAATAGCCGCGCGCTCACTCGCGCAGTTGTTGGTGTTGGTTGGACTGGTAGCTAGCTACTACAATAGCAAAGGCCGATCGATCATGGTGTCCGGTGTTTGTATATCCACGGCCACGTACGGGAGGACTTGTGTTAGGTAAGCGCGCGGAGCAATCGCGTATTCGCGTGCCAAACTATATTGGAAATTAACTCGTTCGGCTGCTCTTGCTTTATCAACTCGTTTCGTTTTCTTTTCGTTTTTGTTGGGGCGGAATTATTCAGTCGTATTCTTGAAGAGGCCCTACGTACAAAGTACAAACTAAACGTACTCGAGAAGATCCTCACTGGCAGGCGCGCTGCTACTATTGCGATGTGTTTCATGGGTTGGTAGCTATGTTGTTGTGGATATCGAATGGCTCAACTGCACCGCTGCAGGCCTGTGGCTTCGTTTAGTTCTGAATCTGAGTTAATGGCCTAATGTGTGATATCATATGTACCAAGGCATACATACATACATTGTGTTTGTGGTTGGCTGATAGCCAGACTCCCATCTAGCTTTCGTCAGAAGGCTTGGTTTGCTCTCCCCCTTCAGCCTGTCATCACAGCGGCGGCCTGACGCACGTAAACAATTTGTTGCACTATCTCGCGGTTAGCCGAAACACCACGGCCCTCAGGCTCGCCACGACAGCTACCACAGTTTGAGTAGTTTGTTGTTGTGAGTGAAGGCTGAGATTTTTCACGTCAACTTGGTCCGTCTTGTACTCCTGTGTGGGCATGTTGAGTTGTGTGCGATGTCCACCAACTACCATGAACGCCTGCACAGTGCGCACAAACCTCCCGAGAAGAAGGGGAGTAACGAAAACAACTCGCCGGAACAAAGCTGAAAGAGAATGCATGGTAGGAGGAATGTCATAGTGGGCCATCAGAAAATCGTGCATATGGGCTAGTTTCGCTGTACTACAGAGAAGAAGACGCACCAACCAACGGTTTGCAGCCGGAATAAGGTTATTTCAGATCCCTTAACTTAACAACGAATCCAATTTTCGTCCTTGAACCACAAAACTAGATACAACGGGTCTCTCATATGTTAAAACCGGTACAATATAAGTCCCAAGATAGTATGGCAAGAGGTTTTATTCTACGTGGTAATTTGACCCAAGTCAACAACACTGAGTCAGCGTAGGCTCCACATGTCCGTGGCTCTTCATCTCTCTCTCTCTCTCTCCAATCTCAACGGATTGTTGGAGGACGGCGCCCGTCGATTTAGAGTGCGAAGCAGGAGGCCTAGCCGAACATATCGGTGAAGGGCTACGACATCATCAATGGGATCAAGACGGAGCTATAGAAGATGTGCCCAGAGGTGGTGTCGTGCACGGATATCGAGGCGCTCAGCACGCGAGACACCGTGCACCTCGCTGGGGTGCCCAATTACACCATGCGCCTGTGCGCACCAATCGCCGTCTCCAACCACGAGGATGACGACGGCCTCCCTGGGCGGACATCGTTGTGGGCCATGGAGGAAAGGATGGCGGCTGATGAGGCGAAGACGGCTGCTACAGTGTCACGCCCCGGACTAGTACCGACCGGAACTAGCCCGTGACGCTCCAAATTAACCTGTTAATCGATACCAGTCCCAGGAAATAGTGCTGGTATCACAGGAAGACGGATTATCACAGCAACAGAGGTCTCTTTATTATAGAGTAGAGGTACAGTCATGTTGGGCTACGGACAGATCCCGAGCTCACAACTGCATTACAAAAGGGAAACGGAAGCCAGGACTTGGACCAAACAACACAGGCGCGACTTGGGAACTAGGCCGAAACCCTAAAACTCATCGTAGCCGGCTTGCTCCTGGAAGAACTCCTCATCAGCAGGATCCGCTTCATCTTCTTCAGCAACTGGGGGGGGATTATTTATATAGAGCAAGGGTGAGTACGGAAGTACTCAGCAAGCCATGGGAAATAAGTGTTTAATGCAGGCTTCAAGGAAAGGCTGTTGTTTTTGCAATTGATTTTATTTGAACTCTTTTCTGAAAACAACTAAGTGAGTGCTTCTCAAACGACACGGTTGAGACAGTGCATCTCGTCCGGTCGGAGTATGTGCAATGTATCAGTCTTTTTGAATTGATTCAAGGTTGGCACCCGGCCAACAACTTTCAAACGGCCACCCGGGCCTACAACTTTCAAACGGCCACCCGGGCCTAGCTGATCCCGTCAGCTGCAGATTTTCCAAACATCGAACCCCTTTCCACAACAGCAATTTCACAAGCAGTAGTCAAACAAAACTACGCTAGGAATCACCTCACATCCGCTCATGACCGTGGGCACGGCTGTTCGAACAGTTTGTTAACCTCTGCAGAGGGGGTACACTTTACCCACACGACATTACTAACCCGGATCACCCAGCCCGTGGGGATCAGCCACGTCGGGAGACCTCCAAGCTTTCATGACAAGGCATTTCGAAAGCCGACACAGGTTTACCATATGCTGACGAGAGGGGTCCCAGACCAACAACAGGTTAGGTCCCAGACCATACTGTGCCAGGAAGCCCAGGGGTCCTCCCCGACACCACCCCGGCGAATCCACATGTCTCTCGGCATCAAGGCTCCCCTGATAAGCTAGTTACTCAGCCAGGGGTGTCCCATTCCACCCATGTGGTCGTACTTGTCTTATGTTCGGATGAAATTCCAAGGAAACGGTCCTTAAGTGCAAGAGCGGGAAACCGTATACCCGGTACGTTCCCCGGTCCGCGGTTCTGGAAAATCCATTTAGTTCGCAAGCACCGACCCAGGTGTCGGGTTTTCCAAGTCTTTTGTAAAACCCAAGTTTTACCCAAGTTGTTTTTCAGATTTTAAGTTTGAAGGCGACCGTCGATACTCGTGCAGAGTGCACGATCTCCGAGGCGCAACTGGGTGGTTACAAGGGAACATGGTATAACAATTATCAAGGGAAGGATCAAATGCAACAAACTAGGTAGGTCTGCCAATCTGCCTTGCAGACGGGACAAACAGATTAAGTGCGATCCTATCAATGCATAATATTTTTCAGGCAACATAATTAAATTCAAATATAGGCTCAAGATGTTCAAAGGTGGCTTGCCTTGCTCGAGATCTTGAGCTTGATCCTCGAAATCCTCGCACTGCGGGTTTTCGGGCTCCGAAACTACACGCGAAACAGGACAACTCAACAAACTGCAAAAATAAAGCCCTATTAAAGACCTCTAAGCGTGCCATTAGATAGATCTCGAGATTTGAGGAATTTTGGAAGTTGAACGGAGTCAAACGGATTTACGGTTGGGAAGATATTGAATTTCTAAGATTATTGGATTTTAGGTCTAAAGGAAAAAGGATTTAATTAAATCCTTTTTGAAAAAGAAAAGAAAAGAAAAGAAAAGAGGGAGGGAAAATAGACTTTTCCTCGGGCGGCTAGGGCGCGGCCCGAGAGAAATGGAGCGTTCCGGCCGAGCTAAATGGGCCGGCCGGCCCAAGGCGCGCGCGCGCGGTAGGGGAGGAGAGAGAGAGCCGGTGGACCGGGCTCACCACGCGTGGTCCCGGGTGGGACCCGCTTGTCGGTGACACGGTTCACCGTGCGGAGCGAGCACGCGGCGCATGCGCGCGGGCGGGGGAGGGACGCGGTGCACGCGCGTGGTTCGCGGAGGAACGGATGCGGCGGGCCCACGCGCAGCCTCATGGCTCGCGGTGGAACGCGCGCACGGGAGGGGCTGACCGGGGTCGGCCCGACCCGATCTCGGCCGAGCTGGCGCCGACGTGGCGCCTACGTGGCGCCTACGTGGCTGCCATGCGGGCTGGCGGGAGGTAGACGACGACGCCGGCCGGAACGGACGGCGGACGACAGCGACGAGCGGCGGAGCGAACCACGGCGATACAGGCGAAAGCGAGCACACCGGGTGATTGCTCAGGACGAGGGGAGACGAGCCAACGGCTCGGATTCGCCGGAGGGAGTCCGTCGGCGGCGGATTGCGGCGGCGGCAACCGGCAGAGAGAAAAGGGGAAAACGGCGACGAGGTCACGAGAGGCCGATTCCCGGCGGCGAGAGCATCTACGCGGCTACGGGAATCTGTTGCTAGCGTCGGATTGGGCGGAGCTACGCCGAGCGAGGCCGACGACGAGCGGGTGCTACGGAGCACGGGCGGCGACGGCGGCGAGCACACGGCGAGCGGCGGCAACGGTCGGGGCGGCGCCGGCTAGCTACGGGGAGGCTACACGTGCTACTACCCGAGTCTAAGGGGAGGAGATGGAGCGAGGAGAGAGAACGGAGGGAGGCACTACCGAGATGAGGTGGGGCGCTGTGACGAGAGGCCGACGGCGCGGGAGTGATCTCTCCGGCCTCGGGCCGGGGAAGAGGAAGGAGAGGGCGCGCCCGGAGTCCCCTTCCGCGTCCACGAACGCACCGGCTCTCCCGGCGCTTGGCGATGAACGGCGGAGGCGAGACAGAGCTCGGAAGGCGGCGGCAATGGCGCGGACGAGAAACGGGGAGGATTGGGGGGGGGGGGAAAGAGGAAGGGAGGGCGCCTGGGTTTAAAGGGCGGCAATGTCGGTTTGGAAACCGACTTTGGGCGGTCAAGGCGCGAGCTGGCGCTCGGCGCTCGCGGCCAAATCGGCGACAAGGCGGAGGGAGGATGACGCCGGCGGGAGGAAAAGGGGAAAAGGAGGGAGAGAAAGGGGGCTCGCCCCTTGCTTCTTTGGGAAAAGGAGGAGGGGAGCGGGGGCGTCGCGGCAGAGGGAGGAGGGGCTCTGCCTCCGTCCCTTGGCGGCTTGCGCGCGGAGTGGCGGGGCCGAGGTGATGACGACGGCGATGACGGCGGGGCGGTTTGGAGCGGAGCGGCGACACGGGCGACAGGCGCGTGCAGGGGCTGACGGCGGCGGCGACCGGGCGGTCGGCCACCACGGCACGCGCGCGCGGGTTGCAACGGGAGGCGCGGCGGTTTGAGCGGCGCGGCTCGGGCACGCGCGCTGGCTTGCGGGCCCAGCGGCTGCGCGGCTGTAGGCGCGGCAGGGCAGCGGGGCCGGGTGACGCGGACGGCGCAGGCCCGGCACGGGCGGCAACCACGCGGGCGCGCGAGCAACGCCTCGCGGGGCCGATTCCGCGGGTGGGGAGCTCGCTAGGGATGGAGGCGGGGAGAAGGAGAGCGAGGGGAAGGGAGGGCGCTCGGCGCGGGCGGCTCACGCGCACGCGCTCGCGACG